TTCGCACGGCTTTCCCCCGCAAACCCAGACTTCTTTCTCTCTTCGGCTCTTCCGATCGGCTTGCCATTCGAGCTATATAATAATGCCTGTCCTCTGCTGACCCTAGCTCCGTATCACCCGAAGCATTTCTCACTTCTACCCTCCTTACCCCAGACCCCGAGTCTGTTCATCACCTCGAACATGGCCAATGTCGAGACGGGCACTGTGCCGGTCAGCGACGAGAAGGCCCTCGCCAATCATAAGGAGAATATGATGGGGGATGTTGCCCATGATGCTGCGGAAAGGGGCCATCTGGCCACCGATGAATATGGTCAAGCTCTTGTGGAATTTGACAAGGCCGCCGAGTCACGATTGCGGCTGAAGATCGATCTGTACATCGTTCCAACAGTTGCTGTGATGTATCTGTTTTGCTTTATTGACCGAGCCAATATCGGTGCGCTGGCCATTCTCTCTCACTCGTGAGCCTACTAACCCCTGAATAGGAAATGCCAAGCTGGCTGGCTTCGACAAGGATCTTGGCCTCGTGGGCTATGATTACAACAAAGTGCTCTCGGTCTTCTTTATCTCGTATATTATCTTTGAAATCCCAAGTAATCTGATGTGCAAATGGGTCGGTCCGGGATGGTGGCTCCCGGCCATTACCCTTGGATTTGGTATTTGCTCTGTCGCGACGGCATTTGTGCATGATATTCACAGCGCATCTGGTGTCCGCTTCCTTTTGGGGTATGTCCGCCGAGACAAACACCGGTGCCATTGCTGACCTTTCGTAGCATTTTTGAGGCAGGATTGTTGCCTGGAATTGCATACTACCTCTCTCGCTGGTACAGACGAAGTGAACTTGCTTTCCGTCTGTCCTTGTACATTGTCATGGCTCCGCTGGCCGGAGCCTTCGGTGGTCTCCTGGCCTCGGGCATCCTGAAGCTCGATCATTTCGGCTCTCTCAAGACTTGGCGAATGATCTTCGCCATTGAGGGTATTATTACCATTGGAATTGGTGTCATTGCGTTCTTCACCTTGACCGACCGACCGGAGACAGCTCGGTGGCTTTCACAGGAAGAAAAAGATTTGGCAGTTGCCCGTGTCAAGTCCGAGCGCGTTGGCACGACGGAAGTCCTCGACAAGCTGGACGTAACCAAGACCCTGCGTGGTATTTTTAGTCCAGTGACCATCACCACGGCATTCATTTTCTTGTTGAACAATATCACTGTTCAGGGTCTTGGATTCTTTGCGCCCACCATTGTGAAGACCATCTATCCTCACGCCAGTGTGATTTCTCAGCAACTGCACACGGTTCCTCCGTATGTTGTCGGAGGCTTCTTCACCGTGTTGTTCCCCTTCCTCAGTTGGCGCTTCGACAATCGACTCATCTTCTTCATTATCAGTCCACCGCTGATGATGACTGGTAAGAACTGCCCCGCCAACCTCCGAAAGACATGTCTAATGGGAATAATATAGGTTATATAATGTTCCTCGCTAGCGAAGACAGCATGGTACGATATGGGGCCACATTTATCATCGCCAGCGGGGCTTTTGCCTTTGGTGCGCTATGTAATGCCCATGTTTCGGCGAATGTCGTATCCGATACGGCGCGATCATCGGCTATTGGCACGACCGTTATGTTTGGAAATGTGGGTGGCCTCATTAGCACATGGTCTTTCCTTCCCTCCGACGCTCCCAATTACCACATTGGAAATGGGCTCAACTTGGCAACCTCAAGCACGATCCTCCTGCTCGGTGCTTCCTTGTGGATGTACATGGCCTGGGACAATCGCCGCCGCGGGCGGGTGGATGTGGCCGGTGTCTTGGCGGGACTTTCGCGCAAACAGATTCAGGACCTCGACTGGCGCAATCCAGGATTCCGTTGGCGACCCTAGTTTCAGCCATTGTTGGACTCGGTACCGAATGTGCTATTATCCTCCGGTTCTCGGTGATGACCTGGCTTTGTTCTGGTGTTGGTGTTGTAAATATTTTCTACATAGATACCTGAATGGTATTCTTTAATTCCTATCAATGCCAAAATTGTTATTTGCATCATTTATGCACTCTCCCGTTCATTGACTTCATCTGCCCTATGCGACGATGTCACAGTCAATCAGACGCAAGGGCCGAGGAACGGACATGATTCTATTTCCTTGCAAGCCCAAGTTCCTGACATCGGCACCTGGCAGAGTTTAATATAAGATTCTGTGCCTCACCGAGAGTTCAAGACTAAGACTTCTCGGCACGGAAGTCTCCGGCTTTGCCCAGAAGGAGGGAGAGGGAGAGAGATAGAGTCAAGGGATCGGCAATGTCCATGCGCCATGCCAAGGACCGGTGTATCTTCCTAGAGTGGACTGGAGGGCCGCGAGCCAATCGAAGACTTCATATCTGTCAAGGAGACTCTCCAGGTTTTCGCCTTTTCGCCCCCGGACCAAATCTCGATGATAGTTTCGGACATTTTCCGAAAAAAGTCAAACATAACACGTGGAGACCCGGTACCTGGCCCTTGGCAGTCGAAATACCGACATTGACATGCAAGATGCAAGATGCCATACATACATGAAAAACACAGAAAACAAGAGTGAAATGGGGGGAAACGGTGAGGTTGTTCACGGGTATCATCCCGGGCTGCTCAGTTGTCGGCGTCTCTTCGGGGCCAAGAAGGAACCGGCACGGCGTCGCCGTCAAATGAGCGTCGATCGTCTTAGCTCGGGACCCAAGCTCTCTTGGCGCTGTTCCCCAGCTTTGGCTGTCTGTAAAACACCGATGATCGGTCAAGTAATTCCGGGGGCAATTATGGGGAGATGAACGGGAGGGTAAGAGGGTAACAGGGAGCGAGTAATGTACTTTGTCTAACTGGTCTACATACTAAGTAGCCTCCCCCAGGTTTCCCCGCATGGACTGACTGGGGTCCCCCTTGACTATAAAGTCCTTTGCTCTCACTCGGTTTCTCTCGTCCTGTACCTCAATCTTCTTTTCCACCCTCTACTTATTCTTCTATCATGGCCGGTGGTGCAAAGAAACCAGTCAATATCTTCCGCCTCAAGGACCTGGGCGAACCCAAGCAGGTCTTCAATTGGCGACTATGGTTTGCCGTTATCTCATTCGGCCTGATGGGCGCTGCCCGAGGTGTCGATGAGGGTTTGATCTCCGGTGCTTTCAACTCCAAGGATTTCCAGAAATACATCCACTATGATACGTACAGCGAGGTTGAACAAACCAACATCAAGGGCAATGTCACTGCGATGGTCCAGATTGGATCGGTCGGGGGTGCTCTCTTGTACGTCTGATCAGTGCCTGTTCGATTTTATATCCCACTAATGAGTTGTAGTGCATTCTTAGTCTGTGATCGCATCGGCCGTATCTGGGCCACGCGCCAGCTGTGCATCATCTGGATGATTGGTATTGCTATCTTCATGGGTAACTCTGGCAGTCTTGGTGCTGTCTATGCTGGTCGATTTATTGCTGGTCTCGGTGTTGGTCAGACAGTAGTCGTTGCTCCCGTCTATCTTGCGGAGATTGTAAGTAACTCGCGCAACGGCTTCATACACAGCTAACTCATGCAATCAGGCTCCCGCTTCCATTCGTGGTCTTTGCACTTGTGTCTTTACTGGCTTTGTCTATCTGGGCATTGTGCTGGCATACTTTGCGAACTATGGCTGTGAACTTAACCTGGGTGACAAGACACACAACCGCTGGGTATGTATAACTCTTGGCTAAAGTCTTTTTAGACGAATACTGACTGGATATAGCTGGTCCCCACATCTCTCCATATCATGTTTGCCGGCTTGATCTTCCTCCTCTCCTTTGTGCAGTACGAATCCCCTCGATACCTGGTCAAGCGTGGCCAACTCGACAAGGCCATCTCCAACCTCTCGCGCATCCGTGGCCTGCCTGTTGATGATGACTATGTTATGCGGGAGATCACTGCTATCCAAACCTCACATGACGCTGAGATGGAAGCCACATTGGGATCTGGTCCGATCGGCGTGCTCAAGGAGACCTTCTTGGTTCCCTCCAACCTCTACAGAGTCTACCTTACCTTCATGGCCCAACTCCTCTCCCAGTGGTCCGGTGCTGGCAGTATCACTGTCTACGCTCCTGATCTGTTCAAGCTGCTTGGAGTCACAGGAAAGAACGAGAGTTTGCTTGTCACTGCCGTCTTCGGAATCGTCAAGCTGGTTGCTGCCATTCTCTGCGCGCTGTTCCTAGTCGATGTCATTGGACGTAAGCGTGCCTTGCTGTTGGGTATCACCCTTCAGGGTATCGCCATGGTCTATATCGCCGGCTTCTTGACTGCTGTCCCTGAAATGGGTGTGATTGATGACTTTAAACTCCCGGAAGCGAAGAAGGGTGCCAGTGAGGGCGCCATAGCCATGATCTATCTTTCTGGATTCGGATGGGCCCTGGGCTGGAACTCCATGCAGTACCTGTTGACAGCAGAGTTGTTCCCCCTTCGCATTCGTGCGCTTTGCACGTCCATGGCCATGACCTTGCACTTTGCTAACCAGTATGGTAATGCACGCGCGGTACCCAACATGCTGCTTCCGGTGGCAAAGGGTGGAATTGACCCCAAGGGTACCTTCTGGTGCTTTGCTGCTATCACCGTTCTGGGTGGAATCTGGGTGTGGTTCAGTATCCCAGAGACGGCAGGCCGATCGCTGGAGAGCATGGATCGCCTCTTCGCTCTGCCATGGTACAAGATCGGCCTACATGGTAACAAGGATGCCGAGGAGCGTGATCACGTTGTCAATGAGAAGATGGAGGTAATGACCCAGTCGCACGGAACTGCCCAGCACGTTGAGAGACAGGACGCCGAGCGTTGAGTGCGGCTATCTAGCTTTTTACTTGAATATTTCCGGTGTTGACCTGGGTGACGTTTTCCTGGACAATTATACTATCACGATTTGATGAACCTTTTTATGAAGGTCCAATAAGTGCACAATATTTCCAAGTCTATCACTATATCTCGTATCGACATTAATTTACTCTATTTTTTTTTAGCCCCCAGTATGTAGACTCTAAGCGTTCGACTTTGACCCATCCAGAGGAATAATCACAATCCTTGCCTTCAGACCCGCCTTGTCCCGCGCTTTTGAGCTAGACTGGAGCGAGCTCGCACTGGTGCGAATATCCATATTTTGCACGTCGTTGAGGTATTCATCCGGCAAATCAACACGTATCAAAATGCCCTTGGGTCGGAAGAAAGTCTCATTCCAATGTGAAATGTGTCGAGATAGTCGTTCTCCCTGAACCCCTGCCAGGGCATAGACCAGATTCCGCTGTTCCTGTCGGCGTCTGGCATTTCGGGCCACGAAAATTGCGGGAACAGCACCGAATAGACCGACCATTAGCCCGCCGACAGCGAAGATCCCGAGGCCTTTCCCGACTACTGTGGTCCATTGTTGGCGTGATAGCTTGGCTTCTTCACAGATCACTTGTGTGAAGTCTGCCCAGTTGTCTTGCGAGACGCCATAGTGGGACAATTCTACTGGGTACTCGAAGCCCGATGTACAGTTGCCGGTGCGGGAGGGTACCTGCAGACCTCTGCTGAGAGCTGAGGCGGTGGCAAACCCAGGTTCATCTTCCCGCGGAAGGATCATGGGAGACTCGGACTTTTCCATGAGATAGTTGAAGTCCTCCGATGAGGAGTATGCTGGGGGATTGGCTGTATTCATGACTGGAGTCTGTATAGATGCAAGGAGCATTCTTTTTTTTTTAGGGTATTCGAGGTTATACCAATATAGAAAGGGATTCTTGTGGGCTCTGATAGTCACAACAGAGTACTGTAGACTTTATACTAATGTCAGCTCTCAATGTGTAAGTTATTACCTCCAAGTAGGATGCGTGGCAGTGCTGCCTGAAGGCTCCGGTATAGAGTCACAATGAATCTTGGGAGCCTTCTAGGCCTCAATATTTCGTATTGGAGAGAATAATGTGACCAATGTGAAGTGTAAGTTGAGGACAAAGCGCCAAGGGAGTCTAACCTGAGTCAGTCGTGAGTCACGGGGGGACGTGCACTCATCAACATCCCATCAACATCACCTTCGCCATGACGACCCGCTATCGCGTTGAATGTAACTGACTCGTTTGCTTCCTTTGGGTGCTTCAGCTGACAAATTCTAGATGCCCTCAAGGTATGATCCCCCGAGGTCATTCCGACCCTCCTCACTGACTCCGCAGTAGACCCATCGTCGGGATCAACTAGTAAGACTTCCTTCTTTGAAAACTGGGAATTTGTGCTGACGGGCTTGCAGATTGAATGGATCAAAGTATATTCTTCGCTTATCTCGTGTACTGGTGGAACGGTTCTGATTCCTCTAGGGTCTCCTGGCTGTCCCCTTTGTTTTGCATTCCCAGCCCACCGCCATCTACCAGGAACATGGCGAAGGCCTGAAATCGGTTGCCGCCGACACCCATCTGCGCTACGCAGAGATTATGCGCGATGTAGAGAATCTGATGCTCGATCATAGTAAGTGATTTATCAAGAAATCGCCATTGCTTCAACTGATACATGGAAGTTCATCACCATGAACGCAACGCCCCTGGCAAATCCAAGTTGAATTTGCTGGTGCCTACTGTCGGTACTTTTTTCACCCAGTTATATCTGGAGGATGCCTTCAAGTATCAGGATCAGCAACGGTTTATCAGTCGACGCAGATTCGTCGCTCCGTCGTTCAACGATATCCGGCTCATCTTGAACTCCGCCCAGCTATTGGGTCTGGTCCGCTCCAGTGAGGTGCAATTAGTCACCTTCGATGGAGATGTAACTCTCTACGATGATGGCGCTTGCCTAACTGCCGATAACATAGTCATTCCACGAATTCTGCGACTCCTGCAACAGGATCGCAAGGTCGGCATTGTGACTGCGGCTGGATACACCGAGGCGCCCAAGTACTACGAGCGACTGCAGGGGCTTTTGGATGCAATGCACTATTCGACCGTGCTGACCACTGCCCAAAAGCAGGGGCTGATTGTCATGGGTGGCGAGAGCAATTTCTTGTTTCGCTATGACCCAACCTCGGAGGCCCGGTTAGCCTATGTGCCGCGGGACGAGTGGCTATTGGAGGAGATGCGAGCCTGGAGTGATAATGATATTACCCAGCTGCTCGATATTGCGGAGTCGGCATTACGTGCTTGTGCCGATAACCTCAGTCTGCCAGCCGCTGTTCTGCGCAAGGATCGTGCTGTGGGTGTCTACCCCGTCAATGGCGTGCGCATCAATCGAGAACAGTTGGAAGAAACTGTCTTGGTTGTGCAAAATACAGTGCAGCGATCGACAGTGGGGTCGCGGCTGCCCTTCTGTGCTTTCAACGGTATGTTCTTCAGACACGAGAGATGTACAAGCTGACTCCGAATAGGCGGAAATGATGTGTTTGTGGATATTGGTGACAAATCCTGGGGTGTGCGTGCTTGTCAGCAATATTTCGGTGGCATTGATCCATCGAAAACGCTGCATGTTGGCGATCAGTTCCTGTCAGCCGGTGCTAATGACTTCAAGGTATGAACAGACTATCCTTCACTGCGAACGAGACTAACCTTGCAGGCCCGTCTTGCATCTACGACCGCCTGGATTGCGAGTCCTGCTGAGACTGTGGAGCTCTTGGATGAGCTAGAGAAGGCAGTTCACTCGAAGTGAAGACCGTCCACCACAAGTAATCCATTCCGCATCGCATTGGTCATTTTTGGTCATTTATTTCGAAGGCAGAGGCAAGAATACTTTTTGCATCTTGGCTAGCACTTTCTGTTTGGTTGCGCAGTTTAGTTCTATTTAAAATCATTGCATTTAAGAATTCTACCTGCAAATTTGTCTAGGTCCAACGGGCCAAGAGTCTTGGGAGTACAGAAGAGAGAATCGTATCAAACGAAAGAAAATTCACCCAAACTCCCAAGCATAAATGTCACCTAGAGCCAAGCTTGGGTCTGGGGGTTTTATTGCATAGCATCATACAAAGCGTAAAGGACGTGCACCATTACGACCGCCGACTCAAAGTCAGCAGGTGGCTTAAGGGCCAGTGCAGCGTTGGGAGAAACCTTCAGAGAGTCCTGGGTATTGGTGTGGATTCCACTGTTGGTTGGAAGAAGCTTGAAGGCTCATAAGTGGAAAGCTCTTCAGGGGGAGTTGGGGACTGAGGGAACAGATTGAACTGTCATAGGATCTGGAGAGCAAGCGAAAGAAATTGTTAACATTTGCAAAAGGATGTGAGGCATGGCCAAATCCAGGGGGTCGATCCTCGAGGCAAAATCGAGGTAGGTGAAGAAGCAATAAGGGGTTGTCGTGTTTACGTACTCTCATAGCAGGACCAGCCCTCGTTAGCGGTGGGGTTAGAGCGGCCAGACAGGACGTTGACGACATCCTGCAGCTCAAGCCAGAACTCAGACTTGGGGCGACGGCGAGTCCAGTCAGTCTCGGTGGCCTCCAGGCCAGATTTACCGCCCATGGGCGAGAACAAGACCTGGGAACCCTTGACTCCAATGACGGCAGAGGACAAGGGGTCAGCGGCGATGGCATCACGGCTTTGACCCGCGTATCCTTCGATGTGCTGCATACACCTCATAGCCATGCGCAGAGCACGCACACGATCCATAGGTGATGGCTTTCCACCTTGCTGGAAGTGACCGGGGACGGCGGCACGAGACTCGAAGCGTCCCTTTGCCTCCTCCTTGATCATATCGGCAATCACCTGGGTAGTGTAGGTACCCGAGGCGCATTCGTTACGCAAAATGATCTTACCCGCACGGTTAGCGCCCTTGTCGCGGATGAAGTTGTCGCGGAGGAAATCGATGTCGCGCGAAAGCATCTTGATATCAACACCCTGCTCGGGGATATACACTGCCACGGCACCTACTGCCAGACCAGCGGTAGTCGCGATGTATCCAGACTTGCCGCCTTGAGTCTCAATCACGAAGACACGACGACGAGAAGAGGAGGCGGATTGACGAATGGCATCACAGAAGTCAATCAAGGTGTTGAGACAGGTGTCGCTTCCCAGTGAGTATTCAGTACCGGGAACGTTGTTGGAGATGGTAGCTGGGAGTACGATGAGCGGGATCTTGAAGGCATTGTACTTCTCACGGGCCTGGCGCAGCTCGCTGACAGCCGTGAAGGCCTCGAAACCACCAACCACGAACAATGCGTCGAACTTGTACAGCTCAAAACACTTGGCAGTGGTCTCCATATCAGCACTAGGGAGGCTACGGTTGGTTCCAATATCCGAACCACCCTCGTTGACCCAGCTATCGGCTTCCAGCCAGTTAACTTCACGAACGGAGCTGATTGGCTTGTCGTCATGGTGGCGGCACAGTCCGGGGAAACCGTTGTGAATAGCCAGCGGGGTGTGGCCACGGGTCAGACAGTACGCAACGGCGGCACGAGTCGCTTGGTTCATACCACCTGCGGGGGCACCGACGTGAATGATGGCGATGCGCATTCTCTGTGCGTAGTCAGTATCTGGAAATCCTGTGAAGCCCCCGTGGGCTGGGGTTTTGAGGCCTACCTTGCCCTCTGGGAGGATCATCTTCGGGTGCTCTGGGGTGGCGGTGTTCAGGTAGGCGTGGTAATATTCCTTGAACTCAGCATCACGCATCTCCATGGCCTTTTCGAACTCCTTGTTGTCAATTCTCGCTGCGACGTCCTTGGTTGCTTGAACTGCTTCCATCAGAGGGGTACGCATAATCTTGTTCTCGCGGATGGTAATGACGGGCGAAGGAGACTGGGGTGACATTTCCAGCACGGCACGAACAGCCTCCACACCTTGCAGCGTTGAGAGCCAGCGGTCGTAGGCGCATGCTGCACCACCTCGCTGGGTGTGACCCAGGATGGTGACTCGAGTATCCAAGCCGAGGCGGTCTGTCAAAATATCCTTGATCTTCGAGCTCGAAACCTTGTTTAGTTGGCGATCCTGAGCTCCCTCGGCAACGATGACGATGGTGCGGCGCTTGCCTCGCTCGGTACGGTTCTATTGGGACATGTGCATCAGTATACGAAATAGTCAACAGGACTCGGGCACAACTCACCTTGGTGATAACAGAGCACATGTCATCCTCCCATCCATCCTTGGGAGGCATCTCGGGAAGGAACAACCAGTCTGCACCGGTACTGATGGCGGACATCAATGCAAGCCATCCACAGTGTCGGCCCATGACCTCAATCACGAATCCACGCTGGTGGGAGAAGGCGGTATCGAATACGTCGTCGACAGCATCACAGATGCGGGTCAAGGACGAGTAGCATCCGATGGTGGCATCCGTGCCAGACATATCATTGTCAATGGAACCCACCAGGCCGACAATGTTCAACACCTTGTAAGGTTCGACTTGCTCTGCGGATAGCTCACCCGCGGCGATGAGGTCAGACAGCAAGCCGGGCCATTCTGCGCGGAAAACATCGGCACCAGTCAAACTGCCGTCACCACCACACACCACGAGGGCATCAATACCCCGCAGCACCATGTTCTTTGCAGCCTTCATACGGCCAGCGCGCTCCCGGAAGCCCATGCTCCGAGCAGAGCCGATCAGGGTACCACCCCGGGACAACCAGCCACGGACATCCTCCCAGTGCAGCTGGCGGATCATGTTGCCGCCGTGGACCAGTCCCTCGTATCCTTCGAAAATAGCGTAGGCTTCACAGTCGCAGTGGATTGCCATACGGACAACGGCCCGCACAGCACCGTTCATACCGGGGGCATCTCCACCAGAAGTGAGGACACCAATACGGCGTCTCTTCGCCGGTTGGGTAGGAATCTTGACGGACTCCATGTTACCAATTGAAGCTGTCGACCTCTACAGGTCAGAAAGGAATGAGATGAGTGAAGAAAACAAGTCAAAATTGAGCGCGATAAGCGTTGTAAAGCTGCAATTATGAATGGGTGGGATGTGGAGGGGTCAACCCAATCCGGTGAGAGAAATTGGCAGAAGTGGGTGCTTGCGTCACAGAGACGCTTGGGGGTGTTGAAGACCGGTTTACACGTATGATGAAATACAAAATAAGTTGAGATGGGACGATGTTTAGATATCCCACACTTTCCGGCCTGCCAAACTCTCTTATTGAAGCCCTTCTACCTCGCTGGTACCTGCGTTGCCATACAATTCGCCTGCAAGATGCAAGTCACCGCTTGGTCCTTTTGGGCTTAGTGTGGCGTTCACGTGAGCGGTGAGGGGCAGCTCGGTGATGACGTCACTTGTTTGTTGTGTTTGTTGCTGACCTCATTGATATTTCGTCACTCAACTACATACATGCCCGGTTCTCCCCAATTACCGAGTCGTGTAGCCGCCGTTGGCAAAGATGGTTTGTCCAGTGATCCAGGTACCCTCCGTGCACAAGAACCGGACCAGAGGAGCAATGTCCTGCACCATCGTCAACCGGTTGCCCATGGCATTGGCCTTGTGGAACTCGACAGCCTCGGGGGCTTCTTGGGGATAAAAGAATGCTATACAAGTGTTAGCTGCAGAAGATTGGACTTTGGGATAAGTCAACTTACGGGTGTCCATGGGACCTGGAGCCACGTTGTTGACGCTCACGCGTCTCTCCATCAATTCTTTGCAGACACCGCGAGTGAAGTGTTCCACTGGTGCTTTGGATCCAGCATAGGATGTATAGAATCCAGTAAAGGCACCCAGCAATGCGGTCACGACGGTAATTATCTTACCATCATCGGCAATGTGGGCAGCAGCAGCTTTGAGAATGAAGAATGCCGCCTTGGAGTTGATTCTGCATAGATGTCTCAGCATGATCGCAACTCACAGATACGGGCGGGCACTTACGCGAACATGGAGTCATACTCCTCTTCTGAAATATCAGTGATTGGCTTCTTCAACACCTTGCCCACGGTGTTCACGACAATATCAATCTTGCCAAAGTCTGTCAGCACCGACTGGAACAGGTTCTCAACAGCAGCAGCAGTCGTCAAATCGCCCTGATAGTAGGCCACCTTCAAACTGGGATTCTTCTGCTTTAATTCAGCCTCCAGTTGAGAGGCATTACTCTTACTGCTTGCCGAATTGTAGTGCAGAGCGAGGTTGGCGCCAGCGCCAGCCAATTCCAGGGCAGTCGCTGCACCCAAGTTCTTCACGCCTCCAGTGATAAGAGCGATCTTGCCGTTCAACGCCATGATAGAGTTTATGCGAGGCGTTTTAGCTAGGGTAAGTCACAGACTCTGCAAGAACATAGAATGTGGGAGCTGTGCCCTATTAATATTTGTGCACATCCGCTCAGCGGGAACATCACCCCCACTATTACATCAAGTAGGTCATTTAGCGCAATGGTTAAACCGCAAACGGCGCGGTGGAGGGCTATTCGTCTCAGAATTACGAATTAACCGATCTCCGAGCTGGATCTGGTCCCAATCTTGCCGCTTGTTTGGTCGCGCGAATGAGTATCTTTCCTGGCATCGCCGGTCCCTCCTCAGCTCTGTCAATCTTTGGCGTCGTAGAACTGAGATTTCTCACACGCAACCCTATTGTAACCGCCCAATCGGTCATCAAGTATACTCCAGCTCCACGGGCCTTCGGGCTTTTGGCGGTGAACTGTTATTTACAACAAGTTATACTTCAAAGTATTAACAGCCCATATCACTAAAATCTTCAATACCTTCCATTAAATCCTGATTTATAGAGCAATCCATGCCGCATTTCGCTGTTACCAAATCAAGGATGTGAAAGAATGAATATTCTGTAGTCGTAGGCTTGAGGGTCAATATGGTCGTCTTGTAGATTCTTTTTCCGTTTTGAATGGCCTCCATCTACGACCAATTTCATACTGGCTTCTTGGGATCTACATCTAGGATATGAAATCATTGATAAGTGGTTTTTGATTTGATCTGTAATTAGGCTTTAAGTGAAGATAGCAGCTTAGGCCGCAGCAGTCTTGCCGCAGTATGCAGTGTGCGTCCATGCGTTCGTTTCTCATAGGCGTATGATTTAGCTGATTTGTCGTCAGCTATGAATCGATTTCAAACACTAAGCTCATGACTTACGCGTCGCATGAGTGGCTACCCTCAGTCGCGGGGTCTTTGCATCCACTCTTGCACAGCTTGGGGTGACCGACGTCACCGGGGTTTTTGCAATGGAACAAAACATTCTCCAGGTCCTCGTTTTCCAGGTCGGTTCCCTTGAGGACATCTTTGAGATCGGCCTCGGTGAAGCCTATTTACTTGATTAGCATGGGGTAAAACTATCAGGTGGGAAATATTAAGTACCCTTGTCCTTAATCAACACATCAGAGCAATAATCGAAGCTGGGGGTGCAGGTCTTCTGGGCAATGCCAGTAGTAGCCAGAGCAAAGACAGCGAGAATAATGGAGGAGAACTTCATGGTGAGGTATGAGATTATTGGATGTGATGAGAAAGGCCTTGGGTGGAAGAGAGGGTGGAATATTTGGATTATTATATCGAACCTCTCCTCGCAACTGCACTCGTGTCTCAAAAATCCAAGGTTCACATTCCTGGTCTTTGTCCGAGAAGCTTGGTCATAGTGAGTTGCGGTGGAATGCTATGCGGAATGTAGTTACGCCATGCACATACCACGAACTGGAGGGAGTTGCATATCCGAGACAGCTCAGATTCTTGTATGTCCTATGAGATCATCTATGAGCTTGAACATCATTCCGGCATACAGTCACACCCCCACCTTGATACAATCTAATGTTGAAGCCGAATCACTTGAAAATGGGTGTAAAAAAGGTGGACAAAGAGAGGCCAAAGTAGGGCGATAACCACATATGAAACGGTATACTTACTCCGAGGCTTTCGTGTAGAGACTGTCCAATACCTCATAGCATTGTATACACACTTATGACCCCAGTTATATGTAGTTATTATATAGTTCTACATTAAAATATCCCGGGCCTAGATAAAACCTCTCTTCCCCAATCCATGTGGCACGGGAATGCGGAGCTCGGAAGTAGGTTACCCAAGTGCATTGATCTTAGTCTTACAGTGGGATTATATTCAGTTCAAGACCGATTCAAGTGTTTAGTATCAGACCAATCTAATCTATTCCAACTCGGGCAAGTCTATCCAGATAAGATAACCCCGCTCGATGGTTCTCAGGGAATAAAGTCATCTTCTTCTTACTTCGATCCAATCTGTCTGCCCTACCAGGAATTCTGTGGCTGACCCTTTAGCATGGCATCGAATAACTTTGGTAGCACTCCCCCTAATTGATCCCCCATTCTTGAAACTGGGCACCCTAACATAGAGCAGTCTCCAATCTTGTCACGGCCGATCCAGGCCTGCCGCGACCCAACCCTACTCAGTCTTATTGGCAGCACATTCCACATGCTCTGGCCGATGTCCAATCCTCGACTTTGCCCAATGACCGAGACTTTGCCATCATTGGGTCGGGAATCACGGGACTAGCAGTAGCCAAGACGCTCTTAGAACGACACCCGACTGCCACAGTAACTGTTCTGGAGGCTCGTACGCTTTGTTCTGGAGCGACTGGGCGCAATGGTGGTCAGATGGCCGCCAATGCTGGAGAGGAGTATATGCATCTAGCTGAGACCCATGGACCAGAAACAGCAGGGAAGATTGTGGATTTCACGTTTCGCAACTTGGAGAAGATGCAGGAGCTGATTGAAGCGTACGATGCTGCGGAAGTTAGCGAGATGCAACGTCTGCGGAAGCTACGAGTGTTTTTGACCCCGAAGAAGTTTGAAGATTTCAAGGCAAGTATTGCACGCCTGGAACAGGATCATCCTTCTAAAAAAGGATTGTATGTCATTCTGGATGCGGACGCAGTAGGTCAGGTAGGTCTTTGCTACCCATAGTTTTCTATTCGTCTGCCACTCGCTCTGATATCATTTCAGGAATATGGAATTCATGGTACAGCTGGAGGGGCTCTTCTCTCGGCTGGAACAGTCTGGCCATATCGTCTTATCACCAAAGCTTTTGCAGCACTCCTGGAAAAATACCCAGATCGACTGACAATTGAGACACATACCCCTGTTGAGTCTGTGGAGCACAAATCGATGTTCGCCTCGCCCATCACGACTGATCTCCCCTATACTTTGCACACTTCTCGCGGTCCACTGTGGGCAAGGACTCTGGTCCACTGTACCAATGGGTACAGCGGACACCTTCTCCCCAAGCTGAGGGGGCTTGTTCATCCTTTCAAGGGTACGATGACGGTCCAAGATCCAAAGGACTCTGTGCCAAACCAAGGCACCTCTGTATCATGGGGCTTCCATTATACCCCTTCTTACGATCCCGAAACGAAGCGGCATGGACATGGATTGTATTATCTGGGACAAAGCGCCAAGACAGGGTACTTCTACTTTGGAGGCGAGAATGCACGCATCGAGGAGTCGGTGTCTGCCGATGATACCTTTGTGGCTGAGCACTCTGTTACTCACCTCCAGTCGGTACTGCCACGATTCTTCGGCAAAACTGATCAATCAAACTGGGGCCTGGTGGGTTCGTGGAGTGGTATCATGGGCTTCTCATCCGATGGTCTTCCAATAGTTGGGAGACTTCCATCCACACTGACAGGACGGAAAGGCGATAATGAGTGGATTGCTGCTGCATTCAATGGCTATGGAATGGCAAATTGCTTAATGAGCGGTGAGGCGCTTGCTTTGATGATGCTTGGCGAGGATGTCAGCCAATGGCTTCCCATTGCATATGGACTTAGCAAGAAGAGACTTCAGGGGTCGCTGACTATCTCAGAAGCTGTCAGCGCCCTGGGCTCATAGCTATAGCTTGGCGGCATTGGACTCGAAGATGTATGTGAGGATATCTCTTGTTCATGTATGATTGTGAAAAGTATTGCATTGCAATATTCAACTCCGTAGAATTTGTATAGGGTATCGAATCTCTCTATGTTTGACATTTTCGTGGAAAAAGTTTTTTCTGTTTCTGGACCCACTTCCCCTGATGTTCCCCTGATGCTTTCGCGCTTGTAACTGCGAGCGAAAAAATTCTTGAAGCAAAAAAGGATGGACTCGCGGGGAATCGAACCCCGGACCACTCCCATGCTAAGGGAGTATTATACCACTAAACCACAAGCCCAGTTCGATGGAAGAGGCCGGCGGGTTTCGGCTTAAGGTGGGACCGCCCGATGTGGGTCAATGTTCACCTTGATGCCTCGGACACAACCGCCATAAGAGATTGTGTGGATGCAGAAGGGGTTCCCCAGGTGTATTGCTTGGGGGTTTGTGAGGGTTGCTCCCATTTCCCACGCCCGGTGCCATCAATACAGCGCACAGTGTACGTCTGGAGAGATAGCTCATGACGGGACAGGGCAAGCTTGATCTTTCTGTGTCTTTCGGGGTTCGAGGATGATAGCACAAGCTCACCATGTTGAGGATAAACTGCTTCCCAGACGCGATTCTCTTGTGTGTCATTTTCGGGCTTAGACGGTGGAAGACTGTTAGATGAGGTAGTAAAGACAACATCAAGTAGTAAGAGATGCGTAATAGCAGCTTGCACTTCTTCTCTGAGAGAAAGGCGACCGGGGGACTTAATATCGAGGTAATTGGGCATATTGCATGACACGTCAAAGCTGGTGCCGAACGAGGGAGAGGAAAGATTGGTGTGAATTGCGATAGAGAAAGAGCCCCGAGGAGTCAACAATTTGCCGCTGAATGTAGACTCAAATGGAGTGAGGAACCTTTCAACGACTGCCTCAGCTGTCGGGGCGGAAGAGGTCTGCGCCATTCTTGTCGAAAAGACATGTTTGGTATACGCTGGGATGTCCAAGGCGGCCGAGTGCAGGACACCTAAGATATCTTTCAAAAATGACTGGAGCCACAGTACATGGGACATGTGCTGGATGTAAGCCAGGGCCGGACGGAAAAGCTGGTGTTCAGGAACAGATCGTTTCTTCGGGGTCAATGGCAGCGGAAGTAGGGTCCGTCGGTGCAAGTTTTGACGGTGGGCATATGCCAATAAGATGCGGATCGTATGGGACAAGCCTTCTGCAATGCGGGTTCCTTCTTGTGAAATATCTTGATCAGATTGCAGGTCGTTTTCATCAACATCCACCAGGTCCAGCAGAATTTCAAGGTTATCGGAAGCAGGGATTCGAATGAGGTTCTGGCGGGTCGTCACGCCGTAGTTCGCGGTCGCTCTAGCTTCTCGGACAAGCTCATGGAATAGCTCCTCTTCATAAAGTGTATCCCGCGCTTGCAAAATTCGACTCTCGATTGTTTGTTCATCATTCCTGGGACTCGTCGGTTTAGAGCGGCCAGTGAGCTGCCCATCCTGCATCACCTGTACCCGGACAAAACGAGCCTTGGGAGGGATCAGTCCTTTGTCCAGTATCAAACTACCATTCTCGCCGCGTCGTAGGGAAGCGAGTCCGCGGTCACGGAAAACGGGTGTAGCTAAAACAGCGTGATTAGAGACGGGTCTCTATAATTTTCATTTGGGAGCTCACCTTCGAGGAAACCATATTGCACGCCAAGTGCTTGCCTTTCACGGGGAAGTCGGGAGACCTTCCATCCTTTTTCTTTGACAGTCAACACTTCATTCCAGTATCGAGTCTCCGATGCGACTTCGTTTTCAAGCCTGGAGGCAGCTTGGAGAAGTTTGTTTGCCGCCCCGTTGAAGTTCTGGATGCGCCATCCTCTCGATACGGCTGATATATCTTTCGTCGTGGAATCTGGCTTTGGGGGAGGGTTCACAATCTCGGCGTTGAGCGAGCCAAGAGGTGCGATTTGCTTGAGAAAGGCCGACATGGAAGCTTCGGCTTGGCGCGGTGTGTTTTTGGACAGAAGGAGAGAAACGAAATCAACGGCAAACATGGCCTCCATATGAGCTTGCCTATAAGCTGTCAGTTCCAGAAAGTCAATCCAAGCTCCATTGGACTCACGTAGCGAAATCAATGATGTCTTTACGTCGCTTGTACAATTGCTCCAAGCGCTCTGTCGAGTCAAGATCCGATGCACTCTGGTCGCCCTCGTCCTCATCCAGATCATCTTTATATTCTTCGGCAATCTTGGTCCGAAGAACATCTTCGTTCACATCGCGAAATGAGCCCCACTGGTTGTTGATTTGAGCAATCTCAGCAGGCAGTGTGTCTGGGCGGTCGCGGTCGTCAAGAAGAGGGCGCAAAGGTAGAGTGAAGGAGCCAGCCATGGTGTAAACACACCTCTGCAACAGGGTGAGAGGAGTGTGGAGAGTCCGGAGAGAAGTGGAAGAAAGACGGAGATCGGTGACGCAGGTGGCACGTGATCGAATATTGACTAGGCAGTTATGAGCTTCATGGATTCCTGTGTTGTGTGTTGTGTGATTTATATAGTGTTTGCTTTCTTGCATTCTAGTATTTCTGCAGTCAGTTGGGTCCTTGGGTCCTTACAGGTATCTCAACTCAAAAAAATTCCAAAGCCGTGTTCGCATTTCACGCCACTTGGTCAAGTCATATATATATTCCGATTCCTATAGATGCCCAAACTCTCTGACAAGTTCCAACGCCCATAAGACCCCGTGCAATTCATAGGAAGCGACTACTCTGCAAGAAGTTCTTCCACCAACAGAAAGACCTCTGGGAGTAATAATCCAATACCCCATCTCCCACAAACTAAGCACAACCTTGAAATACGCAGTGCCAAGAAACTCCGATGCGCCCACTCTCACAGCCAAAAATGTAAGGAAGTGAAAGATATCTTTGAAATAGCCAATGATTCTCAAGATTGACGCATCGCACTCTTCTTGACTTGGAGAAGGACCCGAAGCTAGAGGGTAACCTGTTTCCGGTCCTCTCCACCCAGTGTACTCCTCCTACAAGACGTATCGGGTAATCCTCGGGGCAATATGGAGCCGGGGTCCCTGAATATATCCTCGGCTCAACATCTGCTCCCCACACGTCGCCATGTGGGGAAATTGGGGCCCCAGGTGCAACCGCATACTGCAACAGTTTGACGTCGATCGTCACTCTATCTGGCTATTCCCAGCGAGGTGGCGTTAGGCACGTTGTTCAGGCAATTTAATTTGAGTTTGACGCTATACTTCTGCCCTTTTACCCATGTTCCAACTCGGCACACTTTCTTGCGACTTACCGGAAGCGGGGGATGATGACTTTGGCGGTAATGTTGAGTATTTAACCCTGACCATGTCTACAAATTTAGAGCTTGGATAACAATGCGGGTGTCAATCCTTTCTCTTACGGCCTTCGCTGTGGCCATTGAGGCCCAGGAGCTATACCTGACAACAACAGGATATGCCGCTCGACCACAATGTACAAAGCAAAGTGCTCCGAAGTATCACTTCCAGCCATTCTCGTACACTTTGAATGAAACGGTTCGGTGAGTGATTCCCATGTTGATGCACGTCGATATTGGCTAATCCAAGTATAAGATACGCGACCTCGGTCCCTTCTCCGACAACCACGAGGACATATGCCCCTGGCTACACAGATATAGCCAAGCATTTGACTACTACCTGGTCGACTTCGACATGGGGCAGTTGGGTTCCAGGACAAACTGTCATTACTGCCACTGACACTGATGACCCATATGGGCAAGCTGCGTGGTCTTCCATGTGGTTACAGGCAGACCTCCATAACTACGTAAGACACGCTCATTACACGAAACGTTACAGCTAACCGTATTAGACTACTACTGGAATGCTTTCGACGACCGTCAGCCCTACGCCAGTGCCCAGCAGTGAGCTGGTCTTGCCACCGCGGGACTACTTCGGACCTACAGACTGCTACAATTTCCCCCAAGACTTCGTGTTTGGAGTTGCAGGAAGTGCAGCCCAGATTGAAGGTGCAGTCGCACTGGATGGTCGATCTCCTTCGCTACTGGAAAAATTGGTACCAGACAGCAAGCCAAAGAACTACGTCACCAATGAGAACTACTTCTTGTACAAGCAAGATATTCAGCGACTGGCTGCCATGGGCGTGGAATATTACAGCTTCACTATCCCCTGGACCCGCATTCTGCCCTTTGCTCTACCAGGGACACCGGTTAATCAACAAGCTATTGACCATTATGATGATTTGATTACTGCAGTTCTGGATGCGGGAATGACGGTATGGAGTTTCAAAGAAATATCAGTCGAGCTTTGTTCTAACTTCCATTGCAGCCAGTGGTCACTATGCTTCACTTTGATAGCCCATTGATGTTCGTCGCCAGCGAAAACATCACGAGACGTCCTGATATTGGCTACAACAATGCAGGCTATCAAAATGAAACTTTTGTTGACGCGTTTGTCAACTATGGAAAGGTATGAAGTCAAAAGTTCATCTTTTGTGAGAGTGAGATACTGATTTAGTTCACTTCCTAGGTGCTGCTCTCACATTACGCAGATCGTGTTCCTATTTGGGTCACTTTTAATGAGCCTCTTCTTTATGCGTTCAATTTCAAGGGCGTTGACCACGTTGTCAAGGCACATGCCCAGGTCTATCGCTTCTACCACGAGGAGTTGAAGGCCAAAGGCAGAATAGGTATCAAGTTCAACGATAACTTCGGAGTGCCGAAAGACCCTAAAAACTCCAGCCATGTGCTGGCAGCTGATCGCTTCCAAGAGATGCAACTTGGTTTCTTCGCCAATCCAATCTTCTTGGGCAAGCAGTACCCTGAATCCGTCTTGAAAACTCTTCCCGGGGCTAAGCCATTGAACGATTCCGAGTTAGCCTATATCAAAGGAACATCTGACTTTTTCGGAATCGACCCATATACCGCTACGGTGGTGTCTCCTGCAGATGAAGGGATTGAAGCTTGCGCTTCTAACAATTCAACCTCCAACTCGCTTTTCCCATATTGTGTCAACCAAGAGACAAAGAATGTTTACGGGTGGAACATTGGTTACCGCTCTCAGTCCTACGTCTATATCACACCAACACATTTCCGAGAGTACCTCTTTTATCTATGGAACACTTTCCGCCACCCAATCCTGGTCTCCGAATTTGGATTCCCGGTTTACGCAGAAGCAGACAAGGACTTGTCTGACCAACTATTTGATTCCCCCCGCAGCATCTACTATCTCTCCTTCATGTCTGAGATTCTCAAATCGATTTATGAAGACGGGGTGCATGTGATGGGGGCGCTTGCTTGGAGCTTTGTCGACAATTGGGAGTTCGGGGACTATAGCCAGCAGTTTGGCATTCAAGCGGTCAATCGAACAACACAGGAGCGATCTTATAAGAAAAGCTTCTTTGATCTGGTGGATTTTGTTAAATCTCGACAGCCGAAGAAGGCTTAGATTGGAAGGCGAACGCCGTCACTTTCTTCTAGCCACGAGATTCGATGTCATGCAGCATAGTCACATTTCTGCCTCACGAGATTCAACCTCCATAGAAAGAAGAGCTTCAAGTAATCCAATCAACCTCAGTTCATTGACTGAACATGTAAATGGTAAATTACAGTAGTTCTCCCAATCGCCGCGCATTTGCGAGGAAGTAGTATGGCATATTACAACACTTTCGAATTTCAATAATCTTCACACTTCTTACCAAGGGATCTCGTTCCCATCATACTGATCTGCGCGGTCTGCGCCTTGCAGGCTGCGCTCTGCTGCTCCAACTGCTCCTTCCACGCTGGCGATCTCCGTGACATCCAGCTTGAGCATCTGCACTCGACCCGATGAAGCATTCACAATCTCCGTGAGTGGAGCAGAGTTGTCCTGGCGAGCGGTGGCAATGATCGTTCCCACTTCAGTCTTGGGCAAGGTTGCCAGACGAGCGACCAGCGCTAATCCGAGACCCCGTGAGGAGCCGGTTACGAGATAGGAAGCCATATTTTCGGTCGGGCTTTAGATTCTATGTGCTCTGAGCTTGTGGTCCTGGAGTTTTAAAAGATGGCCACAATATATTTGGGGGGGGGGACTTGGCCGAAAATCGTTCCTGTGCACCGTTTTTGCCGCTTCTGAGCGAATCTCGGACATAACGTAGATCATCTAGCCAATTGCCGTAAAAATGGGGCTCTACTCGATTGAAACACAAATATATCCTCGTTATTAGGCAAGTACAAAATTACGAGACTCAAAGGCTCCCTGGAACGGTCACTGGACGGAATAAATTCGAATAAACACTATCCTGGCTCATGTAGCATAAATTGGAAACCTTTTTCCATCGACTGGGCTTGTGGTTTAGTGGTATAATACTCCCTTAGCATGGGAGTGGTCCGGGGTTCGATTCCCCGCGAGTCCATTCCTTTTTTGTTTTTCTTGTATTTATTCATACCCAATCATTTGCATGTTATTTGCTTCTTTGTTGTCTGTTTATTTAGTTTATCGTAGTTTGATTCTATCCTCCCTTATATGGGGGTTCTTGGGCACGGTACGCGAAATCATGGAATACTAATGAGGACAATACAAACCGCTGATATTGAAGTATCATTAATCTTCCCAGTTAAAGTTGACCACAATGCGCCCCGCCACTTGTCCCTTGCGAAGCTTTTCCACAGCTTCGGGCATACGATTCACTGGATAGACTTCGCTGACCTGCTGTAACATCCCTCGTCGCGCAAAATCCAATGTCATGGCCACGTCCCTCCGGCTACCAACAAGGGTGCCTTTGATGGTGAGATTTTTGAAGACAAACGCACAGGGATCGGCACCTAGTGTCATTGATCCGATAGGAGGGAGACCGATGCACATCACGACGCTTCCAATCCGATCGCCAGTGAAAGAGATAGCATTTTTATATGCAGCCGGGGCTGTGACGAACACCCCGTGCGCACCGATGCCGTCCGCGATCTCAATCACAGCCTTAGTGGGATCGGCCACTTCTTTGAAATCCACAAAGGCCTCTGCGCCCATCTCCATGGCTAATTTCTGCTTGGAATCTCCTGTATCCACCACAACCGGACGCATTCCCATTGCCTTGGCTAGCTGAACACCTTGGATACCGACGCCGCCGCCGCCTCCAGGGAAAACAACCCATGCCCCCGCTCGAAGGTTTGACTCAATCAGAGATCGATAAACTGTGCTAGCACTGCACATCACAGGGGCGGCGACTTCATCGGAGACCCCATCGGGAATTGGTGACGCATAACGGGCTGGTGAGACCAAATATTGCTGATACGTGCCTGGTATCATGAGCTAACTTCTCAAACCGAGACCATTCACACTAAACTTACCTGCTACCATCAACCCAGTGTGAGTCGCCGCCTTACAGTACGTCTCCTTGTCATCCCAGCAATGACCGCACGAACCGCAGGTATCCATGATCGGTTTGATCCCGGCTCTATCGCCCACTTTAAATCTTGTCACGTTGGCTCCAATTTTAACCACAACACCGGCACCTTCATGACCTGGGGATCGAACGCCGAATGTGGACATGGGAGGGGCCCCTAAGTCGCCCTGCATCATATGAATGTCGGATGAGCACAGCCCGGTGTAGTTCAACTTGATCAAAATATCGTCTGGACCTATACAATGATATCATGTCAGACATGGATTGGAATGATAGAGGCTCTTCCCCTAACGTATTCAAACCTTACCTGGCTCTGGGACAGGCACCATTTGTACCTCGACATGAAAATCAGGCCCTTCATTGACCACGACTCCCGCTTTACAGTGGGTGGGAATTATGATCTGGGAATCACCCATGATTGAACCAATACTGATAGTATATAGTAGTTTCTCAAAAGCACAGAAGAAACTGTTAGTGAGCTCTGAGGCATATATGATATAGAAAAGGCAATAGTTAAATAGCCGAAGTGTCACCGAGGCAGAAATACGCGGAAACCATCCGTGGTGCCAACCCCTCATTTGACATTACACGTCAATAGCTTTGCACTCCGTATTTCCGAAGAGATGCGGGGACAGCTTGGCAATTGTCTAGCAAGGAGACATTACATTAGATTACAACGGCAATGTAAGTTGGGAAGAATGATTGTATGTTAGATCAACTCCTTATTCACAATGTACCACCGACTAAGCCATTGTAAAATCACCACCAAAAACTCCAATTTTGCAAAATATACTTCAAGACAGTAGAAGAAGAAAAGGCAAACAAATAAATGTGAAAACAAGAAACAAAGACGTACGAGACCAAAACATGAGGCAAGTCAATCCCAAATCAGCCACCCTGCAGACCCACCGATACCTATCATCACAAGCGCAGTGAGAATACCTGCGCCGGCCTTGTCAGCTGTGGTGATCGAGTAGGCCAGTGCGGGAGGAACCGTCTTAGGAGGCTTAGAACCAGCATTCGGGTTTCCCCTGCTCGTGCCACCGTCATCATCTGTGACAGGAGCCGATACACGAGTGATAAGGTTTGATTGAATCACTTCGAGGGCGGCCATCTGTTGACCGAAGTCTTTCGTCTTATCCCACTTCTGATCTGTCCATTTGAGACCACATGTCGTTCCCTTGGAGCCTCCTGTACAGGTTTTTGCAGCTGCTTGACCAGAAGCCCTCAATCGTTTTATGACCTTGTCATACGTGAAGGGAGCCATTTGGGTGGTTTGAGCCATCCAGCGTGCAAGATACCCTTTGAACGAACGCTGATCAACCATGCATGTGCTAACTGTCTCACAGGCTCGCTCGTACATCACGTCAGCCGGTTCATGAGCAAAAAAGACGCTTGAAGACTCGATAATCTTCTCGGTGCGTTCCTTCCATTTGGGTTCTTCGGTCTGTTGGAATGTTAGATTTTGTCGACACCGCTGAAGGCAGAGATTTCACTAACCAGATTGTACATATTGGCAGCACCAAGTAAGTAGACACCGGCATTATAAGTCCATTCAATCTGGTTGACGGGAGTGCAGTTGCTCAAGTCACTCGCTCCATCCCAGAAGCGATACTCGGGTGTCATGAATCCGACATCGGCGGTCCAGTCCCAGGCCTTTTCAGCCCATTCTGCGTACGTTTCGTTTTTGGTATACTTCGCCAGGCGGGAAGCAAGGTTGAAAAACCCGCCTGTGGAGATCGTGTTCTTGTAGTTATAGCCATTGTTCCAAGTAAATATCTGCCAGCGGAGACCTCCACCACAGGAAGACGGATCCCAGCGGGGAGCTTGAGTGTTGAACACAGCCTGGGCCATCTCAAGCCATTGCGGTTGATCCTCTGGCGGGTTGGGGAAGTTCCGCTCTGCGGCCGACATAGCAGCAAAGCCCCAAAATGCCTGATCATCATTGCCTTCTGTTTTGCTCTGATTGTTCGGCATGAATGCTTTGTTGTCCCCAGCCTGCCAAAGCATGCCCTGTATCGTGATGTCGTTCCAGGTATCGTCGCCCGTGTAAAACCAGTAGTCGATTAGGGCGTTGAACATCGCACCGGCTTCCCACCAGTAGTAGGGGTCGGGCAAATTTCCTGGATTGTCACCTGGGTTCATGCCGGTGTAGTATGTCATCATATTGGTTGCGACCTCCTTGGCAGCCTTTTTGATAGAGTCTTTGATCCTGATTAGTGTTTGCATACGGACAGAACCATAGAACACTTACCCCCATCATCCAGGTCCAGCTCTACTGCTTTCACAGTTGAAGTGCCCATCAGAGCGGCAGTCAGCAAACCCATCCATGAGGGCCGTGATGTGTGAGAAAACACGCGCATGGCGGCTGATATTTCAATCGGCCTGATAGCGAAGGTAATTGAACTACCCCCAGCAAAATGCTCAGCTTCAACCGCACACGGAAGCTGGCCGGATTGTCCGGTGATTGACCTCTGTCAATCTTGATGCCTTTGGATGTCCAAGAGGTCGACGAACACTGACGAAGATTGTGCGAAATATAGACTGGGGGAGATGATGATCCCCAGCAGTTTGTCAGTGAAGAATATGAAAAGATGGAGGAAATCACCACCCGACGTCAGAGTGTGCGAGACAGAACAGCGAGAGGGGGATGTGTGGATCGGATGGCCACATTCCAAGCACCCCAGGAGCGCTGGCATGGTAACAAGGCGTGGTCCTCAGACCATCCTCCGATAGGGGGAATCTGCAGGGTATCCTCGACATTTGGCTGCATCAAGAAATTCCATCAGGCTGTACTGATAACAGTCTCCGAAAATAGCTTGGGAGGTGACGGGAGTGCAACATTTGGCTCGTCATTTCCATGGATTCTGCATGGACGCTCCACGTTGGATCGGCATGGCATTCCAAAGCAGCTGTCAAAGGAATCAATCTGATCTGTGGAGAGAGATTGGCAAATCATAGATGGTCGGACGGAGCGAAGAGAGGGTGGAGCGTGTGGCCGCAAACGGGATGCAACAACACATTCCGTTGTAACCTGTATCCCTGGGCGTAGAGAAAGTACAATCATATTGTTAGAGTCTTAGAGGAAGTTGCAGGGGGTCAAATTCCAGGCATACCGCATCCCTGTGATGGGTTCAACAACCTTGAGCAGGGGAAGTCGCCAGAAAATTAGTAAGCTCGACTAAATGTCAATCATGAAGTGAATGATGTATATGATATCTATATGCCTATCCTGTTGATGAAGAGCACTTGGTTTTAGTCTGATTTCTACTGGAGCGATGGTTTTCATTTTAAAAAAAAGGGATTTATTAATGAGTATTTTAATTGAGTGTTTGAACCAGTAGTTCAACGGGTATTTCACGACTATGTCGCGACCATCACTCCTTTGCCTCAAGCACTTTTCTTTTCCCGCAAATAGCCCATAAAATGGTTACTAACTAGTCTAAACTAGTAATTAAGTACTTTAAGCCTTGGTTCCCCCTGCTTTTATTATTTTCTTCAATTACACTCGCTCAATGGGATATTCTCTCCGAGTTTAATGAGCCGGTTCGATATATTTTAGGTTCGCATGGATTTGAAATAGCTACATTGTAGGGGGCCACGAAGATAACTACCGTGACTTTTTGAGGCTCTTGCTGGGATGAGGGGAATAGGCCTAGCAATTCAGGCATAAATATTACCTAATACTTACATTAAGAGAGACAAACAGGACAAACAGGTACATCCAGATTTCCCCAGTCTCAATTATCACCGCTTCATTGGATGTCGAGGTCATCGACTTTCTGATCATCATGGATCAGACCCTGCCAAGGCCCTTAGTCACCCAAAATGGAAGTTCCTCCGGTCATCCCAGCGGAGAATCTCCATGTTTACCGAGTTTCCCGTGCTAACTAACGGAGCAAGTCGTTAGAGCGACCATGCAGACCAAATACCCCCCATACCACGGTCGTATTAACTCGTGAACTATGTGACACAATGTTGCTTTGTCTTGGGCAATAGCATTCATATAAGAGACCGTGTCACCCAGAGATACAGGCAGAATTATCTCCCAGATTGCAGCAAACCAAACAACTTTGGAGTATGTTGAAGCTTGTGGGTGCGCTTTTAATACCAATCGCCATCAGTGGCAGTGCCAATGCAGCAAATGTTGCCTCAGACCTCCTCGTCGCCTCTGCTGGCGACGTGGCTGCCATACCTGGATGGTACCTCCAGTCGGCGCTCAAGGTGCCGGACGACTTGTCCGCGTTGTCTTCACCGGGAGCAGACAGCTCTTCATGGTATCGGGTCAGTGGTCGTGGTACTGTAATGGCTGGTCTTCTGGAAAATGGGGTCTATAACGAAACGGAAATGTTTTATTCCGACAACATGGAGTCGATGAGCGATACTTCGTTCGAATCCCCGTGGATTTATCGAGAGGTGTTCAAAATGAGCCCATCCGAAGGACAGTATTTTACTTTGAAGACCCATGGAATCACGTCCAAGGCGGACATCTATTTGAACGGGATTCTCATTGCAACAAGTGACCAACAACAAGGATCCTACGGTGGCCTCCAGTACGACCTTACCGACCATATTCAAGAAGGCGACAATTGCATTCTTATTCGTGCCTTTCCAACTAATTATCTTCGTGACTTTGCCATGGGGTTCGTGGACTGGAACCCTTACCCAGCGGACAACGGCACGGGAGTCTGGCGAAACGTGGAGCTATCTCAGACCGGATCGGTTTCCATGTCTCCATTTCGTATACTGACTGATTTTACGAAACCCCCTACCGAGATTGTGAATGTCACGTTCCGAACTGAACTGTTCAACCATGAATCGGAAGCTCATCGTGTCATGGTAAACGGAACTGTTACATTACGAGATGGCTCCGCTGCAGCTCAGATCTGCGATACATTTGATTTGAAGCCAAATGAAAGAAAGACAGTTTCGATCAAAGCTTCGATTCGGAACCCTGATATTTGGTGGCCTGCTCGCTGGGGCGGGCAACCCTTGTATACAATCCAGGCAGATACAATCATCCAGGGACCTCGAGAACTGGTGTCAGACCGTTCCAGCAGTCAACGATTTGGGATCCGACATGTATCATCAAAGTTGAACGGGTTCAATGACACTGAATTCACCGTCAATGGAGAACCTTTCCAAGTCATTGGCGCCGGTTATGGACCAGATATCTTCATGAGATTTGATGAGGACAGAGTTGAGAAAATCTTTACTTACCTGCTGGACATGGGAATGAATACTGTTCGATTGGAGGGAAAGCAGGAGCACCCGGAACTATACGAACTAGCAGACCGCATGGGAGTGATGGTCTTGGCAGGATGGGAATGCTGTGATAAATGGGAAGGCTGGGAAGTACGTGACCGCAATCTCGTTTGAAAACCTAATTCACTGACAGTATGAGCTTAGTACAATGAGGATGCCGACGGCATCAAATGGGAGGATCCAGATTACCTCATTGCAAGAGCATCAATGTTACATGAGGCCGAAATGATGCAAGCTCATCCCTCGATGCTTGGATTTTTAGTGGGCTCAGACTATTGGCCAGATGATCAAGCTACAGAAGTATACCTAGATGCTCTTCAAGATATGGATTGGTCCAACCCAGTCATTGCATCGGCCAGCATGCGTGGTTATCCGGAGGCCCTAGGGCCTTCTGGAATGAAAATGAACGGTCCGTACGATTGGGTGCCACCGAATTATTGGTATGGTGACCAAGAAGGGGCAGCCTTTGGATTTGGATCTGAACTGGGCGCTGGAGTTGGAACCCCTGAGATGCGCAGCCTGAAGAAGTTCATGTCCGATGATGATCTGGAAACTCTGTGGACACAACCAGATGCAGATTTGTATCACATGTCTCGTTATGACTCTCACTTTTACGATCGGTCCATTTACAACAAGGCTCTTTACTCTCGTTACGGCAAACCAGTGAGCGTGGATGACTACGTTCTAAAAAGTCAAATGGCGGACTATGAGGCTACGCGGGCCCAATACGAAGCTTACTCAACGAGAAAAAATGCCACCCGACCCGCCACAGGTCTGATTTACTGGATGCTGAATAGTGCTTGGCCAAATCTGCACTGGCAGTTGTTCGACTACTACCTCAGTCCCATGGCAGCCTACTTCGGCACAAAAGTCGGTGCACGCATGGAACATGTTGCTTACGATTACGAAAGTCGGAATATTTGGCTCATCAACCACTCGGTCGAGAATGAAGGACAGCGACAGGTTTTGATAGATGTCATTGACACACATGGAAACAAGCTATCGGGCACCAAAGTCAACATCACTACGACCCCTCATTCAGCGAAGCCAGTGAGCTCAGTTGATGCAATCAACACAATCCAAGACGTTGCCTTCCTGCGCTTAATACTCTGTGATCCAAAGTCCGACCTGGTCATCAGTCGCAATGTCTACTGGGTCTCTCAAACTACAGATGTTTTAGATTGGTCAAAGTCTAACTTCTTCACCACCCCAGTCACAACGTTCGCAAATTATACGAAGCTTCAATCCCTACCAACAGCTAATATCAAGGTATTGCTGCGCCCCCAAAGGTCGACCTCCTCTACATATGGCTTAACTCAGGCAGAGGTCCAATTGGAAAATGAATCCGGGGTGCCGGCATTCTTCATTCGGTTGAATGCTATCCATGCATCCGAAAATGCAGAGGTAGCACCAGTCTACTGGTCTGATAATTATATCACCCTTTGGCCAAAAGAGAAGCTTCGCGTGACAGTTGCGTTTCAAGGGAATCTGCGACAGACTAATTGAAGTATCTGGTCAAAATACCGAAAAGATGACACTAAAGGGCGCGGATATGCAACAATAATGTAAAATTGAAGATTTTCGCTGAGATAAGATGGAGTTACCATGTTATGGTAACTCCAGCCTATAAATTGAACATTCAGCTGCGGCAAAAGGAAGTTAGTCGATATAAAGGCGTGAATGAAAATTTGCATCGCAACGCCATCGCAAATGTTACGTAGACCTTCAACTGGAGCGCGGATCAAAGACGGATAACACGCCAGTCGAAAAAGTCAAAGAAGAATACAGGACATAATACATATAAGTGATTGGAATGCGTGCCGCCCTGACCAAGTATGATCAAGAAGTCTCAGTAGTTGTCTGTAATAAACTCAAGACGTGTGGCATCTTTGATCCAGAATACTCAATCCCAAGAACAGTAGGACTTTTCAGATCCTCGGAGTAAAACATGTTAAGGCTCTGACCACTTGCGGTGCAGAACGAAGATGTTTTCCGAAGATCTGGAAAAGTCAAGAGCCCTTTCGCTGGTGTACTGTCCCACAGATAGTAAAGTGAGATACTTTGCAAAGCCAAAAAGCCCGTACTAAGCCTTTTCAAAAAGGATGTCCAATTGCTGCCTGGAGCCAGTGAGACATGGTATAGTGTCAGTGCACTCAAATTTTCACGAGCAATGCCGAGTAACTTATCAAGATCTGGAGCCCGCAGGCATGTTCGAAATAATGCAAGCTCGCGCAGCTTGGAGAAATTGGCACTCTCTGCGAGTTCGTGCATGAATTCAGAGGCCAGGTCATGCGAGCCAAGGTTCAAAAGAAGAGTCTGGAGGTTTGGAGCGCTGAGAACCAGCTCAAGCAAAAATCCAAAGTTGTCCAAGGTAAGGTACTGCTCCAAAGACAGCTTCTGCAAATTGCCCCAGACAAGTTTAAACTCCGGTTGACGGTAGAGAAGTTTCGGTAATCGGCGCATATCCATGATCAAGGTGCGCGAGTATTTGTTCGCGTATATGAGATGGAAGGATGAGACGGGCAGACGAGCATCGACGACCAGGGCAAAGAAAACCGCGACAGCATCAGTGATGGTGACATGACTCATGTCCGGATGGCCCTCTGGATATCGACAAAAGATAAAGAAAGATCGGCAATTAGTCAAATTTTGAATTAGGTTGTCGCGAAGAGACCGAATTGCCTCAACCTCCAAGGGCGCTGATAATGGACCCCATGGATGCCGTTCCCAAACTAGGCCGCGACCGACACCATTGTGAAGCATGAAAGCTAAACCGTGCACGTAAGAGCGTAGCTCAGAATTCTGAGAAAGGGAGTTTATACGACGTAGACTGTCATCAGACAGGTCGGTCTTGATAGATGAGAAGAAGCGCCGCGCAAAGTGATGAAAGGTCTTTTTCTGAATTTCACGACAGACCAAACGGAGGTCTAGCAAGGTATCTTCTTCAAGGAAGCTGGCGATCAACTCCACCAGTTCGACCGCCAGAGTAGGGAAAAGGCATGAACTTCTCATTTTGGGGTGATATGTGAAGAGTGGAGGAATCCAAGGTGGAGAAGGGAGCTACCCCGGATTCCCGAAACAGCCTGTCAGTGACGAGTGATTACCCCTCACTGTGGCGGAATCAGCCGGAATTGATATATATCTCATTTGTATGGAAATATTAAAGCTTTTGATGTGATGCTAGTTTTTGATAGGGTTGCTATTCCCGGGCGGTTTTAGTATCTACAGTAGGTCGTGATCGGACAACCAGAGTATGACTTGCTACAGTGGCAGTGGCAAAAATGCTATAGTCGTTCAATGCTCCATATCCTGTGCGAGCCGTTCCCCACATAGAGCGTCGATGCACCTGCGCTTGAGGAACATGTTCCATTTGGGTCGCATTAGTCTGGAGTTCCAAGCGTTGCCCAGTACCTGATCCCCACGAAAGCCGTTTCGGTGTGGTGTCAATAAAGATTCGGATCTAGCGCCTTAATAAAGCTAAGATAGTAATCCATGGTGATGTGCCCAATCTTTGCATTGGAGTTCGCATACGAGTACGTGGGCTCGTTGGTCTCCCCGATCCCGAAAATCGCCGGTAAATCAAAGACATGAGGAACTCCCATGCCATTTGCTAATCCAGGCAAGAAACTGAGGCTAAGTATTACCTCCAATTACATTGAGGATGATCACTTCTGCGGAACTATCTCAGGTAGGATCGAGAAAAGGGAAAAGTCATTAGTCACCAAAAGAATGCTCAACGAGCGAGATACGCAACTAGATGCCGCGGAAAACCCGTCTGGGCAACAATCGATTTGGAGGTGGTCCCCATATATATAACTTTTAATGGGGCACAAGCTTGCGACGTTGACGTTGTCGAACAGGTTGGATCTTGAACAGATTCATGAAAACCAGGATCCGACGTTCTTTACCGGTAAAGGAATTGCTATTGATATTGCGCGCCGCTTCGTGAGTGATATTGGTGATTGAGTCAGGAACGTAGGGAAATTTATCTCAATTGAGGAGTCCACGTAGACTCGTTGCGAGTGTGTGCGTTAGTACTGCCCAATTGCGTCCGAATACAGATCTGCCCGAAAATCTATCGACGCCCGTGATGTTTTACATGAAATCCTATGAATGAAATTCTCCCCGATGAATGTCCCAAGACAAGAGTATTTCCGTTGACCGCTGAGCATTTTGGCCGATACTCCGGAGGAAGCCACAAGACATTGTTGCCGCGAAGGGCTATCCACTGATCGTTCTCTATCCATATGTTGACAATTTCCCAAGTGGGATTGGAACCATGGTTTTTGAACCAGGATTGGATATCGACGGATCCCAGATTGTTACCCAGATAAGAGCCATCTTGGGAAAGCTTCAAGGTCGTGTTTAGTCGATTGACCCCCGAGATCTGCTGTAGAGCGGTGCCATTGGTGGGATTCCACAGAATGAGTGCCTCATCATTCGAGATAGATGCCAGCAGTCGCGAATCGGGGGAAAATGCCACAGACCGAACCCTGCTTGAATGGCCCTCGAGAACCTGCTGCAAGACGCCCGTGGAGGGATTCCAGACCCTGACGGTCTTATCATAGGAACCAGATGCTAGAAATTGACCATCGGGAGAGAACACCACTGCTCGAACTGACAATGAATGACCACGAAGAGTCTGTTGTACGACGCCTCTAACGGGGTCCCAGAGCCGGATTGTGGTATCGCGGGACCCTGACGCGAGTGTCCCACCATCAGGGGAGAATGAAACAGAATAAATCCAGTCTGAATGCCCCTCAAGAGTCTGATGTTGTTGAGTGCCCATGGCGGGATCCCAGAGCCTAGCTGTCATATCATAAGAGCCAGACGCTAGCAGTTGACCACAGGAGGAAAATACAACAGACAAAGCAGATCCCGAATGGCCGTCGAAAGTTCGGTGTAAAATTCCTGTGGTGGAATCCCAGAGCCTGACTGTCTTGTCCTTAGAAGCAGAGGCCAGCACTCGACCATCAGGCGAGAAGGCCACAGAATTAACCCGATCTGAATGACCTTCAAGGGTCTGCAGCAGGACACCGGTGGAAGGGTCCCAAGTCCTAATAGTCTTATCGTAGGAGGCAGACGCCAGAAGCCGACCGTCGGGCGAGAAGGCCACAGATTTTACCCAGTCTGAATGGCCCACAAAAGTACGCCGCAATAAACCGGTATTGGGATCCCAGAGTCCGATAGTTTCATCATCAGACCCAGACGCAAGGAAGCCGCCAGACGAGAATGCCACCGATTGGATTCGTCCAGAATGGCCCTGGAGAGTTTGTTGCAGGTTGCCTGAGGAGGGATCCCATAGCCTGACAGTCTCATCATCGGAGCCTGAAGCGAGTAGCTGACCATCGGGAGAAAATGCCACAGAATTTACCCAGTCCGAATGACCTTTGAAAGTCAGATGCAGGACCCCCGTGTCAGGATCCCAAATTTTAACTGTACCATCACTAGAGCCAGATGCGAGATAGCCACGAGACGAGAACGCTACAGAATGAACCCTACCGGAGTGGCCCTCGAGGCTCTGCTGTAGAGTGCCCGTGGATGAATCCCAAAGCCTGATGATCTCGTCACCACATCCGGACGCAAGACAACCATTGGATGCAAAAGCCACTGAATGTACCGAGCCTGAATGGCCTTCGAGTGTCTGTAGTTCTGCGCTCCAGGCTTCATCTACTTCTGGGAAAGTATGTATCCAATGAGGGATCTCCCTTTCAAATTGCCTTCGAAGGATTGATTCTTTGGGTGCAAATATGAGCCCTGAGCAATAGAGTTGAAGGGGTGCATCGTCAGCTATTGGCCCATTTTTCAGCAGAAACCGCCGAGCATCATGTAAAAACTCGGATAATTCCACATTTCTTTGAACCTAAAAAATTAGCATAGGTTATGTCTAAATAGACAATAGATACTTGATACTTACAGGTAGCAGTGACTGTAGTAGGTTGATGATCCCTATGATGTCTGAATTAAGCCCTAAAATGCTCAATACTTCCATCCAGTGTAGAAAATGCTGCTGGAGGAATGAATGGACATGTGAAAGTGAGTTTTCTGTTCCAGCAAGATATTCCTTGCATCGACTCAGATGATGGGCCCAAAAATGGCAGGAATATTGCATCTCTGGCGGGAAATACCGAGAAATGATCCGGCTGTCAATCGCCGTACGTTTCATGCCATAGCCTAACCCACACATATTCTGTTTCAGACCGCCACATATTTCAAGGCATCGTGCAGTTAGCCTCTGATGCACCTGCTCCTCATTGATCCAAAACGGTGTTTTATGTCTTGTCTCTGAGTCAAGAAGGAAATCTCGAAATGACAGATGAAACAGCCGCACCGGTTTAGTTAGATCACTGGGTATACTCAAAACTGAGTGTAGCGAGCTAAGCCTCCGATCAATTTGCTTCTCGGGGGTTCTTAGAAGTCTAGATAGCGAGGCAACCGAGAGTGGACTCTCAAGCGTCACGATTGCGCCAACTACTTCGTGGAATTCCCGAACCAGCTCTCTTTCCTGCTTCTTGCTCTGCCCTTCAAGAAGCCGATTCAGCACCGGAAGATACGTCTTGTCAAATTGAGACATGTCGTCAAATCGAGACGTGTCATCCAATTGGGATTCATCATTCTGATATGCAAGTAACTTTGCCAGGCTATCTTCTGGATCCCACTGAAGGTCTCCAAGAATACGGCACGCGGTAGCTGCGAAAATAAATAATGGAGCCGACATTCTCACAAGCGATTTGATAGCGGTGTCTTCAGGCCAATCGTTAGGTAGACCCCGGTCCATCCGTATCATTGAAAGTCGATGCTTCAAGAATAGGGATATGTCGTGCTGTACCACTGGCTCGGGAATCTCATGGAGAACCATATCTTGATGATCAAGACTTGGAATCTGTGAGATTCCTAGACGGATTGGCAGCTCAGGTCTGCTCGTTAAAAACACTCGGAGACGTAGAGTATTTGATTCTTGTAGGGTTGGCAACAATCGAAGAATGGCTCGTATGTCCTCATCCCGAGCACATTCGTCCAGTGCGTCAATCACAACGATTATAGCGGAATCCCGGAAATCAGTCAAAGGCCATAATTCAGAAAGCTCTAAGCTTAGAATAGGCTGAAGGATTAATCTGTAAAATTGCTCCTTCAAGGATTTACCTGCGATATCCGGTTCGTCGTCGAGTACTTTTTGGACCCCTGGGATCAACCGAGGAATGCGGACAACGAGCTGTCTTACGATTGTCGAAAAGAGCTTCATAGCATTTCCTCGGTCACCCTCACCTCTCTTGAAGAAGAAACTCGCCCCCAAAAGCTTCGCCTCCTTGAGCGATTTTGCCACTGTTCGGGAGATAGTCGATTTCCCTGTTCCAGCCATCCCATTTAACCAGAATATGCACTTGCTTTGCGGTGACCTAGCCCATTCTATAATCTGATGGAGGAGCTCGGTCCTGGTACCTGGCAGGCAGTCATCCTCATGTTGGTTTGTGTACGAGTCAAACTCGGCCCCATATGCGATCGGCAATTTGACGAGAACCGAGTTTTGGTCGACACGGTCCGCACTCCGAGCTAAACCAGTTAGGAGAGTGCTAAGTCAAAATAAGCTGTTGATTATTGAATAGTTTCAGTGACAAACATACGTCTGGTTAACTTGTAAAGATAAGGTGAAGGATGATTTGCATCTTTCGAGGTTTTGGATCAGTCTGTCCACCTCTGTGCGATTGAGAGGCCATTTAAAGGCTCGGATTCCAAATCTTCTCATGAAATCTTTCCCTTTCCCTGGATCAACACTCTTCTTTAGGGACCCGAGGTCTGAGAGACAGTTGGCAATGCTCCTGACTAGCGAGGAGGAAATGGTGAGCGTTGTTCCGTCACGACCTTCGAGATATTCTCTGATTTTCTCAACAGTCGATTCAAGGTCCGCGACCGTCCGTTTTAACGCAATGATGTCATCTCGTGCGTGCTTCACCTCTTGGAGGTAGCCACCGCATATTTTCACAATACTCCCCGCGAGTTGAATGATTCCAATAACGCTGGCTGCCGCCGAAATTCCTTCCATACCTGAATAACAGACAGAATCCCTAGCGCTCCATAATGGTAGAGACAATAAAAAGAGGGAGTCTAATAACAGGGGAATTCAGAGGCGATGCTGCAGAGGTGAGGCTTCAAGTGGTGAGAGGGGCAGCGCCGGAAATGAGAAGAAGGCGGTGGTTAGGCACGCATTCCTATTGGCGTGATTTGCTGATGATTTGCTGACAGCAGAGCCCAATGAACTATCCGTGTTCATTGTGATTAGAAAGAGATGAAACTGCTAGCTTGGTCGCCTGAAGAGAGGGTATGTTAGTAGAGTAACTTATTTGAAAGCGAGGTTCTGATTATCCTAGTCCTCGATTCTGGTTCGATGGTCGGCCCGCACCGAACTACCGTCTCTCTTGCCCCTCGCTTCTGGCCACATCAACCTCAAGGTCGACGGCACGACAGGGACCGTCATAGTGCCTCAGATAACACCTTCCCAGCCTGGCTGATCCGTGGTTTGATCAGCAGTATATCTCTGACGACCTCGCAGGTGGCTGAAGCTGCTGTTGCAGCAAGAGTTCCCGCCACCAGGTGACCTAACAAGCCTCGACATTAGGGAAGTAACCCCGTTTTGATTTCAGGCTCCTCGTTCGTTCACTCGTAGAGGGAGGATTGATACCTACTTTTACTTGCCGCTCATACTTATCAATGATTGCATAACCCAGCATTGTGTATTTACTCTTCTTGTGAAGATATGCTGTCAGTATCGAGTTGTAAGGGTTTATGAGATTCAGTTAGCAATAGGACTATTATCTGTAAACTACATAGTCTCTCATCATGTGATTTGATTTTACAACACATTTCGAGAGTTTGAAACAGACTCATCCAAATACAGACTAGCGTGTTCAGAGTCGAGTTTGGGAAAGAATCAAAGAGAGCAAAGTGGTGAAACTGATTTCGAACGTGTCTGTATACTCCTATGGAACTGGATATTAGGTACAACATCTCCGAGGTATCCGATTGAAATAGTATCGAAATAGGAAATATAGAGCTTTGGGCACTTACCTAGATATATTCCTCACACTGAAGTTCAACCGCAATGATCAAGTGGGGTGTGGATCTGATAATCCCGGTCCCGGAAAATAGTGGATTCGCCCATAAATTATCGTGTCGTGTCCTTTGGGGTTGAACTCATACATATATTCATCATGTCTTGTGAAGCTTGTCGTACTATTCCCCCTGTTACCGTGCAGGGGTATTCCCCAAAGGGTCATTATGAGACTATTGCGGGCCTCAAAACATGTGAGTCTCCAGCTTATCTACGCATGCAATAATTGACTGTTTGTGATGAGATGTGACTGGAAATACGGACGGAAAGATGGGCATAGTCGACCTCTATGATGTCTTTGGGCTCGCCAGCCAGACCCTTCAGGGTGCTGACCTTCTCGCCGTGCGCCTCAACGCTGTGGTGTTGGTTCCTGATTTCTTCGAGGGCGATGCGCTCAAGCCGGAGTATGTTCCGGCCGATACCGAGGAAAAGAAACAGATAATTGCAGAATTTATGGCACATAAAGCGTCATTCTCGCGAAATGCGACGGTCCTTTTGGAGGCAATCCCAGAATACAAGTCTCGGTTCCCTTCTGTGGGGAAATGGGGTGCCTTTGGTCTTTGCTGGGGCGGAAAGGTACGGCCTGAAATTGACGAACGCTTGGAATGGAAATTTTGTTAATCACGCTCGTTTACAGGTCACAGTATTAGCCTCAGGTGCCAACAGTCCTTTTGCTGCCTCGGGACAGGTGCATCCAGGGTATGTAATTTGCCTCTTGTTTTCACACTTTCACATTCGACAAGCAGTTGACGAGATTGATGAGTAACAGACGCATGGATGTGGCTGATGCTGCCCCCTTTCCATTCCCCACATTGTTTTGGCATCGAAAGACGAGCCTGCTGATGCAGTCGCTGGCTACGCCCGAGTGATCGAAAGCAATGAGTCAGGTGGACATGTTGAGACATACACTAGCATGTGGCACGGATGGATGGGTGCTCGTGCGGACTTGGATGGAGAGGAGAGTCGAGCTGAGTACACACGAGGGTGAGAGACTTTGATCTTCACATTGATATTCAACTGATTGCTAACAGTCTTCCAGGTATTCTCAATTAACTGACTTTTTTGAGAAGAACCTTCGGTAGATGTGACGTGGTGATTGCGCTTGTAATATTGGAAGCATGGGAACTATTGTAATCTCAACTCAGGCATTGTCCAATAGTGCAAGTATTTCCCAAGGAAGAATCTTATTGCGAATGTGGCATTGTTTCCATATCCATAAATAATCCAGTAAAGTTACAGCAGGACTACAATGCGACACCTGCAAGTGAAATATGATCTGAGACATGATATTGCAAAAGCCAGGTCAAGCCTGGCCATATGCTCGTATGTATGAAATGCACTTAAAATGAAGATAGACCTTGAGATTGATAGCTTAGGCATTAATCGGGCATTTTTAAGCCCAGCGCGAGCTCTCTATATGGCGGCCCACTTCTATCCCGGTACTGGTCCGTCCCCGGCACAAAAAAGCCCATTGGGCTTGATATAAAAACATATAGTCAGTATCGAATTTGAAACAAGTGCTCTATCTTCGATCATGCAAGAGGGTGGTGTAACGGAGAAGCGACCGCCCCTGGTGTCCAACGAGGGCAATACTGAGAACAACACCTCTCAACCCATCCAGCCAGACTCAGGAGTTGACTTGGAGGTTCAAACGGAAAATGGATCCTTACCTCCATACAGCATTCTTCCAAATGGCGGAAAGGCTTTTGTGATTGTGGCGGGCTCATTTGCGGCCCTCATTTCACCACTTTCGAGCAGCATCTACCTACCCGCACTTGACTCTCTCTCCAGGGATATGAATGTCTCTGTTTCACTGATCAACCTAACTATCACCACATATTTGGTAATTCAAGTCATCACGTGCAACAATATTGTGACTGACCGATTATAGATTTTTCAAGGACTTGCACCCTCATTTATCGGCAGTTTTTCAGACATCCATGGTCGACGTCCCGCATACATCATCTCCTTTACAATATACCTTGGAGCCAATATTGGCCTTGCATTACAGAACAACTATGTCGCTCTGATGATTTTGCGTTGCATTCAATCCTCGGGCAGTAGTGGGACTGTTGCATTGGGCAGTGCTGTCATGGCCGATCTTTCGACTCGTGCAGAGAGAGGAAAATATATTGGATACGCAGGCATTGGTCTCGCGCTGGGACCGACACTGGGCCCTGTCATAGGCGGACTTTTGGATCATTATTTGGGATGGAGGTCGATCTTTTGGTTCCTGGTCATTCTGTCGGGTGTTTGCTTTGTTGTGATTCTTATTGCTTTCCCCGAGACATGTCGAGCTGTCGTGGGAAATGGATCTGTACCACCGGCGTCATGGAATCGCCCGCTTTGGGCGTTTTGTGTACGGCGCTCTCAATTTTGCGATGAACAGCGAGCCGCCGACTACACCACCATTCAGCAACTGAAGCGGCGTCCCAACCCAATATCGGCTCTTTTTCTAGCCACACAAAAAGGGACAGGCTTGGTCCTCATGTACGGTGCACTGTTATATGCAGGCTATATGGCCGTGATCAGCACCCTGTCGACTCAGTTGACCAGTCGCTTTGGATTCAACTCCATCCAAGTCGGATTGTGCTATCTCCCCATGGGCATGGGTAGTATCAGCTCTCGCTGGTTAGTTGGCCGATTGTTGGACTGGAACTTCCACCGTGAAGCACGGCTTCAAGGTATGACTATCCAGAAAAATCGACAGCAGGAGATTGAAAACTTCAACATTGAACGAGCTAGACTAGCAATAACGATCCCGTTAATCTATTTAGCCAGTCTCTGCATTATAGCCTACGGCTGGGTGATGCAGTATCGAACTGCTCTATCTGGCCCTCTCGTGATGTTGTTTTTCACTGGTCTTACGACTACAAGTGCATTCAGCACACTGAGCATACTGGTTGTAGACATCCACTACCAAAGCGCGGCAACTACCGCGGCAGCTAGTAATCTCTTTCGCTGCTTGCTGGGTGCTGGGGCAACAGCAGTGGCATCACCTCTCATAGGGGCAATCGGCATTGGGTGGACAGCAACGTTTATTGCTGGTCTTTGGGCGCTTGGAAGCCCCGCTTTGTGGATTGTTTTCCAGCAGGGATATCGTTGGAGACAGAAACTTGCCAACAAGGAGCAGCGAAAGCTTGACCAATCCACCCCGTAAGTGGCTTTCTCTCTCTCTCTCTCTCTCTCTCTTTTTTTTTTTTTTTTTTTTTTTTTTCAATAGCAATAGATGTTAGATTGTGCCTGTGGAAGTGTATGCCCCAAGTTAATCAAAATCTCCAGATAATGTTGATTAGAACCTCTTGTCTCCTAGAATTTCTTTACTTGACCATATGCGGTACTCCATACGTGTACATGTGCTGTATGTGGCGATAAAGTTTGTATTCCATATTAGTTGCGGGGATGCCTGACTGTCAAGATGACATGCGACGGAGTCATCATACATGTATGACCGCTTTACAGGGATATCGAAAGACCTCCAAGGTACATGAATCTAGAAGGAACGCCCCGGAGTGAAATGTTCAATAGACGCTGATACTCGGCGCCAAAATCTCTGCCAACAGTAAAGAAAACCAGACTAAAGCAATGATCAGAACTTGGGAAAAGGAAAAAAACTGAAGATAGGGCAGGAGGATCAGATTTGACCGGGATCCGTTATATGCCTGATCGACAATCAAAGAATTGCCGATATACACGATCAACACGACACTAAAAGCTTGATTGAGCTTGGCGGACTCCACTACTCGTTCGTCGCGCGATTCCGAAAAGTGCAATCTTGAAACCCCACAATGAAAGAGTTGACGACGCTAGCGCAGAGGATTACGCACGCCCCTGACGCTATATTTAACTCGCCATGCGTAGTTAGGAAAATGGATCTACCTGGGATTTCTGGCCTATTTGATTGTTTTTTCTTTTCTTTTCTCGCCAGGCTCCTTGTTCACAATTGTCTTCTCTTTTACTCCTATGGACCTCTTCTGATTGGTCAATTGCTTTTATATGGGTTATATATCATTTTCACAAAATGTATTGGTTTAGGGGTTTCCCTTGTCGGGGTTTTCTCGCCACTCTGTTACTGTCTAATATGGCGCATGCTATCGATTTCGACATCAGCGATGAACGTACGTCGACCTGGGCATCTGCGGCGATATCATGCAGAGAACGAGCTGACCTTTCGATTTATTAGAGTCTATCAAAGACGCGGCGAGTACTTCGGCTTATTCAATGATGACCTGGTATTATGGCAATGAAACCGGTCAGATTCCCGGAGCATTTCCCGATAAATGGTGGGAGGGATCTGCTCTCTTTCTTGCACTCCTACAATACTGGCACTTCACCGGCGACACTACCTATAACTCGGAACTTAGTATTGGTCTGCAATGGCAATCAGGCGATGACGGAGACTATATGCCAAGCAACTACAGCTCTTACCTGGTGAGGAATCCTAGATCAATGGAGCGTTATAAGTGTCTAATACGCTTTCAAGGGAAACGACGATCAAATGTTTTGGGGCCTTGCAGCTATGACAGCTGCCGAGTACGGATTTCCGGATCGCTCAACTGGATTCTCTTGGCTTTCACTGGCACAGGGTGTATTCAATACCCAGGTCAAAAGATGGGATACGTCCTCATGTGGGGGTGGATTGCGCTGGCAAATTTGGCCATACCAGAGTGGCTATGGAATGAAAAATTCTATTTCCAATGGTGGCTTATTCCAATTATCTGCACGCTTAGCTCGATATACCGGGGATGCGATTTATCTCCAGTGGGCTAACAAGATTTGGGATTGGTCGGTCTCATCACCTCTCTTGAGTAACACGACATGGAACGTCGCCGATTCCACTAACGTCAACGATGATTGTGCAACCCAGGGCAATGCTCAGTGGACATATAACTACGGCACGTACTTAGCGGGCGCGGCTTATATGTATAACTATGTGAGAAATTCCTCTATCTATTGGAATCCATCCCTATGATCTTCTATCTCCATAGATTCGATATTCTTATCAAATCTTTTTTACTGATTCAAACTTTTCCACAGACAAGCGGAACCGCACAAGATCAATGGCAGACAGCCGTCAATGGGCTTTTAAACAAAACCTTCGAAACATTCTTCCTCACAGGCAATATCATTGAAGACTTCAACTGCGAGCCCTCGGAGACCTGCAACGACAATGAAATTCTGTTCAAAGGACTCACTTCCTCGTGGCTAGCGTTGACTGCTGTGCTAGTCCCGTCAACGTTTGACAGTATTTTAGCAAGGCTGCAAACCTCCGGTGCAGCCGCCGCGGCATCCTGCACTGGCCATAACAATGGTACCTGTGGTGTTAGGTGGTATAAGTCAGAATACGATGGTTGGCTTGGAATGGAAGAAGAAATCAGCGCCACAAACGTATTTCTTGCCAACATGATTAATTTCAATAAGACGGCCCCGGTCACTTCGACAACTGGTGGAAACAGCACCAGTAATCCTACGGCTGGTGAAGACGACAGTGATGCGTCGAGTGGAAAGACAACAGTCATCACAACGGGTGACCGGGCAGGTGCTGGCATACTTACTGCTGTCTTCGTGGCTGGTTGGATTGGCCTGATGGGCTTCATGGTAGTCGGTGGCTAATACTGCGGGCGTATATGCATCTATATTTGTGGAGTTCAGGCTACTTGGCGTTTAACGGATATACACTATGCTTTTCATTCAAGACTTGATCGTCCTATCATAGTGGATTAAAGCTCATTCATTGGAATAGGGGTTCACTGCAAGAAACAGAGTGTCCAAATATAATTTCTTCTGAAACTCGCAGAAGCTCACGGATTGATCACGTATAGTCTCAACTTTGCATGCTTTAGAATTCGATAGGCTACTACTGAGGCAAGGTAAAAATAGGCCGACTACAATGCAATGATCCCAAATGGTGTTGTATTCGACTGATGATATGTGGCTCTATGGGAAGACATCGGATTGAATCTGGGATACCTTTGGGGATATTGGCTAGTTCCCATAGTGGGGAGGAGTGGCCAGCTTATCGATTCTCCAGAGAATCACCTCCGAGGGAGGAGGATGAGAGTCCATAATGCATATGTGTTTATAAAATCCAAGCAATAACGGACTGAATAATGAGCGAAAAATTTTAGGATTGGAGAAGCGGGCATTGGAAGAAAATATGTGGCTATGACTATACCTGGGCAGCATTGGTTGATCCCCTCGTAGGACTAGAGAGAGATGACAAGGAGCAAAGCAAATGCTTTGTATCTTTACCTACCGTAGGGATATTGTTTTGATCACAGCCAATGGTCACGGATAATAGCAGTCGCGATCTTCGGAATCAGGTGGCCACCGAGGAGAGTCGGGTTTATCGTGACGGCTTCAGGTACCGCTCCGACAGGTCAGGAGCATAGGGGACAGGCGATATTTGATTTATGAAAGAATCGAACAGAAATTCTCATGCATGGCAGTCGTACAACCAACTGCATGCTGCAAGGGATGTGAAACAAGAAGATTTCAATTTATCCAATATATTTTGTAAGATCTCTCGCAGGCATTGGTGCGGTAAGCGACCTATACCACGCTCTGCTACACAAGTAAAAGTGATATGTACAGCAATCTCCCAAGGACTGCCTAGTAGCCAACTTGGTCGGCGGACACGTCCTCAATGTGCTGGCGAGCCTGGTACTTGGCCTTCTCCCGGTCAATGAAATCCAGACCCCTGGACTCGACCTCGCGATCGATAAAGGCGCCGGCAAATCCAGCCATGATCTCTTTGGCCTTCTCGTGGCTCTGCGGCTGGCCTGTAAGAAAAAAAAAATCAGAATCCTGTCTCATGGGTCCTTGCACGGCCGCAGGATTATTCATATGCGTACCGTTTCTGTCGCAGTGCTCCTCGTAAGCCTTGGCTGCCTCGTAGCTTGCAGCACCGGCGATCAGCTCATGGACGAAGGAAGGATCGTGCTCCTGGGGCTCAGAGTTGTTCCACTGCTGGTGGTAGTCCTGCTGCGGGGAATCGTCTAGATAAAGTAGCCAAGCCTTTAGTGACAGTCTTGGCAAGGGATGATCGTAATACAATGTACACCCAAAGGAATAAAACATAAATTCATCACTCACCACTGAACCAGCCCATTGTGAAGATATTGTAGAAGGTAGAAGTAGGTGAGAATACGATGTAGACTTGATGGAAAAGGGGAAGAAGAAAAGGGAAGAAGAGGGGTACACAGGTATATATATAACGCACGAATAGTCCAATTTGTCCCTAAGCGGGGTCTCAAACTTACAGTGGGTCAGACAGGAGAGAACGGCAAATGAAACCCTTGAAATAGGGGATACTCAGTGATTAAGCCTGTCAAAAACACGTAAAAAACCGTGGAATTTCGTGGCTTCTCACTAATGTACTCTATAACGGACTTCGCTGATAAAAACACCTCTGTTCTGAGTTGCAAGGAAAGGGAGTGGACCCGGCTGGAAGTGGCGGTGTCGAAGCGCAAAAATCAGGAATGAGAAACACGAAGGACGTCCATAGTTATAGTACTTCAAACAGGTTGATGGTAAGATGGCCACCTGATGTTGAGAGCCCATCTGTACACCTATACATACCCAAATCTTCGTTATCATGATACGGCAAACATCTCATAACCGACCGCCGAGTGATACCATTGGTCAAGCTTGTGCTTACTTCCAAGGGGTTGAACTTTAATTATCGGAGGAAAGCATCCATGATGGGAACAGGACCCCAGAGAGGATGTTTATATCAAGGGCTGACGCTTCAAGCTGAGGTAAACTGTGGCGGACATTATGCGTATCCCAAGGCTGGCTACTGCCACCGAACCATAATGGGGTCTGGTACTCCCAATCGATGATTTCCCGCGCCTCTAATGAAAAGCCCGTAAAGCTTTAAAACAATGGGCAACAGCATAATAACCAATCCTGGTCTTCTTCCGTCTTCCCGGAAGACTCTCTTTTCTCAAAATTATACTCCATCGACTCTGTTACCAAATTGGGATCATCAAGATAGCTATCCCGAAATAGTCCAATTGTACGAATATTCAGGCCAAATTCACCATGTTGGTCCCCAAAGAAGCTAATTAATTAGCATCAATATCTTCCCAGCAGGCGATCCAAATCTTACCTTCTGACCATGATCCGAAATCTCCTGATGCGTGACAAGTCCAAGGGCCTCGCAGCTTCCACCTGCCTCCCTCGATATGTTGCTCTCAGATCCTTCCAGTATATGCGCACAGTTGCCCCTACAGAACTGGCGCAAAAGTCGTATTCCCAGACCAGGGCACTTTGTTCACGGCCATCTCGTCTTTGCTCTGGGATTTCGTCTGTCAAGGAGAAGGTGTAGCGTTTCCGGTCCGATGGAACGACATCGAGTTCAATGCCATCATTTCCAGTGAGGTCCCAAATTTCGTCTTGTCCAACCGTGCGTTGAGAGGCAAATCCGGCACCGCGAAGGGTTTCAATGTCGAGGCTGCCGCGGAAGAAAACCCCATCTGTGGAAGGGACGAGTTCTGACTCGGATGATCCGCCGCGAACGCGATCGTCAGAGTCGGTCCATCTATTGAGATCCCAGTTCGGACCGAAGAGAAGTTTGGTAGTATTCATATTGTAGTATTGAGGGATTGAGCCATGGTGGGGAGAGAAACTGAGACGGCAAATCGGAAGCGGTATGACGTCGACTAAACAAACACAATCAAACATCCCCAACTACCTCAACATCCTATTGTTTTGGTAAATGGAATTGGTCCATTTGATGTGGAGATAGCCATTTGTATTATCAGACTGACGCCTTGCTTGAAGTTTAAAAATAAAATGCGGCGAGGTGACCTGCCATAGAACCAAAATTGCGATCACATGTAGTACGTCGTGCAGAAATTAGCGTCAGCGTATCTTCATTACTTATAATATTTTCATTATCAAACATCATAGGACTTTTTTTCAACATCGTAGACTGACGAGCATGCCAGATTACTTCTTTCCCGTAGCCAGGGTCCGTAAACCCTGAACAGTACAGGGATAGGGATCATGATGACAGCGATGCACCCAAGCAGAGTTCCAGCCCACTGCACCCCCAAATTCTGCATCATTTGTCTGGAGAATAGCGGAAAAGCGCACCCTATGGCCGACCGTAGAATTGTATTGGCGGCGATGGTGGATGCAGCTCTATTGATTTAGTTAATGAATATCCTATATGGCGATTGAGGTAATGATAAGGGATCATACAGGGAAGGATAGCAGTCAACGATGTAGTTGAAGCATTGCAAGAAAATCAGGAAAATACCCGCTCCGGTGAGGATTCCTGAACCGACAGGGGCAATCCAGTGAATAGAGGTTGTGTATCCGGTCCAGCCGAACCTATTATGGGCGTCGAGTTAGTGGTCAAGACATCCGTCTGCAACATTTCTTGGATAACTTACCAAAACATCCCACCAGCAAATGCAACCGCTCCCAGAATAGCTGAAGGGAGACGCCATTCAGGAATAGGTCTGTCACCATTGGCTGCCAGCTTTCTGGCATAAGATCCCTGTATTAAGAGAACGAAAATACCACCAAGAAGCTCCCCTAGGATAAGGCCAATAAATGCTAATCCACCGACACCCATATTCATGTCATATACCCCTTGGAAGACAACAGGGTATGCACCCAAAAGAGCATAGATGAGGCCATAGATGAATGAGATGTAGAGTGATATAAGAAGCAGAATGGGTTCCGTAATCAACATCACAATTGGTCTCGCGAAGTTGTTTCTAACAAGCTCTTTGAAATCCACCTCCACTTCGTCTTGCTTCGCGTGAATGCCCCAGTTGTGGGTCTGGCGGCGTAGGGTAGCCGCCTTGCGCACAAGGATAACAGGCGCATAAGACTCATCGAGAAAGACGACGACTAAGCCAAACCCTAGGAAGACCATAATTGCTGAGATGTACATTGTCCACCGCCATCCTAGAGAGCTCATTGCAATGAAGCCACCCACAAAGGGTGCTGCAAATGGCCCAATAAAGACTGCCATACAGAAGATCGACATAACGACTCCGCGTTGAGCATTGTTAAACAAGTCTGCAAAAACCGCGGGAACGATCGAGATTGGACTAGCTGCGAAGAGACCAGCAAAGAACCGGCAGATCATAATGGTCTGGATGTCTTTGGCGACCGCACATGCTACCGTGAAGATGCCACAGCCAAAAAGTCCCACTGAAAGTGGCCAGCGCCTCCCAATCAGTTCCGATGCTGGCGCCCAGATTGTGGGACCGGCAGCGAACCCGAGAACGTAAAGTGTTACTCCAAGAGAGCCAACCTCGGTGCTGGTGTGAAACTCTTGACTGATACCGGAGATAGCGGCCGAGAACACAGCGCTGGCAAATGAGCCGGCAAACGTACCGTAGCACAAGATGCAAACCAGGGATATCCTATTCAATCGATCAGACAGGGCCTCTTCGTAATAAATCTGCGCAATATAGGCACGTACCGTCTCAGCATAGACCAGTTATATGGGTGCAATGGATCATTCGCACCATCAAATTCCACCACGTAGGCCTCGGAGTCTGGCAGTACTGGTGGGTATTCTTTGCTGGCGCCCATCGGTAGCCATTTTTCACGGGGGATCGGTCCTTTTGTGGAGCCAACGGTAGTCTTCTGTTGAAGTCGGTAGGTGTTGATACGGGTGAGTTCAAGAGAATCGATATGATCGACTGTGTCGTCAGAATCGCTGCGAGAATCGTGGGCGAAATCGAGGCTTGGCTCATATCTCTCATGAGATGTATTGGTGTAGTCCATTTTAGTACTTCACTGTCATAGTACAACTTACGTGAAAGGAGGGCTCTGTTGGAGAATACATGGTCCACAACGACGGGGGCAAGAAATATCTATATGTCTCTATGCTACTAAGCCCCTCTCAGTGTTCTTGCCATTTTCTTTCCTCTTCTTCCTCCGAGCGTGTCTGTTTGATCCACTATTTTTATCATAAAATGGGCCCTGGATCTTTCAAACAGGCCACAACCAGGCAAGAAACTGCTATAAGAAGATCCATACCTTTCCGCTGTGGCTGTTAGTAAATGCCGAGATCCATTGTTCAGCCACAGTGTCCAGACATCGAAGTGAGCTGACCAGTTAGATGTCGTGTTTAGCTCGGTTATGGTCGGGGGTGTGGCTAGGGAACATTACCGAGGACAGCCGACCATACCCGTTATCAGACTTGTTTCAGGTCCGATCCCAATACAGAGAAAATTTTTGTATTAATATGCGTGCCGATGTCTGGAGGCCGGTTTTCCCTTTGCCCGATATATAATACGAAACCGATTGCATGCTTTGACGTATCTGTGCCGAATGTAAGCCGAGCGGACCTAACCGTTTACGTCGCCTGTATAATTGCATGTGCACCTGATCTTGAACATGACTGCGGACCGAGTTGTTGGCAATAAGCTTGGAAATTCCTTTGTACAATCAATCTGAAGGTGGCATTCAATTCTTCGACCGATTTTCCTCTCGTAGATTCAATTCGTTTCCATATGCCTTTATTGGTACCTATCTGTCTATAATCCCTGTTATTGACTCACATTGAGAAGATTCATTTGGATTTTTCCTCATCGAGTAGCATTTTACAAAGATCTTTCAGCGTCCAGCCCGCCCATTCGAAGTCGCTCTCCTCGAGATAGATTTGCCCACTCAACCGAACCCACCAAGACCCCTGGAAAGGAAAGACCGGCATGAATGTTTTGAATCTCCCGATCATGGTCTGCTGCATCCAATCTGTAACTGTGATACTCGGAGCCCCAGCCGTTTTGATCATACTTTCATCTCCAGAAGTAGGCTTTGTCAAAGGTAGGAGAATGTTAACCATACAGCACTCCGTCAAGCTGTGGGAAACATTGTCTAGGATCTTAGTCCCTAGGATTTCAGCAACCCTTTGGCCACCTTTGCGAGAAAGCTGAATACAATACTGCCGGATTTTGTCCTCCCCGCCGCAAACTGTCTGTCTCCACTGAATGGCTTCAGGCACCGTCAGGAAAGGAACACTGTCAGTGGTTCCCACAAAGTCAAAATTGGAGACGAAGTCTGTTGCATTGACGCATGAGTTCTCTTGGGACCGTGCAATAAACCCGTGGCTCGTTGGCAGAGTGCTTCGGATCATGGCTTGGTTGCGCTCAGGAACATAGAACACAGCACAACTGCGAGGAGTGAAAAGCCACTTATGGCAGTTACTGACCAGGAAGTCTGGGTCTAATTTTGACAGATTAAGATCGATCTGTCCGATTCCATGTGCACCGTCGATCAAACTTAGTACTCCCTCTGCGCGACAGGCCGCGGTGAGCTCGGCAAATGGGAGTCGGAGCCCGGGGTTTGAGGCAATAGTATCGAATATGGCAACGCGCGGGCGGTTGCCTTCCAAGCGTGAAGACTTTACTGCTTTTTGAAAGGTTATAACGATCTCAGAGTCTTCGACCGGGTATGTAAACCCAACCTGTCGGGTGCGGACCTTGTCACCACTGGCCTCACAGACGTATTGTGCTGTTTTCGCACAAGCTCCATATATCACATCCAGCTGAAGGATCTCGTCTCTTCCATCGCTATTCCATACTATGTTCCGTAGAACTGTGTTGACACCGGTGGTCGCATTCGGAACGAAAACGATTGTGGAGTCAGGTACACCAAGAAAGCTGCTTATAGCAGCCCGAGAATCGTCCAGAAGTTGAGGGAAGCGGTACTTGATAAAAGGACACGGAGTTGCCTCGCATTCCTCGCGTAGGTCGTTTGCTCGGTTGCGAATCACGGTTGGCGATGCTCCAAAAGACCCTGGCACCATGAGCAGGTATGTGGGTATATGCAATGTAGGGCTTACCATGATTCAGATTTCGATAACCCGGAGCGAACGAGAAATGCCGACGCATGTCGTGTCCGAATTTCGGCTCATCTTGGCAGAGTGACATCTCGAAAGATACGGGCTGGGAGTCAGTCAGATACAGCGAGTCAAATAGGAAATGAAGTGTGACGACCAATTTCCTTTTGTTCCAACCCCCACTCGATCTTGACTCGAATACCACCAAAGAATACAACTCTAGCAAAGCCTAGAAGGCTTAGGCCTTGCAGTGGACCCCGGACATCCCTGCGATACAATCACTCTACCGATCAACAACTGAAATGGGGGACTGGAGGGAGATAAGACCCGCCAAGTGGATAGCTTTCCGACATGAGAATTTCCTTTTCCAGAAAAATAACCCCAGACTAACCATCAGCGTGGGAAGCAACGCGCCCGTCCCCCATCTTTACCCCACGCCTGTAGCAAGGCCCGTGCGTTTCTATACAAAGGGGTGTGCGGCAGCTCGTCCATTGTCACAAATACAAGGTTTACCATGGCAGCACAGGAAATGATAAATCAACAGGATGTCGAGGCGGGCGATAAGGATTTCGTCTCTCAACGTTCCGGACCGGGGACCGAGAAGGGTGCAACAGCGCCGACGGAGGTTGGCACCCTACAACGACGACTGAAGTCTCGACATGTTCAATTTCTTGCTCTATCCGGGGCCATTGGGACAGGGCTCTTTGTGGGTACAGGCCAGATTCTTTCACTAGCTGGGCCATTGTCTACGGTGCTTGCCTATCTCATTACGGGCTTCAACCTTTACGCGGTCATTAACAGTATGGGTGAAATGGCGACTTGGCTCCCTCTTCCCGGTGCAGTCCCCGTTTATGCATCTCGATTTGTTGATGAAGCCTTGGGATTTACTTTGGGGTGGAATTATTGGTACCAATTTGCTATTGGCGTTCCAATCGAGATCAGCGCAGCTGCCCTTGTCATTGACTACTGGCCCAGCAACATTTCTTCTGCAGTGTGGATCACTGTGCTTTATGTGGCTATCATTTCCGTTAATTGCCTCCCTGTTCGGGTATATGGTGAAGTGGAGTTTGTCCTTGGATCGATCAAACTCACCACTATTGTGGGATTGATGTTGCTCATGCTCATTATCACACTCGGTGGCGCACCAACACATGACCGTATAGGTTTCCGCTACTGGGAAAGTCCGGGTCCAATGAATGAATACCTAGAAACTGGTTCATTGGGCCGTTTTCTAGCATTCTGGAAAGTTTTCATACAGGCTACATTTAGCTACGGCGGCAGCGAAATGGTTGTCGTGGCAGCGGGAGAGACTGAAAACCCTCGGCGCAACATTCCAAAGGCTGTCCGTCGTGTCTTCTGGCGCATTGCTATTTTCTATGTCGGAAGCGTCTTCTTAGTGGGTCTATGCGTCTCATCTAAAGATAATCGACTGCTCAACGCTATTGACACCGGCGCTGCCGGCGTTGGGGCAAGCCCTTTCGTCATTGCTATCGAGAATGGAGGTATCTTGGTGCTGCCTTCAATCATAAACGCTGTTGTGCTCACTTCCGCGTTGTCCGCGGGTAATTCTTTCTTTTATGCGTCCACCCGAATTCTCTACTCCACGGCACTGGATGGGAAGGCGCCTCGGTTCCTTCGATTCGAAAGATTCGGGGTTCCATATGCATGTGTTGCTGTCACTGCAGCACTGAGCTTGCTTGTCTATCTAAATGTCTCATCTAGCTCTGCCGAGGTATTCTTTTGGATTAGCAATTTGAGCTCTGTTAGTACGCTGATTGTGTGGAGCTCTATTGCCGTAACTTATATTCGCTTCCATCGAGGGCTGAAATACCATGGCATACCACGCTCCTCACTCCCTTTCCAGTCTCCTTTCCAGCCTTTCATGGCTTATTTTGCCATGATATTCTCCTCTACTGTGGCATTTTTCAACGGCTTCGATGCATTCTTCCCTGGCCACTTCAGCGCGAAGAGCTTTATTCCTCCTTATATTGATATTCCCATCTTTGCCATGCTCTTTTTGGGATACAAATTCATCAAGAGAACAAGGATTGTTAGGATAGAAGACATGGACCTCCTATCTGGTAAGGAAGAGGCCGATGAGCTGGAATCAACGTGGGAAGAACCTAAGCCTCGCAATTTTCTCGGTAAGTTTACATTGAGTTTCTCTACGGCTGACCGAAACCTCTGACCTAAAATTTTGAAACAGAGCGGATGTGGTTTTGGATTGCATAAGCTAAACAGATCCGATGTATGGAATGGAATACATAATAGCATAAAGCACAATTTTGGAAAAGAACAGTGGCAGAATTCCAACCTTATTAGCATCTTCTCCGTATTTATATCATGGCCCATGCTAGAAGGATTCCCCAAGGAAGCTATTTGGACTCTTTCTCCATTTATCTAACCGTAAGAGGTAAGGCGTAGTAATTGTATTTCTCGTGCATTCATTCAATCAATCAATCAATCAATCAAAGTTCTATTAACCTGTTGGAGCCTAACTAGTATCGTAATGGCTATGCAGGCGCTTCTTTCCAGTTGAAGCAAGAACTCGTGTTCCGTGCGCCTGATCATGCTCCAGTACAAAAAGCGAGGCTGGTTCTCAAAGAGTGGAAGCACCAGCCCATTACATGTAAGCCAAACCCATGAAACCTATAAAACCCATAAAACCCCGCAGTACAGATGAAAAAATCACTGCTAGGTAATGCATTGAATACAAAAAATGAGTGCGTGGATGCACTGTCCACCTCTCTAATGTCCTCTCCTTCTCACGAGGCATGTACACACCTCCGACATCCTCACTTCAGCCTTAATTGCTGTTTATTGTTGTTTCAGGTCGTTCCGGGGCCAATAGCTCAGTCCGGTAGTGTGTATTCGATTAGCTCATTGAGTTTCTCTCCACCCTCGACGGTGTTAGCAAGCATTGGTGAGTGCCCAGCATCTTCGGGATTCTGCTCCATGACCTCTACGTTTAGGTCTTTAGCTTCATCATCGGATTCTTCCTGATCAGCATGTTAAAACTGGGAAACACCGGTTTGGTGCATGAATTTGGCAACGTAGTGGGTTGCCAGCGGGTTCGAAACAATACTGTCATAATTAGACAGTTCAAAGGGCCCAACTTCTCGATGCAATTGATCAAAAAGACGCTCCTCAGTTGGCCAAAGGTCTCACATTGAAGTAAGACATGCCTCGGCGTCTGAGAGCCCTCTCCACAGGGGCACTTGTCAGATTCCAGTTCATTGATCTTATACAAATTTCCAATGTATTATTTGGTAAAAATACATGCGTTACTTGGCAACGCTAATGCATATCTGGATATTGTTTCGTTGGGTGGAGGGCAAGCAAATACGTTAGGCAGGTGGTATTGTTGATATTTGCTCTTGTTTTCTTTGATCTAGTCAATACTGATAATAAGAAATAAAAATCATATATACTGACTCAATTAATTTCACACCGTCAGTAGCAGGCGATAGAATGTCCAAGTAACGACACAAGAGCCATATAGCACTAAGGACAGTCATGATTATCTCGAGAACTTAGTCATCCCAACGAACGGCTGCAGAGGCACTTTGCGACGTTCAGCTCATCAGGTTACTCGGCGAGCTTAGAAGCTGCAAGAAGCAAAATTGGCACGAAAATCGGTCCAATTTACGGCGGTCATACAAGTATATACATGTATCTCTTGGATTTGGGTCATGCGATTTCTTTGGCACAACATTTGCCAAACACTACTTTTCTATCTAGGGTCCAAGTTGTGATAGCACGTAATTCGTATATTTATTGTCCCTCCTCGGAAGGCTTAACATCGTACTCTACGTCTGTCCTAATAATGTACTTAGCACCCTTCCTTACCCCCGTCCCTTCATGTAATAAGGCCCCGTTTGCCTCGCCGTGCGGGAATATGGCAACGGATCCCATCACAGGTCGTACGGGGTACGCGTTGAGTGTTCCCTCACGCGCGGCTGGCATGAAGAAGGTGGTCTCTCCGCCTTCGAACTCGTCGTTAAGATATAGCAAAAATGTATACATAGAACTCTGCCTTCGGTCTTCGGGCGACGAGTCGTACACGTATGTGTCATCCGGGAGGATACCTGATGGTGGCCAAGCTCCGTCAATATGACACCGGTACTCGGCACCGGGGACATATCTGTATACCCGGAAGCGTCGATTGATGCCTCGTACTAAGCGGCCGTTAATCGAGGGCGGCACATAAGGGGAGATGCGGTCCCAAAGCATGTCATGGAAAGTAGTGTCGATAATCCAGTAGAAGTTGTGAGCCAAGATGCTCACGTCGCCGTCTTCGCGCAAAGGCGCATCGGGTAGGAAATTGACAGACTCCCCAGCTGCAATGATCGCCTTACACTCCGTGGGGGAGAGGACGTCCATAGCCAGGCCGAGGCCAGGAACAGCAGGATGCGGGTGGTATGTTATAGAGGGACCCACGGGAGCCAACGGGACAGCATTAGGTTCTGTTGTATAGAGGATTGCGGGATGGTGGTTCGGAGGTTTGCGAAGTGCACCGGGGGTATGTTCGATGACGCGGAGGGCGGTGGGAGATTTCGGGGCCTCGTCCAGGATAGATTTGTCGAGAACCGAGGCGTAGACCTGTAGTGGTGCGGTCGACGGTCGGAGGTCCCAAATAGAGTGAAAGGCAATCGGGGAGGGTGAGCTGGAGGCGTTCGAGCTGGTGTCGATCGGTGTGCTGACGCGCAGTATGGCATCAAGAACGCCAAGTAGTTCCATGTCTCTTGCGCTACGACTAGGGGGATTATAATCGCATGCTTTCGGCTGTGTTGAGAGCCCGCTGACAACGTCCAGATCTCTTACCCAGCGACACAAGGCTCCGATCTTAGGCTGTTCACCCCTGATTCTCATTTCGGCAAGCAAAATTTTGGCCTCCATGTATTTCTCGTCGGCCAGGGCACCGGTTATACGTGCTGTGAGGTTTGCACCCTCTACCAAGCAATCAGTTATAGCCATCGATTAGAGACGGAAGGGTAGCGCACCAGCCGTATTAAGACCGGTAGTGCAAGCCTGACGAAAGTCATAGACAGCAACTCGAAGATCTTTGCAAGCCTTTGACTTGGTCAGGCTAGGGTATTCTGCGAGGGCCGTGAGCGTCTCGACGGTGATATCGAGATCCTCGTCTGAGACGACTGTTTTAAGGTGTTTGGGCTCGAGGGTTGCGCCATCAGGAGGAGGGGTCAGGGTGGAGTCAGGTTTGGGCAATTTTTGTGGAAGGCCGACTTGTGCATTGCGCTTACGCTTCGCAGCTTTAGACTTCGCCATTTATGTCTGATGGTTGATAAGTTGATGCAGGTGGAGATTTGAGGGTTTTGGCGAATGGGGCCGGAAAATCAAAATTGCGGTCATTCGGTGTTTGCCACTCGAGTGACTCCAACGGCCATAACTTCTTTTTATTCTATGAAGTTTGTCAAGTCCTATTAATCACTCTAGTCCCAGAATAATTCATTAATTGATATGTTTTACAAGGTGTCGATCTACTGTTTGAGTGAAACTGGTTTATTATATAGTATAAGCAAGACCCGCGAATGGGCATCTTCTTTGGACTATGTACTTTTGTATGTATCATATTCAATCGAGAGTCAATTAGAGCTATGCTTTCCATAACGTATTTCCCAAGCGAGCGCCGCACCCAAGCGAGCGCCGCACCCACGCGTCATTCTCGCGTTTTATACAACTCTCTCTTTTTAAACCCCCACCATGCCACCCATTCCTTCTGAATCAGCCCAAAAACGTATAGAACAAGAGGGCAGGATCCTCTTAGCAATTGAAGCTCGAAAAAATGGTAAAAAATGCTCTTTGCGTCAATTGGCACGCGATTTCGACGTACCCGACCGTACGCTCCGTCGCCGCCTAGTAGGCGTCAAAAGTCGCGAAGAAACCCGCGCCAATAGCCATAAATTGACCATTTTGGAAGAGGAGACGCTTTATAATTGGATTGTCTCATTGGATATACGCGGAGCAGCTCCTCGGCCGAATACTGTACGAGAGGCGGCCAATTTACTGCTTGAGGGCCGTGGAATTCAACCAGCTGAAACAGTCGGCAATAACTGGGTCTACAATTACGTCCAACGGCATCCCGGCCTATCTACTCGATTCTCACGATCCTACGATTACCGGCGAGCTCAATGCGAAGACGTGAAGATGGTCACAACGTGGTTTAACTTCCTTCAAAGTACGATCATGAAATACGGCATCCTTGAGGAGGATATCTACAATTTCGACGAGACTGGTTTCGCTCTCGGCCTTACAGCTACTGTAAAAGTTGTGACGAGGACTTCCTACGGTCGGAGATCCCTTTTACAGCCTGGAAATCGCGAATGGGTGACGACAATTGAAGTAATAGGCGCGTCGGGGTACGCGTTGCCGCCATGCGTTATTTTCAAGGGCAAGGTCTTTATGAAGGCATGGTTCAGCGATAAAGACCTACCAGCGACCTGGCTTTTTGCGGTTAGTGAAAAGGGATGGACTACGGATTCTATAAGCCTTGAATGGCTTCAAAAAGTCTTTATCCCATCGACTATTGGCCGTACGAAAGGAGTATATCGTCTCCTCGTTATCGACGGACATGGCAGCCATCTTACGCCTCGATTTGACGAAATCTGCGCCCAAAATAATATCATCACGGTCTGCATGCCGGCGCATTCATCTCACCTTTTACAACCTCTCGATATTGGCTGTTTTGGGGTATTAAAGCGGGCTTATAGTGAAGTGGTTGAGTCCCAGACAAGGCTTGGCATACACCGCGTCGATAAAAATGACTTCTTAGAAGCATACAGAACGGCCCGAATCAAAGCATTCACAGAGTCTAATATTGTGAATAGCTTCGCCAGCGCTGGTATCAAGCCATTCGACCCACAGCGCGTCATTTCAAAGCTTGATATTCGTCTACCTACCCCTCCAAGACCACCAAGCAATAGCAGCGATTCAAGCCGCAATTGGACTCCGAAAACGCCGCATACTATCAAGGAAGCGAAGAGACAGGCATCGTCTATCAAGAAGCTTGCTTCTAATGAGCCAGTACGTCTAGGAGAGGCTCTAGACCAGATGGAGAAAGGCTGCCAGCTCGCCATACATAGCTTCACGATCGCGAAGCAGCAAATTACCGATTTACTCGCCGCTAATGCGAAGACAACGCGTAAAAAGCGGCGTACAAAGGCTCGAATAGCTAATAATAGTGCTCTATTAGTATCAGAAGCTATAGAGCGCATTGGTGGACTAGAACAGGTGGATGAAGCGGAATTCAACCAGGCTGGCAGCCCATCGCCGACGCCTAATCCGACCAATGAGAGGAGACCACAACGATGCAGTCTCTGTAAAACGCCTGGACATAAGAGAAATCGGTGCCCAGAGAGGTCTGAATAGCTTCAATTTTAATGAATACAAATTGTGGTTGGAAAAATTGAATAACAATAGTAGATGTAATAGGTGGGGTGCGGCGCTCGCTTGGGTGCGGCGCTCGCTTGGGAAATACGTTACTTTATAACCCTGCTACTTATTCATAATGATTTGCAACCTTCAGACCCTTGAACTCAAACGATGTGTTCTCCCTCTTGTCGATCACCTTCTTATAGTGCACATCCCGAACCCGAGCGCGTACATATTCCGTTCCTGTGGCAGCATGTTTGTTCGGGTCTTTGTCGTCTTCGACAAGTAGGCCAAGACGGTCCAGCACGGGCGAGGGTACTGTCTTCATTATCGTATTATCCCCGGGTCGACAGAAATAGAGCAACCCAAGACGAGGAATGTTGATTTGATCCCTAGGGGGTGTGACAACACGATGGATCGTGGATTTCAAAAATCCTTTTGCTCTGAGTTAGCGAAACACTCTTTTGAAAATCGATTAGACACTTACCATTGGTAAGGAAGGATAAAGTGTCGGCAACGTTGCATGTAATCCCACCCTCAACAGGCTTCACGTATTTCCATACCCCTTCTGTCGTTCGGATCTGCAAGCCAGCAACATGCTGCGAGAACAATAGGGTTAGGCTACCAAAGTCGGTGTGGCCGCCCTTGGTATAGGCCTGGGCCTTGTCCCATTCTTCTTGAGTCCGGGTGTTATAGATCATGTATCGCAAGTGATCATCCGATCGCTGGTCATAGCCATGGGCATTGACCAAGTAGTCTTCTGGTAGTTCCAGAATAATTGCCATCAAGACAAATAACTTTCGAATGACTTGATTAAAAAGATCTTGATGAAACCTCGCAATCTCATCATAGTTTTGACGAACGATCCTGTGTCTCGGAATGTCCTCCAATTCGGGAATCGCTTTAGGAATATTGAGCTGAACGAGTCAGCTATGTTAAACCCGTACTTTAGACAAGGATGAATATACCATTTCGACGTTATCCTTTACTCCGGTATCTCCAATCCATCTTTCATTCTCACGGTAGCCGAAATACTCGCCCTCGGCAAAGTTGCAGGCGAAGCTTCGCTTCTCTTCCAGCGGCTCTTGGAAGAAGGCATTACCGATACTGAATTGGCGCATGACGCGTTCATCCTCAATTCCATGTCCAACAACTACCCAAAAGCCGACTCGTGTAACGGCGTCGTACAGTTGCTTTGCGAGCTCTTGCTTCCTGCCGGGCTCGTCGAAGCGAGATAGATCGATTTCAACCAGAGGAGCCCAATCAATGTTCTCCCTCGTATGTGCAGGACGGCTCCACGGTTTAATTGTCACGTTTTCGGAAGAAAATTGCTCTTTTATAGCGGACGGAGCCATCTTTGCTTGAATATAGACCGCGACAGTGATTTGACTAGGAATATATATATGAATGCAACATGCTTTGAATCCTTTACTTATTTATGTAACCTGAGAGCTGTCAATGTCCAATATGTATGTATGGTTCTCCATATCTAGTTTCCATTTTCTAAATTCTAGCATCAGCGGGGTCTCGGGTTATATCATCTTTCCTCCCGATTGCGTTATGCGCTAAGAAAACCTGCCGATCAAGTAAGGATCAAGTAGGGATTAAGTGGCGTTGGATTAAAGAACTCAAATGGGACTTATTTGTGGTCAAACTCTAGCAAAAAACCATGATTGGATTGTTTTTGTCCGGCTGCAGCTCTTCGTGGATATAACTATACCTGAGCTTGGATGAAATACCGGTCCAATTCATCTGCCGCGCACATAAGTTAGGATAAGCAATGATAGGTACGTAGGTAGCAAGAACTCAATTAATTGTCCGCTGCTACTTCTAGATTTGGCATGCCGCAATACCAAGGATAAGTGAGCAAGGAATGCTCAATTTAATGATTAAGTTGGTGATGTACTCGAGATAGGCGCAATAGGGGAGCGCATGCCGTGATCGAAACTATCATGACACAAGCTTATGCCAGCACCCCTGTCACCATGGCTTCGAATACTTAAGAAATGTGTGGTTAACTAGAGATATAGAATGAGATTGGAGCTATTCAGTTCAATTTTGCATTCCACGGGAGAGAAAAATGGCACCTGGAAAGGGCGGCGAACAGGTAAATAGCACCAGCATTAATTCACTTCGACCCAATGAACTCGATTTCGAAAATGCGGACATCAAACGTCATGCTGAGCTCGAAAAAAGAGTAATGCGAAAAATAGACTTCTGGCTCGTTGGATTTTACTCATTCGTATACATTTTCCGAGTCATCGACTCGAGCAACTACTCCAACGCTGCCATCATCAACCTCGAAGCCGGAACGGGGATCAAAAAAGAGCTTGGTTTCACCCCCTCGCAATGGGCCTGGACCCAATCCATCTTCTCATACAGCTACCTTGTATTCGAACCAACCAATACAATCCTCCTCAAAAGCTTCATGCCGTCGCGATGGATGTTTGTCCTTATTATGTCCTGGGGGATTTGCGCATGCTCAGCTGGTGCCGCGCAGAATTTCCCGGGAATGATGTGCGTGCGATTCGCAATTGGAATTGCTGAAGCAGGCTTTTACCCTGCTGTACTTTACCACATGGCCTTCTGGTACAAGCCGTCCGAGATGCCATGGAGAATTGCTCTCTTTTATTCTCTGGGTCAATTAGCCGGGGCCTTGAGTGGACTTCTTGCATACGCCATCAGCTTTATGGATGGGGCCGGTGGGCTTTCGGGCTGGCGGTGGTTGTTCATTTTAGAGGGACTTCCTGCTATCCTGCTATCAGTTGTGGCACTGCTAGGCCTTCCAGACTACCCCGAGACCGCTCGCATGTTAACAGAGGAGGAGCGCGAGTTTCTCAAAGACCGTCTGTCTTCTTCGGCGCCTTCTGGTAAAGATAAAAGTTGGGACTGGGACGCCATTAAGGTGCTTTTCTCGAGCCCTACGGTCTACACATTTACGCTCTACTGGATAGGACATGGAATAGGCGGGTTCGGGGTGAACTATGCTTTGCCTACAGTTATTTATGAGCTCGGCTTTACTTCGACAGCTTTATCGCAATTGATGAATATCGTGAGTTGAGTCATCATTTAATGACTACCGCACTACGCGATCTGTGAAATATTGCTAACCGATACTTCACAAACAGCCTCCCTACGTCGCGTGCTTTTTATTTCTGAACACCGTCGGGCATCTGCTACACAAGGGATGGATCAGACCCTGGACCACTGCAGTCGCGAGTACGTATTATCCTGCTTCTTGAGCACATATGAAACGGTGTTCCAGTATCCTGGACTAATGGCATAAACAGTTGAAAGCACAACAATTATTTGCTATATCATCCTGATCACGGTCCAAAACCCAATCGTCAAGTATCTTGCATTGATTGTAGCCACCGCCTGCGCTGGATCTGCATACCCTGTCATCTGGCCAGAACGGATTCGCGCGCTCGAAGGGACGGTGGCTGCGGGTATTGGTATTGGACTTACAAATGCCATGGCGCAGTTCAGTGGGATAGCCGGGCCGCATATATACGACACGGTGTTTGGACCAACGTATCGAGTGTCGTACGTTATCTGTCTCTGTTTCCTCTGTGCGGCCATCACGGGGATCCTGTCTTCTTGGTGGCTTGTTTGGCGTGCAGATAGAAAGAAAGGTCTACGATTCAGCGTTGAAAGTGAAGATGCAGCATAATACTCCACTGATGATGTTTCTTTTTGAATTTACGTCACGTCTCAGAAGTCTGGAGACATATCAGGCTATATCACTTTTGAAATCATCTTACACCTCTTCTACGCGTCTATCTACCATTTTCTCCATATCATTTTTAACCCACCTTTAAACTAGAAAATTAGGACAAATAAGCTTCCCCCAAACAGGTGGTAAATCAGGGCTCCTTCAATTAGGGCGTCCCCCCAATCCTGAAGTAGGCTTAGTGGGTATACAAAATTTGGGCTACATAGACGAGCTTTCCAAGCCACTGTTGCCGACATAAAGACAGATCAATTAGAGTTAAAAGACCCAGTAAAATGTTGTGCGATTGTTGAATATTACAAAACTTCACGAGTCCGCAAGCATGTATTGACCAAAACCCACATAACTAACCATCAAAGCTACAATGTGAGTTTCTTTTCCAGACAGTCTCACTTTTGCTTGCCGTCAAGGTCTGTAAAGAGTTCATAATTAAAGTCTTTGCTCGAGTCATTGAAACGTAACTTCTTGTCGATGGAATCGATCTTTTGGATATCTGTCGGGTCAAGCTCAAAGGCGATATCGAAGTTCTGCATGATTCGTTCTGGAGACTTTGATTTAGGAATGACAGACCGCCCATGTGCGATACCCCAAGCTGCGACCTTTATTAGTTTGGATACCCATCGAGAAGTAGCATATAATATACCTAAGGCGACTTGGTTTGAAGTCTTTCCATACTTCTTCCCAATTTCGACCAATGTCTTATCATTGACCAGCTGACCATGTTTCTCGCGGGATCCATAGATCTCATTCTGATTTCCAAACGGCGAATACTGAGTCACATGAATGCCCTGCTCACGGTGGAACTGATAAAAGTCCTCCTGTTGGAGCCATGGGTGCAGCTCCATCTGATGTACCGCTGGTTTAATAGTTGCATTCGCAAGGAGGCGCTCAACTTCCTGTCGGGAGAAGTTGGAAATTCCGATAGCCTTGGCTTTACCGGATTCTACCAAGCCTTCCATAGCTTTGTAAGTCTTGATCAGTCAGTAATTGATCTCGCTGTGGGATTAAAATATTGGATGGAAATACATCGACATAATCAATATCATCAGTTATCAGATTCCCGTCTTTGTCGGACGGGAACAGATCATCTCCACGTTTGAAGGCAACAGGCCAATGCATCAAGAAGAGATCAAGGTAGTCTAGTCCCAGGTCATCCAGACTCATCTGCAATGCTTGCTCTACATCATCTGGATGGTGTTTGTTGTTCCACAGCTTGCTCGTAACAAAAATCTCACTCCGGGGTACACCGCTTTGCTTTATGGCTTTGCCGACAGCTGGCTCAGTACCATAGCTATAGGTGTCAACCTCGGCAATTCTCCCAAGTTTGTGTAAGTACTTACCACCTTGCTGTGTCAATGTGGCGATATCCTGCCTGAAGAGCTACTAGAACTGCTGCCTCCTGGGCAGCCTCATCCTGCCAAGTTCCCAGACCTATAGCAGGGATCTTAGCACCGGTGGCAAGCTTGAAGGTTTTTTGAGCGTTAGAGGCCATTGTGATATTTGCGATAGAAAGTACGTCAAGTCAAGCCGAGGAAGGATACGCCTGACCCGTCCATTCTAATATACACAAAATTTCTCCAGATACCAAGAAATGCTGCTGATGTTTTAATGACGTTCCGACCACTATGGCGGAGTACAGTAGACCTGACAAACCGGTTCTTGGGTATTTATGTTGGAAAACCAGATCTGGCACGGAAATGTCACCTCGGTGGGTTTTCGATAGGCTGACGTCACACATCGCCACACTTAAATACCTTTGGAGTCTAATGCGATTGCCTTTAATACATTTTGCGAAAACTGTAGGAAAATTACACTTCCGCTTGGCCAGTCCGACAAACCCTAGCGGCATCTCCTGTCCCCCGCCGAAGGGCGCCAAAGAACCTAGAGACCTGATTAGAGCGCACCCCTCCTAATGTGCTAAGAGCTACGATCCTACCATAATCAGCGAAGCAAGCTTTACCTCAGTGAGATGTAGAGAGCTAATCCAGCCGGTGTCACTTGAGGGTACTGCTGAGCACATCGAAACCAGCTTTTATCGATGGTTTGTTTTGAACGAAGCGCACCGAAGTTTCTGTGAACCTGAGAACCCCTTCATTATCTTGGAAATCTAAGCACACTTTTGCCGTGATCGAGACCGACCTTGTGCGACTATAAGCCCAGATTAAATCGATCGGTCGAGCCGTGGAGTCACGTCGCTATTCTCGATAGCATGAAAGTTAGAACTAATGAAAGTTCCGTATATTTTTGGTTATGGAATGAAGAATATCCCAAAATGAAGGGGTGTAAGTGTAATAAAGATCATGTAGCTTCACTTTGATATGTATCGCCGCCAAATATAAATAATAGACGTGTGCCTGTAGGACTGTCCATCTTCGCACTATACACTTTCTAAATACACGAATGTAGTCACGTAAATTGACCAGTCGCACTGAAAGCGCCGACGAAGATCTCTGATACACACTCAGGACGATATCGACCCCCGCACGCACCGTACTCCAACTCCGACCGAAGGCTCGGTAAGGTCCCATCATTGATCTTTACACAAAATGAGATCAAAGACTACTCACATGATATTGATGAGGATAAGGATGAAGTACAGCTACGGCTATCACCACTTGACGGAAGCACTCGAAAGCTACAGCGGTGAATTCTATTAACGTTGCGGCCGATCTCAAAGACCAACAGTAAAAGCTTCTTCCCACCGTAGACGAGACTCTGCGCAAATAGCTGAGACCCAAAAATGCGCTACTCCCATTTCCATGACTTAGGTGGAAAAGATCAGCCCAAAGGGATATATCCGTGTCTTTCATTTGCTGTGGCCAGCAAGGATGGGGGGTTTCTATGCAGAGGATTTCTTGGCGGTCTTCGCTGCAACGCCCGATGATGTCAACACAACAGATGTCCAATACGGAATTGGCAAGTTGGCTTTCCTAACTTTGGATTGATAATACAGAACAGATGTGAAAACACTGATTTTCTTTTTGGATACTGACAGAAATCTTTTGATCGCGGTTGATTTGAAGGGGTGGAAAAATAGGCATCTTAGCCACCTCTTAGATAATTATTGCGGTAAAAACAGGACAGCCTAAAATCAACAAACTACCAATCCTAACCTAGTTCAACTTCTTGTTTCCAACCTTAATAGGGCGTCCTTGGCGACTTTGGTATCGCAGATATCCATATGCACCGCCAGCGATGATTGCAATGACAATAATATTACCTTTTGAAGTGTTAGCGCTTTAAGACTTTAGGTCGCTCAAAGGAAACAAAACTTACTAGCAATAAACTTGCCTAAGCCACCTGCAGCTTCAAATATATTTCCTACAGCACGCAGCGCCATCCTGAGGGTGCCGATGAAAGAGTTGACAATAGCTGTGAGCAGCCCAGAGGTCACATCGAGGGCGGTGTGAAACACGGAGACTATCACTTCGAATACCGATGTGACAAGGTCCTTGATGGAAATGATGATTGACGACATTGATGCTGGAAGTGAACGGTATATAGTGGGATTGGCACGTTGTGCAGTTACGATGGAAAGGAAAATGCGTGTGGGGGAGGCGATCTTTAGTTATAAGCAGTTCTTCACCATGTAATCATGCCCCGTCGAACACGAAATGCATACCGTGTTTAATTCAAGTTTGTTACCCGGCCAGACCAATAATCTTGCTTTTTTTTCGCCGCCATGATAGTCACCGGTTGACTGATAGCCGATGACGTACAACAGTACCACAGACTCGAAAGGGAGATCTCAGTCTAATTTGATGAACTGTTACTGGGAGGGAATGACGTTCCGGCTGCCAAAATTACCCTTGCCTACTTGTAGACTCAACGCGGGGAAAGCACTCCAACCGCCTTGAGCGTTAGTTATGAGAACAACCACAAAAAAGACAAAAAAAAGTGATGCAGATTTCTGATTTTTGCAGGATACTTCTCACGTTCTTCCTGCATTCACTACCTGAATTCACTGCCTGCCTGATAGGACTGTATGCGCTGCATGGACTTAGATAGCTTTTCTTCCTTTCTCTTACTCTCCTCCGTAGCTTAGACTGAATATCACCCGTTTCTTCGCTCCTTCTTTGTCGAGAATTATTCACAAGCGTAACAACAAAATGCAAAGTTGTGAACCACCATCCAATTGTAAATTTGGTACATTTTTGCTTGAATTTATCTACATCAGTTACTGAGATATAACCAAGGACTATAACTCAATAAAGTTCTTCTGAAGGACTTCAAAATGACTGATTTTGTGATCCTCAGGCAAAGGCCTCAAGTTTGCCCCTACTTATAGTCTGTCCGCAAGCTGCAAGTTGATGGCAGTTCAGCCCCGCAATATTCATTCAGAATCTATGGATAAAACAACGTTGTCTATGCGCATATCCATAGAGCCGTTCTGTGAAACGCATCATACTATAACTATGGGATTACTCCGTCTGATTTTCGAAGAATTCTAGGTACTACTCTTATTAGAATGGTGATTGGATTGACCCAAAGGATAACATAACGACGCAAGATGAGACCTTTTTTATCTTGTTTTCCCAACATTTCTGCATAATCTTAGTGGATTCTACAGAGTATGTAAGCCTTGTCCAGTTGAAGCTCTACAGGCGTAGCAGACTAACCATTAGAGGAAACCACAAAGCCTGGAGTGCATAGATATGGATAATGCCTAAATTTGTCTCGTTCGCCCCTATATTCTATATGCTAATGTGGTGCAGTCGGAGAGAGGACTAGGAAGCTGACCGATTATTTAATTTTGAGACATATTGAACGCGCTCGAGGCTAAAAATTAATTTATTTACACGTGAATCCCGGAATCTTGCTGGAACGAAATCGCCCTCGCTAGCTTTACTCCCTATCTTGGGCACCTGATATTCACTTCCCCCAACATAACTGCACAAGATCCACACCTCTCGCCTTTGCTTAGAGCTCCTCATTTTCATCACCAAAGTACCCCATAGCACGAAATAGCCGCATGGTTTTCCCTTCCTGCGGCTCACAAAGCACAACGCCCCTGTCGTTTAGATATTGCGTGATCGCCTGCAGCGCATCATGAGACTCCTCCCAGCGCACCTTCACCTCAACCTCCATGAGATGCAGGTCCCCAGCAACTACATTATCAAGCTTAGCCTTGTATCCCTCGACTCGCACCTTCCACTTCGCATTCTGATAGGGCCCGTACGCACGCAGCGCATCCCAGTCGACAGTCTCATATTGTTCGGCGAACTGCACCTGCTCATCTTGCCAAACTTTACTGTCCAAAGGACAGCGTTTTTCGCAGGCGAAGGATGGCGGGTTGGTGCCATATTGGCCCCAGGAGCAGTCAACAAACTCCGGAATATCAGGAACTGCCCCAGGAAAGCGAACTTTGACTGTGGAGAATGGCTGGCCTTTGTTTGTTTTCGTGCGGAACATTACACCAGAGCTGATGTGGATAGGGGGTGTTCATCGTAGTAGGTGATTGGATTTTCTTTGTAGGGGGGTGCTGCGCCTAGTCTAAGTTTTGCAAGCGTATCTTGTGCACTGGAGTCGCAGATTGCCCATTGAAGGCTGATTTTTCCTTCTGCATATGCGATGGGAGATATGAGGAGGACGTTGAACAAGAATGTCTGCGGTTTCATAACATTGGTTCCGGGTAGGTGACGAAGTTTTTGGTGGGGTTGGCTTGTTGATATTCTTGTATGCAGGACTGTTAGCCTTGAAGAGTCGGTGTAGGAAGGGAGCTTAAGCGGAGATAGAGATCCATATCCATGTAAGTATACAGGGGGTTATGGTGATGTCATAATGGTTGGTAAGGGAACTTCGGCGACACATTGGATAGGTCTGAACCCCTAGGCTGCCAATATGATCGGACGTAGCTTTTCGAGCGTCTCGGACAGTTTTGCCTTTGCCCACTATCTAACGGTTCTTACCTACGGGGAAAGAGCCCCGGCTCGTTGCGAACCGCTCACCAGTACAGTGAGGACTTGGCAGGGTTGTGGCCGTCGGGTTGCGCCTGATTGCTGAGGCATCTTAGTCAGAACAAATAACTAACTACACCTGTTTAAGTCGCAAAATTACTCCTTCACCCGGGTCAGTCCCACAAACCCGAGCGGTATCTCCTGCCCGCCGACGGAGATCTGCTTAGATGGTTTGCATTCAAAGCGACGCTGTCCACTCTGGGGACTAGGAGCCCCCTAGGAAGTGCTATTATGGCTCTAAGAAACAAAATGATATGTGCTGTGCAGCTTCGACAGGACGATGGACAGTGACGTTTTGTGTAGTACTTTACGACCCCCGTCAGAAGCCTGAACAGAAGAAACACTCCGGACTTTGTCTCGAGGCGAAAGATATCACGACTATCAACATGGAATCGGAATCTGAGGGGTCAGGCGGTCATGATTACAAAACTTACAAAATGTTAGACTATGAAAGACCTACGCCAATAACAACAACATCAAGGCACAGTCGGGATTTTCGACAACCTTAAGAGGCTATGTATGCCCTCACCAATGTAGACCCTCCATGCGACCTTAGAAAAACAATGCCGATATTACTGTACAGCTTTCTAACCTTGGAGATCCTAGAGGGAAGGCAACTCGGACCAAATCGATACAGGAAGGTATTGGGTTCAAGGTTCAATTCCGCCCTAGCACTACGGCTATGGTGGGTCCCGCTCCCTGGTGGAGCCCCATAGGAGCCACTCGTTTAAAACACTGCTGCGTCCGTGCTTCCACCCAAAGTCAAGCGCTTACCCACATATTTACATAGGCGCACGAAATTCCTGCGTACAGACTATCGTACAATAGCTCAAGGTACAACGAGCCCCTTCTCACGTGACTGGTTGGCAAGCACAGGCTCTCATTCCCACTTTATCAAGTCACGTGCAGTCATCTTTGGTGCACACCTGGTCATTCTATCATGGACCGCGCGCCGACGAAAAAGTGATATGGATCACACCGTGAAATTGGACCTAGGAAGCTGCCCGACAAGTGGCAGAGCCCTTTATCGGACCGATTTGGAAGAAGCGCGCAGCGAGAAATAAGATTGGACGTCACCAATCCAAATCTCGGATTTCCGCGTATTAGGACTGGGACGACATACGAGCATCACTGAAGCTTAACTTGGAGCCCACTGAACACGAATTTCATTCTCGTGTTGGCTCGGACTGCATGGATGATCTGTATCTTGAGGGCGGCTACTGTCAGGGGTTTGGCCGATAGGGGGGCAGGTGGAGAGATATGTCTGGTTGTCCTTCGAGACAATTCAAATGAGTGATGCTGTGGGCAATGGGTATTGGAACAACAATCCTACCTGATTGGAAGATGAAACACTCCCTCTACTCTGAAATTCCTACCAGTGTATTTATCCTGCAAGATGCAACCATAATCCTATCGAGGGCATTTAATTCAATCCAGTCTATGCTCTGACTATAACGGCGTTGAGTTCAATGGCCAGGAGTTCAAGAATAAATTTTCACTCCGTCTGGTATGAGGTGACGATAATGAGCCACATTAGGCGAGACTTGTTCTCATCTCAATATACATGCGGCTCTCAGCTCTGCAGAGCTACGAGGTTGACTCCATAGGCCCTTAACGATTCTGCCAACTGTATTCTCTATTTTTATCTCAATTCATGGCCAGCGAAACTACACGCAATCCCAAATCGACCCTTACATATATCAGCGGTAAGGTTCATAGGAACGACCTGTATTTTATGATGAACTGCCTCCCCGAAGGAAAAGTGTACATTCTAGTGGGAGAGAACAAAGCAGGAAGAAAGAAGTAAAGTCAAAAGTGGGACTGTTTGAACATACTTGAACACAAAGTAAACAGCACGAGTTACTGAAAAGAACCATTCAAATAGCTCCGAACTCACTCCTCTGTACTCAAAGTCCTCCATGCCGTCGCGCAATTTTTGCTTGTCCTTGGCGCTTCTATGAGGTCACCTAGAGAATAATACCAATTAATAGAATCTGTGATATCGGAAATTGGGACGAACCACATCCGGGGCATAGAAATCGCAAGCTTTGACAGCTCTGGACTATCAGCAGCACGCCTCAAACTACTTCCCTACCAAATCCAGCTTCTTGATTGGTGCTCTATGCTGTGATCGTTCGCGTCAAATTCAGTGACTAAGACACGTCCTCTTAGCCTGTAGCCCCAGCTGTGACTTTGATAAGCTTTCCACACACAGCAGATGTTGATTGACTCCGTATGCATGACAAGTTATTTCCAACCATCTCCATTCTAGGCACATAATCATAACCATCGGCATGCTTTAGGCTCAGATATATTAGCAGGAGGAGTAAACTGTTCCGTTCCATCTTACCACCTTTCGGGTCTTAGTCGGATCAGACTTGTCGACAGTTAACCGGTTGCAACCCTGGGGCTGTGCAATAAAAGAATGGGGCTCTCGACTGTAAGGTGAAATTTGAGGCCTGAACAATCAAAAGACGAGGAACTCGTCGCAATCGTCGAACGAGGTGAGCTCATATTCCACTCTTGGATTGCTACCTCCCACTGCGCTGGACGACAGTATCTTACTGCGTGACTTAAGCAGCCGATTTGTTCAATGATTATGCCTCACCCACCACCGGTGATGAAGAGCCCGGGAAGCTGAGATGATGAAAATACGAAAGACATGAAACATAGCGTGGGGTCGAGGGAAATTGGAGCCTTGTGGAGCCCCGCAACAACGGACTTTTGCCGGACGATTAGAAAGCGATGAACGCCAAGAATGGAGTTGACAGCGTCATTTCTCGGGCTTTTACCGGAGCGCTCGGCAAATGCCAAGGACTGGGGATCATCGCTGGCTTTGCCGACAGCTTGCGCGGGGTTGATGTCGCTGTTTTGTTTTCATCTGCAGGTGAACCACATGTCTATACTGCGATGCCAGGGCAAGATACCCCACAAAGACCTCGACGACATTGATGCGGGTGACCTCAAAAACGGGAGAAACAATGAACGTCTCCAGCTCCAGAGTTGGACAGTTGAAATACCATCCCCGGTTCCGGGATGGGGATCGCGGCCTTGGCGAATGTTGTAGTCTCCGCGCTCATCACACGGTCCATCTTGGCAAAGGGAACCAATGGAACCGAGAGAAGTATATAAGGACAGTATGCGTACGTGATATCGCTCGCTATCCAAAGCGACAGCATGTATCTCCAGAAGCTGTTCACCTCGGCTGCAGCCCTGAGTGGCTGTGTCTGGGCACAGAGTCAGGCTGGTATCGAGGATCTCGATGACCCCGGCAATGACCTCTACGAAAAGGACCTGTCAAAATGCCCAGGATACAGGGCGACAAAGCAATGGGAGACTAGGTCTGGATTTTACGCGGAACTTTCTCTCGCAGGGCCAGCATGCAATGTTTTCGGGACTGACCTCCCAGACTTGAAGCTGGAGGTGGAGTATCAGACCAGCGATCGACTCCACGTCAAGATCCTGGACACCAACAACACGGTCTACCAGGTTCCAGACAGTGTCTTCCCGCGCCCCGGTTTCGGCCAGTGGTGTTCCCCGAAGAACGCCAAGCTCAGGTTCGACTTTAATGCCGACCCCTTTTCATTCATTGTGTCTCGGACTGATACCGGGGAGGTGATCTTCGATACCACGGGAAACAAGCTGGTGTTCGAGAGCCAATATGTCTATATCAAGACACATCTGCCGCAGAACCCGCATTTGTACGGACTGGGTGAGCACAGCGACGCGTTCATGCTGAACGCGACCAACTACACTCGGACGATCTACACCCGCGATGCCTACGGGACACCTCAAGGCGAGAACCTGTACGGCGCTCACCCGATATATTTTGACCACAGGCAAGGTGGCACCCACGGAGTCTTCCTACTCAACTCCAACGGCATGGATATCTTCATCGACAACAAGGGTGGTCAGTACCTCGAGTACAACATCATCGGCGGTGTTCTTGATTTCTACTTCATTGCTGGCCCCTCCCCGCGCGATGTGGCCATGCAGTACGCGGAAATCACTCAGCTCCCATTGATGACTCCTTATTGGGGACTTGGTTTCCACCAGTGCAAATACGGCTACCAAGACGTCTACGAAGTCGCCGCTGTCACCGCCAACTACTCCTCCAACAATATTCCTCTGGAAACCATCTGGACGGACATCGACTACATGGACCGTCGGCGCATCTTCACCATTGACCCAGAAAGGTTCCCCGCCAATCTGTACAAAGACCTGGTGGACACAATCCATGCGAGAGATCAACATTACATAGTCATGGTAGATCCCGCCGTGTTCTACAAGGAGTCCAATCCGGCGCTTGATGCAGGTCTTAAATATGATACCTTCATGAAGGAAAAAAATGGCTCCGAATACCAGGGAGTTGTTTGGTCTGGTCCGAGCTACTTCCCTGACTGGTTCCATCCCGCATCGCAGCAGTACTGGAATGAGCAGTTCTTGGAGTTCTTCGACGGAACGAATGGCCCGGACATTGACGCGTTATGGATCGATATGAACGAGCCCGCAAACTTCTTCAACCGCCCCTACCCAGGCAACAACACCACCCCGGAGAATTTCGCGGAGGTGGATGGTGACCCTCCAAAGCCGCCACCAGTCCGCGATGGTCCGGATGCTCCTATCCCTGGATTCCCGAACAGTCTTCAGCCAAACTTTGCTTCCGGTAACGCAAATGAGAAGCCTTCAACTACTGTTGTCCAACGTCATCAACCTCAGTCTCGTTCCCGCCGCAACCTCGGTGTTGGTCATTGGCGCTCTGCCAGTGGGGCTCCTTCGAGTGCTGGCTGGCAGCACGGCAGACAAACTGGCTCTGGCTGCGGACCTGACGAGTGCAAGGGTCTTCCAAATCGCAAGCTCATCAGGCCACCTTTTATGATTCAGAACGGCGCTGGACCCACGCTTGCTGACAGCACTGCCGACACCGATCTGGTGCAGAGTGGCGGATACGTTCAATATGATACCCACAACCTTTACGGGGCTATGATGTCCTCGCATTCCCACAATGCCATGCGTTCCAGGCGCCCAGATGACCGCGCTTTGGTCATTACGAGAAGCACGTTTGCTGGCTCCGGCAAGGACGTGTCCCACTGGCTTGGAGGTAAGAATGCTTCTGGCGTCTACCCATTCAATATTGACAACGCCACCGACTCATGCTAAATATTCTGCAGATAACGTTTCTGGGTGGCTTTGGTACCGCAGCTCTATCAGTCAGATCCTGCAGTTTGCATCGTTGTACCAAATTCCTGTCGTGGGCCCCGATGTTTGCGGCTTCGGTGGTAATGTAACGGAGACGCTCTGTGCTAGGTAAGGACTGAATCTCCCATCACATGGGCTGCTCTAGCTAATATAGATCAATAGATGGGCAGCTCTTGGATCATTCTACACATTCTTCCGCAACCACGCCGAAATCTTCGCGAATCCCCAGGAGTTCTACCGCTGGCCGATAGTCGCTGAGGCCGCGCGCAAAGGAATCTCGATCAGATACCAGCTCCGTAAGTGATGCACACCCTCCTCTCTGAGATTAGAACTGATAATGATGCAGTCGACTATATCTACACCGCCATCTACAAACAGAACCAGACTGGCACCCCGGCCCTCAACCCTCTGTTCTTCAACTATCCAAACGACCCCAACACCTACCCCATAGACCTGCAGTTCTTCTACGGCGACGGCATCCTTGTCAGCCCAGTCACAGAGGAGAACAGCACGAGCGTCAACTACTACCTCCCCGACGACATCTTCTACGAATGGGGCACCGGCAACCCCGTCCGCGGGCACGGCGAGTACATCTCCGCCGAGGTCGACTACACGGACATCATGGTTCACTACAAGGGGGGCATTGTCTACCCGCAGCGCATCGAGAGCGCTAACACCACCACCGCGCTGCGTAAGAAGGGCTTCAACATTGTCATTGCGCCGGGGCTCGATGACTGCGCTAAGGGCTCCCTGTACCTCGACGACGGCGAGTCGGTTGTGCAGGACGCCGTCTCGGAGATTGACTTCAAGTACGTGCATGGTAAGTTCAGCATGACTGGCTCGTTTGAGTACGAGGCTGGCGTCACTATTGAGGCTATCACTGTTCTTGGCGTGGAGCGCGAGCCGAAGGGACTCCATGATGCCGAGTACGATGCCGAGAATAAGAAGCTGGTGCTTCATGTTGATGTGCCTTTGACCGGCCAGTCTCATATAACGGTAGTGTGATCTGATCCTAGGTTAGGGTAGATATCGCTGCTTTGTTTGGGCCACGCATCGCTAGCACAAGAGACAGGCAATAAGTAGTATGAGGACATAAATGAATAAGGACGTAAGTTCAAAATGCAAAGAGTGTTCTAAATTTCACCATAAATTTTTCTCTTAAAGCCTACTGCATATATGTTATAATCAGGTGAACCCTAATCACTCAGCTCATCTGCTTTCGTACTGATCAACTGGTCATAATTACAACATTCTACCTACCGCAACCAGGGCTTCCCATGTTGTATCCCGGAAATCTATGCTTTTTGTTATTGACCTAGGCTTTAAAGGTTTTCAATGAACACAAGGTCTTTTTATCTATCTTGTGACTATGTGGACGAAGTGATTGTCTTATTTTTCCGTACAAATTGACCAACCCATCCACTTTGCTGGCAAAATCTGGAAGCGCAGAGAGATCCAAGCCTCAATACTGAGTGTACTCATCTCGGGCGACAGCAATATAGGAACCTCATAAACAAAGTGTATGGAAGCCAGAAATTGGGACTCGAATAAAAGAGATACTCGAAGATCGTGAGGCTTCTTTGCCCAGCTGCCGCTGACAACCTGGGTGAGACTGGCGTCAGGGGCCAGTACTATCCCGCCCTACGACGCATGGCACTAGCACCCTAAGGCTGGGCATAATAACTCCCTTTTGGGTAACGTTATTTGTTTCTCCCTCCTTTCAGGTGGCGTTACTTGAAATTGGCTTGCTATCATGCTCTGCGCCAATATATTTTAAAGGCCAGCTCTAAAGGAAAATGTTTGACGAGATGGAGGGCACATAATTAGGGAGATTTTAACTTCTCTGAACCCCTGTCTTGCGGAATTTACCTATTCAAAAGTCTAAAGGAATTGCAAAACCGCTTACATGTATCTATTAACTCTAGCATTGCTGGAATGTCATAGCGTCTGTTAACACGTTTGCCCTACGGGGCGAAGTAGTTCGGTGATGGGGGCCCAAATGATGGGCCGTTACTTCAGCCCCTTGGCCCGCTTCTAATAGTTTTGCCACTAGCTGACATGTTTGCCCTACTGCTATTTTGGGGGCTGGGAGGCCTTTGCGGGAGTTCTCCTCTATGTAAGTCCAAAAATTCACGCCTCTCTATACAACAAATTCAAAAACAAACAAAAATATAAGAAGAACATGCAACAGTGAAAGTTCGCGGGTGGCCATAGGATGGTGACGGTGACCCAGTATGTGTTGACAGAAACCAAGGGACCCATTGGGGTCAGCCCTTAAAAGGGTTACATCTCACCAGAGAAGTAGGAAGTGATTCAAAAAATTTGGTTTTTATAAGAAATGAAAAATTCTCACATGGTAAAGAACGCCACTTACAGTGACAGTAAAGTATAAAATGGACCTCCAATTCGACTTAGACCCGAAGTCCCCTCTCTCATACCACAAGGACGATGGTCAATCAGATTTTACCCTCCAGCACTCTCCCCAATCTCTTCAAGAACATCCAGAATTTTATATCGAAGCCGATGTTCCGCCTCCACGACAATCCAGCATGTCAGTGCAATCGTGTCCACCGTGAGGTTGCCAGCATGGGTGCCATGAAGGTTCAAGTCTTGCTCATGCATGTTTTGTATTCCGGTGATGGCATCATCAATTCGGCCCGTGATTTTAGACAATGTAGAATAATCTGTTCCACTGAGAGGTGTAGCGATGTTTGAAGTTGCAGCTGTGGACTGTTGACTCCGGTCTGCCAATCAACTGCTTCTTTTTGTTCGGAGGTCCTCCAGATCTTATGGATTTGGAATATGATGCCCAACGACCTTTTTCAAAAGTCGCAATGAGAGCGTTATCAGAGTTTTGAATAAGATATTAATGCATAAAGGGTCAGCTGCAGCAACATCGACGAAATGACCCTCAAAATACTAATTTCTAGGAGGCTTACCTTCAAGTCATGGGTCCATCCCTTAAGACCTTTCATCCGCCCACTTGCAAAAATCCTCGTTCCGGACCATCGATACTGCACCCCATCTATGTCCCATTCAAACTTGCGAGTGAAAACCCCTGTTTTGCGCATCTCAACTAGCACTACTTTTCCAAGGACTTCCTGCTCCTCTTCTAGTGGCTCTTTTGGCAGTTTTCGACTTCAACCCAAATATCTTCCTACACTTTGCTTTCCTCGCCGCTTTTTTTTTTTCACTTTCGCCCGATTCTCGTTCTCCAACACCTCGCGTACGCCGTCGCCCAACCACAGACGGAACGAGCTCCACATGGCCGTGCGGCGGGCACGGCCAATCACCGTTGTAGTCGGAGTGTATTTTGGATTATCCCCTCGGTGGAAGACTGGTTCCCAGGAGCTATGATGTTTATGGGGAACCGGGTTCTCGATAAAGTAATCGGCAGATGATGTATCAGAGGGGGCAAACAAGTGTTTGCGCCCTTGGAAAAGCCCGCGATAAAGTTGTAGGGAGGCGATGGGAGCATCGTTCTGAGATGGATCTAGGGCAGAAGCGTCAAGGACATTAGCAGGTATTGATGTAGACATCGCAATTTTTGAATGGTAAAATTTCACGGCAATAAGTAACAGATAAATATCTGACACACTCAAGAAGAAGGAAAAGATATAAAAACGCTTCCTTCAAGTGCGAGAGACAAATGTTTTATCTCCTTGGGAGTCTGATGCCCCCTGGGAGGGCGGGATCTAGACTGGGAGATCATAATCAAAATTGACGCAGACAACAGACAACGTTCCGCACATCGCCCTATCCACAATGAAGCATCTTATCAACACTCCAGAAAAGAGAATGTTGAATCCATTCAAGCGTCACAGTGAGGTGCCAAGAAATTTCAGTGGTTGAATACGAGAGGAGAACCTCCTCCACCGCCAATCACGAAGTTCAGTCATCCTACGTTGTCGTAGCCATAGCCTTTTCCCTTTCGCCAAGTCTGGGTTGTGCAGCAAAGCTTGTTGTGGGTGGGGGCCGTCTGGGGCGAAAGCATGAAATTAGGACCTGCAAGCCCCTGCTCTTCATTCCTAAACTAGGTATGAAACTGCGAGCACGGGACACAGCCCCATGCTTAAAAAAGAGTGTATTGATCTTCATAAGAGATACATCGCGATCGACATCAGCCTCATGGATTCAAAGTTTTTCATTGTGGGGCTCTGTCATAACACTGGTCACTATCCTAAATCATTCATTAAGTTGTTCCCAGTTGATCATGAAAGAATTGTTGACTTTTTCTTTTATCAGACTGGCCTTGGCCAGTTCCGGCTCGGATTCCAGCTGCCGTTGCAGACGTCACCAGAGTTGTTGGCCAGTTGAGCAGGAATGGACTGCCCTCAACAGCTCTGTCCAAGGAAACTTGCAGACAATACAACCTGTCGCCGCCCCCCGCAACGGCAACGAACGGGCCTGCACGGCCATCGCCGAACAATGGACCGATTCCACCTGGCGAGCAACCCAGCCAGGAGCAGTGCAACGAGAAGATTGGGAGGCACGGCCCGAACTCGACCAGAGCTGCCTTTTGAGGCTTCCGGGCTATTGCTTACAGAAATAATCTATGTCCTATTCCTTTCCCACAGTCGATTAGAAAGTTAGATAAATAATTGTTATTCTTAAAAAGGCTAGAGATATCTGTTACTTCGATTCTCCAATTAATACAAATGTACAGCGCCTCAGTGGTTGCGTAGAGACAAGATGACGAGTATGACTGCAGCTTGACATTCGCAGATGCCACTTATTTCGAGATGGGTAATGTGGGGAACGGATCGGCATATAAACTCGGTGAATACGAGGCTGAACATGTCCGTCCCGCCTCTGCCTTGTGCCAAGACCATAATACGAGATATGAGGCTCTGCTAGCATCTCTGCTTGGCGAGGCAAGACAGAAACAGAATTTTTCCCACGATCGTGGCAGGTACCCATATTAATTACCTCTTTTTTGGGATGGTCCGACTGGTAGAAAAAGTCAGTCTCTTGCATCGCTTGAATCATCGGCCAAGAGCATTTGGATTTACACTTGGATCAATAATCGATTTGTCCACTAACCAGGCAGCCAAACATTTTCACAATGGCCGTCACATACCACAACGGCATCTCTATCTTCCAATTGATCATCTACCTCCCGGCCTTCTTCTTATCCAGCATCCTCGTGTTTCGTCACGGTCTACGCAGAAGCAGCGGCTTTTTCTTCCTCAATGTTTTCGCCCAGGCACGTATCGTGGGCATATGCTGCGATCTCGCAACAATAACCAACCAGCTGGCAATGGGTCTATATGTTGGTGCCGCAGTTTGTAGCTCTATCGGGTTGTCTCCATTACTCCTAGCATGTACAGGACTCCTCTCAAGGGCGTAAGTTCTGTCATTGATACATGTTCCTTGATAATAAACTATGAAATACTCACGGGTGTGTAGCAACTTATCCATCGGAAATACCACCGGTCGTCGACCACTACCCCATTTCGTCTTCTATTTCTTCCACGCTTTGACAATCACCTGTCTAGCGCTCACGGTAGCCGGCATCACGGCCGACATGTCCCCTCAGGCTATGCAGAACCCCGACATCAAAATAAAAGTCGGCGTGATTCTATATATTATTTCATGGGCGGTAATGTGCCTCTTCTTGGCTATACTCGCCTGGCACCGCGGCTCTCTCGAGAAAGGCGAACACCGCACCCTAGTGGCCGTGGCCATCTCAACGCCGTTTCTTCTTGTCCGCATCCACTATTCGGTTTTCATGTGGTTCTCACACAACCCCGACTTTAGTCTGTTCAACGGAAACGTCACTGTGCAGCTAGTAATGTCTGTATTGGAGGAAGTTGTCGTCGTTGTTGTGTGTTTGGCTATTGGGATGACCTTGCGCGTCCGGGGTAAGACTTCTTCACGTGAAGAGGAGGCCGGTGCTTCCGATCACCTCTTGGCTTCATATGCGCCCAAACCCTAGATGAGTTCAAATTGGAACTGCGCGATTTTATGTACTGAACCACCGCTAAGAATATATTCAGAATGAATTAATTATAACCAATGGAGTGTTAGGTACTACTTCTGCCTGCAATACAACAGGTCTTGACAAGGCTCTAAGTTCGTTTTCAGGAAGTGGGAAATTCCGTATATACGTGTTGTGAGCTGAGAGATCTCACCAATTGAGCCATAGCTCCGGCAAGGCTCCGTAGGTGAAGCCACAGATTACCATGGTGAATGCACCATGCAATAAACCCTTAGCTCATACAATAAGATACGATACATCGAATGCACCGAATTGAGCAAAGTCGGAGCAACTGAGATGACAATTCGGGGTTTCTTACTGCTGATATATTTTACCACTATAAAAAGCTGTAGAGATACCTCCATTTGAGGTTGAGACATAAATAATCTCTTATACTTGCCATATATTACTTATGCCATTTTCTCTATAATACATTGTAAATTACAACAAGATATACGTAGGCCCCGTATATTACTTGACGCAACATATCTGTACATTTGAGCACAAAGTTCGGCTCTTTATGCAGTAATATTCGAAATCAATCTTACCTCCAATCTCTCTCTCTGTTTTCTAAGGCCCCACCCACGGCACTCTAGTTTGTATGATATGTTTTTGCTAGCCTTCGCATCATCGATGCAGTTTGTTGAGATGCCGCAGATGTTTACACACCTCCGATGAACAGTTGTAAGATACAGCAAGATCATCTCTTCTCATTCAGAAGATCTTGTAATATTTGCAATTAGATTTACCGCCAGATTCTCGTGAACGTGGAGCCCAAGTTTGTATGCGCAAGGCCAATTTGAGGTTGAATTTTTGGGCAAAATTGTCTTGGTTTGATTCGATGGAACTGTGACCCAGGCAGTGTGCGTAGCTTCGATTATGGGTCGTACTAAGTTTTAGTAGCAAATCATAAACCCGCAATTGCTTCCAATGGTTATATATTGGTGCATGACCTTAGTCAGCGTCGAATGTCCTGTGGGATCAATATGACATCATACAAAATAAAAAAGCTGCGAAATACCATTGTCTCAGTCTTTCTGTACCGAAATAGGCACATCATATCCTCATATTCTATTTGTCTACGACCAAGTCAGACAATTCAACATGGTTAAGAAGAAAACGGACGATGTTGAAATTCCACAAGATTCGAATGACGACCTCCCAGACCACGGCCAGGGCAGCGACGGCCACGGCAGCGACGGCCACAGTATAGACGCATACGGCTCCACGGGACCCTCCTTGTTGGATGAAGAGGAGTACTTGCAGGAGGAAGATCAGGTTGACGACGTGGTAGCATTGCCGAAGCAAGTATACGGCATCGGTAGTAGGTACAACGACTTGAAGACGCACAATGGACAGCCATATTCTGGCATGGCGATCGGTGGCTCGCATACATGGAACTACGAGCCGGGTGTATGGAAGGAGACCAAGGAAGAACCCGATCTTTGGCGGATCGACTATCAAACCAACAAGCGACGGGCACGTAACGCGCCCAAGGGAAGCGGTGCACCTGTCGGGACAGAGTACCACTGGTTGATTGTTGGGCACCAGGTAAGAGTAGAACTCGATCAGGCATGAGTCAGAAAGCCAATAAATATCCTACAGCACGTGCGCAAAGTCGACGCCAATACCTACGAGACCCACCTGACGGGCTCCAAGTATAAGCTGGCGCATAAGTCGGTAAACTCAGGATCTTGGTCGATTCCTACGGTGAGAGGTCAACGAGAACGAGAAATTGAGTTGCTTGAGGATGCGCAGCGGCGTGTTCAGGGGCTGCCTCCTGTGATAGCGAGTGAGAAGGTCAAGTCCGATAGGCGAGAAAAGGGACAGCTAAGTATCGATTCCTTGTTTGGCCAGGCTGCCCAGAATATGGGAGGCGCAGCTGGTCCAAAAAAAGGAAGCGGGCATGAGGGCTTGGAACGACAGGGGCGGCTGTTCCGTGTTGAAAGGGTGTCTGGTATGATCTAGGTAGTATTGTAGCGCCGGAAAAAGTGACTCGATCCTTACCAATAAATCTAACAATGAGAATCTGTTAGGTTTCAACCATCTACTCAACCCAATTCTAATATAGAATCAGGTTTTCTTTTGGTTTCACACCTAAAAATTACATTGGATATTTCCTCAGTTTCTCGACCAAGGCCTCCAGTTAATCCCTTACCTTGATGACTGCGCAAAAGCTATGATTTTAGACACTAGGGATACGAATACTAGGGTACGTTTCTTCTATCCGGTTTGAGAATCACGAGCAGCACCTTTTATATGCAAACCCTATCGTAAAGTAACATCTAAAGTAGATTCTTGTTTTGGTTAGACGATGTAAACCAGCTCGCGGTGCTAGTTTCTTGGCAGGGGCCGAGTACGTAGTAAATGGAGCTGGTTAGCCTTGCCTGGCTTTACGGACGTAGGAATATGATTTACATTAGACTCTGTCAGAGTATCGAGGACAATGTTGCTGGCTTACATTGCATATTCGCCGGTAGCGGCATTGTAGTTAGCTAGCACCCCGAGGCAACCTGCAGGATGGTCATTTTTCATCCTGCGGGCATTAGGTTCGAGTTCCGACGCCGGCACAACAATAACCATCTCCGTTAGGAGGCACTAGCGCCCTGAATAATGGCGAACGTACCGTTGCCTTTTCACAGGTTAAAACGGAACCATTAAAGGCCTTCATTGGTGAGGCTCAAAGTTCACCGTAAGAAAGTTTAGAACAACCTCGTGGCGACAATCATGTATTTACACTATAGTGGTAGCCTGTCGCCAAAGGCGAGGGTTCAGAGTTAATAAACTTATCCATCCGTCTACCCGTCTATCTACTGTAGCCTGGTAAGACTAAAGGAGAGCGGACAGCCTCAAGGAGTAGGTGTGGGGAGACAAGTGAGGTATTACCCTCGCGACTTTGTTTGCTCTAGGTTAAGCCGACTCTGGTGACTACTCAGTGACGTCGTCCAATAGAGAACCGCTAAAATGCAGAGTGCAAATCGTTGGGCTAGTTGCTTCAAAGGATCTTGGATAAAAGCTGTCGCGTTCAGGTCGACGACTGGGAATAAACAAGGGCTCTACCCGATTACTATTAGTCCAGCTCAGAGCTACTGTGTCCCGCAGTACGAAAACAGAACAGGTAAGTAGTGAATCTGCTTCCATGCTTTCACCCTTTTGGCTCTAATGTAAATAGAATCATCGGACTTATCAAGCTACTATTTACCCACTAGTCCCACAGAGCCTGATATGGTCTCTAGTTGTGACTGGCTCAGTGTTGTTGCTGCATATATGCTGAAGGTGGCTAATTCCACAAATTGCCTCTACTAACTTAGCTTAAGGGTAAACTAGTGAATGCTTGGTTTTATTCAGTCGCTGACCGAGATTTAAAGGAGTACAATATAGTGAATTCGTCGACTTCGACGACTACAACATAACAATGGCATGGCTTGTTTTATAAAATCTATGTCTTACAGGGAAACGCGGCACGGCCCTTTATGTCAACCTAAATGACACTGCCACAGGAGCCGTTGTATCGGGATAGGGACAGCTACCACTACCCTTACACCGAGCATAACTGTGACTGGCTCTGTAAGCCAGACAGCTGTTTTTATGGAGGGAACTCAAACCGGCGTTGTTACGAGATGTCGCAAAACCCATACAGAAAATGGGCCAGGATTAGACCTGGGCATGTCCTAGGGTTGTCCTAAATCCTTTGGAACATTGAGACAAAAGCCTGTTCCGCCTCTTGCCGCCACTGGGCTTGGCTGGGCCTGCCCCCACATGGCCCCTGAGGCTGAGACGTGGCCACATGGATACAAATTTCAGTCTTCCAGTATAACCCAAAATCCATCTTAGTTCCGAGGTCAGGACCCAAAACCCAACCTAGCTTTAGGTTGGGTTGGGTCCGGGTCCACTTGGGTCGTGGAGAAGTCTACACATGGCTTTTCCAGAACGGTAAACCGACGGTTATCTGTTCCCGTGCACTGAACCCCGCAGAACGACACTAAGACACATGCGATCAAGAATTATTGGCTGTTACGTACGCACTTTGAACGATGGTTCCACTTGAGGGGTCAGTCACCTGGCATCCGCATTCTGACAAGAACTTTGACCAATATTGGCACATCCCCAAAAGTTTTCGAATCAATTGAGTGTATTAAGGTTATTTGACAATCATCTCACTTCAAATCGAAACTGCTTTGGATAAATGGCATCAATGTAAGTGTTATTGTTCGAAACGACAATCTACCCAAGAAGAGATAGATGAGAAGGGGACAACATCAAATGAAGAACAAAAACGAAAGGCCATTCACAGACACTCACTAAGAGTTTTCAAAGCATGATTGACAATGGATTCCACGACGTGGCTATCGTGCGGGGAACAGTGGACGCCGTTCCGGCAGTCCTCCATCTCCTAGATACCGCAGTCAAATGGTTGGTATCGCGTGACAGAGTTGGGCAGTGGGGAGCAGCACCGTTTTCTGAGAATCCACAACGCGCCGAACGACTCACAGAATTTGCAACAACCGGCCTTGGTCTTTGGCTCGCTATCAAGGTTGCTGATGACACGCCCGTGCTGGGCCAAAATCGACTCTCCAATATAAACCCCCAAACTATGAATGGAGAAGCTCCGGGGGTCATCATAGGAGCGCTTGCTATTGGAGAGAGGATGCCTTATGTGCCAGCTGTCTCTGAGCCTGAGCTTTACGTGCGATTATTGGTCACGGATCGACGATATGCTGGCAACAAGATTGGCAAACGCCTTTTGGAACATGCACGTGATCTTGCCAACAGGACTGGAGTGTCATTACTACGGGTGGATTGCTATGCAGGTGGCGACGGCAAATTGGTCCAATATTATGAGTCTCAAGGGTTTAAACGATCTGAAAGTTTGAACCTGGAAGGCGACTGGCCTTGCCAAGTGCTTGCTCAACGGTTAGATGAGGTGAAAGGAGAAGAGAGACGTTGATTATTTCTTTGCTGGGGCATATTTAGTGGCTCCGAAATGGACTTCGACATTTGTCGGATACATATATGACGTAGCGATAGCCCGGATATCACACTTTGGTGAGGGGGACTGGGTAAATGATGCATTGGTAGGACGATGTGGTGCAACGAGTTGCTGTTTGATTGGCCGCACCATCTGATATGGTCCGCTATAGTAAGAGCAGGAGAGAAATCGCAACGCATGATTGCTGAAATCCTGTTTAAATACCGACCGTGCTGAAAGGTCATTGATTTAGTAAAGGTCGGTCAGAAGTGGAGGGTAACACCTTCTCGAGGCCTGGGTATGACACGTCCTTGGATTAGAAAAATTCTCAGGAATTCAACGGAATTGCAGAACATTCTCGGCATCTCAGTCAATGGATATTCGAAATCTCAAGCTGACAGTAGTATAGTAATTGAATAATTATCGCTCTTGCAGTACTACAGTTTTCAGGATGTGAAGACCTCTCTTTATTTCAGATAATTGAACTTTTCTTGTCGGGCTGAATAGAAATAGTAACCAGCAAAGTTATTAGGAAGGGAGCAGAACAAACTGAACGAAATGGTGACCGGCACTTGGTTGAATGCAGCACAATCGACAGGCTGTGGTTGGTCTGGATAAATCAAATATTTTTCTTTCACCGTTTCATGGAACGTGGTAGCAAAATCCATGCATTGGTATTGTCAGCTAGATCGAAAGTCTTACATAGAATGGATCTCGCGTTCCCATAATTCTAGGTGCGGGCAGTAAGGGGGAGATATGGAGTACGGGTAGGCTACCTTCTATATATTGGGACACTACAACCTTGCGATGTGGGACAACCAGCGAAATAAAGGAAATCGGTGCCTGACTCCATCGTGCTTGACAATATCTGCAGCTAACCATGTTTCTTACGCCCGGGAGCGAGCAAGATCGTGCGTGGGAATTGCACGTCGTGCAACCACCTCGTATTAAGTGAGACCTAATAAGACGAATGATGTGTGAATGCAAAATGATCTATAGAGTAAATCAAATAACGACGAGAACCTAAAAAAAAAAAAAAAAAAAAAAAAAAAAAAATGGAAATGACATCTCTAAAAGCGGAAGAGCGACTCCTGATTCTGGGCCCGGAATCAACGTCAGTTATTCAATTAGCCACAGATCGCAAGGGTCTAGAGCAAATTTTAACCAATGATCTTGCTCATTATATCATGTCTAATATTTGTCAACCCGGCCACAGTATAAAAGAAGGTGGTTTCTGTACATGATTTACTTAACGATTCTCTAGCAGCCCCGATACTCTCATTTCGTCTATCTGTTTTTATCTGAATGACATGATCCCCTTTGGAACCTTTTAGAAATCAGCCTTCTTATCGAGTTCCTCTACGATCTATAACTAAATCTGCTATACACTATTTGATAGTAACCAGGTCAAATACCGGGTATACATCCGCTCCGTTCACCAATGGCAATTTCTCAACGGCTTTGAGAAAGGCTGCGCTGCATCATCAACATGGACCAGGCCGGGTCGCGCTCGAGCCTCCAGTGGAATCTCAAGTGGACCTATCATGTTGTCTTTCGCAGCATGAACAACCGGAGTGATGAATGGTGACCAAATTGTTGACTGTCGCCCATAGATCAGGGCAGGGAGCAGTATCATGACGTCCAAGATACCATCGAATTTTAGAATCTCATTTTCCAGGTTAACTCCCCATGAAACCAATTCTTCTGGTGGTGTTGCTGCATCGGGACCGACTAAATCGAGGTCCGTAACAGGGTTTTCAGAAGAGCCATGCACCCAAGCCCCAGAGCATCAAATAAACCCCAACTTGGCCCCCCTGGTGCCACGGCTCGAGTTTGCATCCATTCGTTGCTGACCCAGTAGTCTCACGGTTTGCAGAAAAGTATGTGATTGCTGATTGGCTCCTGACACATCCACCACAATGTCGATGCACCTTGACCTAATGACGGCAAGATACGCTTCTGGGTCATTGATGGGATCAGTACCAAGTGCTGGTTGGATCTCCTCCCTCGACAGCTGCAGCGCTTTTTCAGGTGACCTCGCGATACCGTAGACGGTATGCTGCCGCTCAGAACGAGCAATTGGGCAATTCTGCTGCCTAGATAGCCGGTGGCACCAATGATCAAAACTCTCGGCATGCTGTTCAAACGATAAATTTGCGAAGTTTAAGTATGTAATAATAAAGGCAATTATTAGCAAAGCAGTGAGCAGGTTAGGAATTGCGCTTCGTTATAAATTTCCAATATCTGCTACTGCCGACACCTCTCACTTTGAGACTGGCGCAGAATCAAATGATAAGCGATGAAGCATACAACCATAACCCCGTTGACGCCGTCCAAGGGAAAATAAAAGATTACGTCCGAGGTAAGGCCAAGCGGATCCAATGTCTTCGAAGCGGCTTGCACCAAATACCGGAGCCGAAACATCATTGAGATAATTAAATCAAGTCAATGTCAATGGCAACCTCATGGTAAATGTCTGTTCTGCGTAATTTATTCAGGCATCCTCGCGGCCAAAGATGTCCCAAGATATGATACGGAGTTTACCGGCGATACCGAAATTTAAGCAACATTCCCCCCAAGGATCAATCTGTAGCTATAACTAGGATCAAAACTGGCGGATCGATTGACAGCCACAGAATCCACGCAAAGATCTCATCTTAAATATCATCTCCGAACTTGACATAATTGATGACTGGATCGGAAGTTGTATCGACACCTTCTTCCAGAAACAGATCATCATCTACATTGCGCGTAATCGGCGTGAGATTGGTATTGTCGGGATGTGTCGCATCGACTTCATCAATCAAATCTTGGTCCCAAAACAACTGCCCAATAGACACCTGTGGGGTTACAGGTCCAAATATCCCACCAGGCGCCACTGAATGGTTCACAGGTCTCCACATCAATGAGTTGTGCATCGATAATCATGGGTACGCCTGGCCGTCTATCGGTGATGCCTGACCGTACATGTTCGCCCTTAAATGTCCCACCTTGCCCTCCGGATCCAGCACACATGTACCATTTGCGGCAAACAACACGGATTCTGGCGTGTTGAGGGTGATGCTGGAGTCCGTTGCTAGGTGGGATTTGCGGAGAGGATCTGGAAGATCGACATCATCATGCGGGGTGTTGATCTTTGAGCCGGGGTATGGACCTAGGACAGTCGGGTCAAATAAAGACTGCTGAAACTGGCGGCCGTGTCGACGATGTTCTGGCGACGAGCGGTAGCGCGTTGGTTCACGCCGCTTTCTTCAAGTTTTACATTGCAGTCGCCATATTTTTCCAGAAGTTGGGAGTGGTATTCTCGCCTTTGCATGTTTATCGGTCCATCGTGTTTCCCATGTCCACCGGGGTGGGCAGTGCTCAACACTGCGAGTGCAACGAACGTGGGCAAGAGATTCTAGAAGCATATTGAGTTGATTTTGTTTCATGTAAAATTAATGAGCGTCTTAGATTAATTAAGACAAGACAGATCTTCCTCGTCATGAAACCTTTCAGTCTCGCATTGTTGGCCGAGAAGCCGAAGATGATATTTGCTTCGGGTTAGGCTTCCATATCGGGACTAGTGCATCTCGGACATGCGGCATTGTTGGATCCCCTGTACTGATGGTATTGCCGTGTCACCTTGATACGCACTTCTCATGCATTAGCGTTAGACCTGTATCGATAATACTGGGTCGTGACCCACATAACCCCAATATCAATACAACTATTACACACATGCTATAAGAGGCATATGCTGAGACCCATTCTTGCCGGGTTCGGGTTCGGGCTGGTTCTTTCCACTTGATTTTTCGCATCGTTGCGTCAGACCACAGCCACTGACGATGAATGAGCCAATTAACTAAGCAAGTTTCTGCAGCAGTGCCACGCGGCACATGTCGAGTCCTTGTGTGTGCCCGGTTCCGCGTTTGGCAGCTGTTACTCTCTCTCCCGCAGTGTTAAGATCAGCAGGTAGATGCCAAGAGCTACACTCAGGGGCAGTTCCAACAAATATCGTCCAATATGAGCTCCACGGGGGCTCAGTCTATAGTCCACGTAATTATCGTTTCTGGGTGCAACTATTTTCAGTCCGGTCCAATATCCATGGACTACATAAAGTCCTGCTGATTACCTCTCGATTTGTTCATACTTTTCAAATCAATCAACAAAAATCATGTTCAACGTTCCAATGTTGAACTTGTTTCAAGTTCTCCTTGCCGCTCCAGCACTCGCCGCGGCGGCCACTTTCCCAGTCATTCAAAGCAACTACGGACCTGTCAAGGGTGCAGCATCGCCTTTCCGGGATGGAGTGACTGTTTACAAGGGCATCCCTTATGCAGCACCCCCTACAGGCTCGAAGCGTTGGACTCCTCCCACCAAGCCCGACTCTTGGACCGAGACACTCAATGCAACCGAGTTTGGTCCCCAGTGTGCTCAGCCATACTCTGAAGCCGGTATCTTCTCTTCTGGAAAGAACTCAACCAGTGAGGACTGTCTGACCTTGAACGTCTGGACCCCAACCTACGACACCACTGATGCCACCAAGATCAAGAACAAGAATCTCCCCGTCTACGTTTGGATCTTCGGTGGCCGTTTCGAGGGTGGCTCCGGAGATGTCATCAGCTATGATGGTACCGGGCTTGCCTCTAAAGATATCATTGTCGTTACTATGAACTACCGTCTCGGTGCCTTTGGTTTCCTTGCTCACCCTGACCTGTCTACTGAGTCTGGACACAACAGCTCTGGAAACTACGGTATTTTGGACCAGCAGTTTGCTCTTCGCTGGGTTCAGGACAACATTGCTCACTTTGGTGGTAATGCTAGCCAGGTCACTGTCGGTGGTCAGTCCGCCGGATCTGCCAGTGCATTGGACATGATGTGGAGTCCTCTCAGCAGCGGATTGATTCACGGTGTAATTGCTGAAAGTGGTGCTCGTGGGCCTCATGACCCTGCTACCGGTAGTGTTGCCACTAGCTACAACACTAAGGGCGTTGCTGAGGGCTTTGGTGTCACCTTCCTGAAGACTATGAACGTCTCTTCAATTGCTGAGCTTCGCGAGCTCCCTATGGCCGACCTTATCGGAGAGGGTCAGTTGATGGAAGATGATTATTTCGACGGCACTGCCTTCTCTGATCTCTGGTCTGGACCTCCCCGCTGGCGTCCAGTCATTGATGGCTACGTGTTCCGTCACGGATATGGAGAATCGCTTGAGCTCGGTGCCCACGCTGATGTGCCCATTATGACCGGTAACAACAAGAACGAGAACGACGGAGGCGCCTCAACTGTTTCCGACTACAAGTCTCTGTGGACAAAGGTTTTCGGAAACTACTCTTCGGAGTTCTTCTCTCTCTACCCCGCTAAGACCGACACCCAGGCCGGTGACAACAGCGACGCCGTTCTCCTCGATTTGGCCCGTGTTGGAACCTGGGAGTGGGCCTCTGAATGGGCTGCCGGTGGCGCCAAGAGCGATGTCTTTGTGTACTACTTTACGAAGGCTCCTGCCGAGGACGAAGAGGGTGGCGCTTACCACGGTGCTGAGATCTGGTATGCCTTTAACAACATTCCCTACTCGGATTACTCCAATGTCACCTGGAATGCCACCGATTACAAGATTGAGTCTGTGATATCTGAGTACTGGGCCAACTTTATCCGCACTGGTAACCCCAATGGTGACGGCTTGGTTCACTTCCCCCGTCCTCCAGCAACTATTCTGCCATGCACCTCGGTGAATCTTTCGGTGCGGTACCAATCGCTGCGTCCGAGAAGCGCATCAGCTTCCTCCGCCGCTGGATGTCTACTTTGCATCAGTACTAAGTTGGGAAAGTTTCTACTTGGTGATTTTGGCGGTTGTGATATGAGACAACACTTGTGCTTTATAACTTGTAACTATTGAATCAGAATATATACTATATTCCTATTTCGCGCCTCGGTTGCGATAATGGACACTTAGTATTATGGCGTTTTTCCGTCTACAAAACTCGTCATTCAGCGGCCGTCGCTCTCACTGTGCATTGCGGCTGATGTTACCTAAGATGGAAGAGAGGTCCGATTAAGCTCGGATATAAGCCGGGATATCCGCGGTGCGGTTTACTCCCCGATGAAAACCATAACAGCCGGAATGAAAATAATTACCAGATTAACAATCGTTATCGGTTCAGTTTTTTTTCGCATATCTTATTGCTCGATCACAGCTTGAGCGATCAGTGCGACCCAAAATGTCTTTTCGGTTATATCTCGTCCGACATGCAGATGGTACCCACAATCCAGGCCACGATACAACCATACCCAACTCGTCATTAACAGCAAGGGGCATTGAACAGTCCCCGGAATTATGTCGAGACTTCTCATACAGGACAGCGTTGGCTAGTGTTGGCATCTCCACTCCGACGCACTCTTCAAACACCCCGTCTCGCAATCCATCGATGAAAAGTACTACGCTCAAGGTTCCGGTGCATGGGTTCAAAACGGTGCCAAGCTTGTGCTAGAGCCTGATATTTAGGCACACTGCGCTCAACCATGTGACACAGGCTCTGATATCTCAATTTTGCGCACAGACTCTTCGATCTGCCCTGGGGAAATCTAGACTTGGATCCCACATTTCCGAAGAAAGAAGGCCTCTACGCGGATGATTCTGAGAGTTTGAAATTGCGCGGCGCACGACTTCAGCGCTGACTGGAGGAGAAGTTCAAAGAACTGAAAGACAGTAGTCGACCAGACATTGTCGTTGTTACACATGGCCGATTTTTGAGATTCGTCATTGGTAATGACAAGATAGAAGTTGGGCAAGCGAAGTGGGAGACATTCGTTGTCACATTTGACAAAAATTCTGAAATTGTTGTACAGTCATCTGAATAATCGTCGAGTTCCCGGATTGTGTCAAATGTTTTTCTAGATGCAATAAACCCAGGCGTTTTGCTAGACCTTCTTGTTTTCTTCCCCGAACAACCCTGCGCGTAAATTTCAGCACCATCTATCAATCAAAATCGTTTAAACATCCAAGAATCAAGGAAAAGGCTTACGTTTGCAATCGCGTCCTCGAAATGAATCCATTGGCTCCGAAGACGATCTGCGGCTCCACACTTATATCCGAAGGCTTGCCCCTAATGCTAATTTCAAGCAGGCTGTCAAGATGTGGATTAGACCCAAACCGTGATCATCACATCTTGTCTCTGAAGAGGAAGATATATGGTAGATCGTTGCTCAGCGGCCGCGTACCATCCCTGGGAGCTTTCGCATGTTTCAATATAATACCAACATGGTCAATCTGCACCATTTCTAAATCGAGGGCTTCCCGTAAGCCCTTGATCTTCCGATGCATTACCGCCGCTTTGGTCAGCATATCGTAGCATTTCTCTTATAAAATTCATCCGCCATTAACCGAAAAAGCCCGACAGGGACGTCGCCACTTCAGGTCGCAATAATTGTGAAACATGTCGACATTATTCGTCTCCTTGTCAGCTATGAAGAAACTTTGTTAGTTAATGACCAAGATCCCACTCCTTTACTGCACTCATGTTCGCGTCAGCTCATGGTAGGCTTGAAATTGGCAACAAAATTATTGGAGAATCCCAATGTCAGCGTGAATCCTGTGGATGATCAGAAAATGACATCTTTCTGGTGAGCCGCAGCTGGTGGGCTAGGGATTGAAGGATTCGAAAGGCAAGACAGCATACGCCTTCGCCAAGGAACGTAATCATGGGCATGCCAAGGTTTAATTACGAAAATACTAGAATGCAAGCTAGTGTAGTACGATACCGGGCTTTGGTGTACCCACGGCGGTCGGGATTCTCGAAGTGCAATACAGCAACAACAGGCTCTTCACCGCGGCCTATTGTCTACTGCTCATCATTATTTAGTGATAGTTACCAAGAACAGCGCTGACGAGCCCGCCTCTAGTCCAGGGCATCAGCCGTGCGACGGGCTTGTGTTAATGCCACCCAAACTGGAAGCAAAGACTGATTTCCATCCGACGACACATACTAGAGAGCTAGATTACATTGACAGGAAGTATAGCTCGCTACCGGCGAAAGGCTAATTCGTCCTGGTATAAAAACAAACTAGCTTAAATAGTTCCGACTATAATTGCGATAACCCATATAACACGGGACCTCACGGAGCCTGCTCTCTACAGATAACGTGTATTTGCTAGAATACTACCTGCGGCAAGTTAAGTAGTTTGGCGTGTCCGTTTACACCTAGGGGGGTTATACCAAAGGCGCTATGTTTCCTCTTAACTAAGTTGGAATGAGATAGAATTACAGCAACTTTCGAAAACAGTTTACCCTCAGACGCCCACACTTCGTTTCTCGGCCCGTACCCGGGACAACACTAGGCAAGATCCAGCTAGCTCGTAAATGAAACTGATCTATAAGTGGACAATATCTTACCACTGGTCCCAATAAGTGTTCAACTTGTTTCGGGTACGGGCCGACAAACAAAGTGTGAGTGTCTTGAGGGGTAAACTGTTTTCGAAAATCGCTGTAGTGCGATATGGCCCTTCGCTAGAAAGCCTAGCTCTTCTAATCCTTTGATATACTATAACTAATTAAAAACTGGCGGAGGTTCTATGTATATATTTAAAAAGATCCTTAATAAGAAGTCAAAGTTATTCTTAGGATCTTATACACCTCTTTACACTACCTCCCTGGAATGCACGGCAAAAGCGCCGACCTTGTACTGTATGCATATTCAAACAGACAATACTAGGCTTTCCCCCTACCCTAGCCTTTGCCGCACTTTATGGGAAGCATTGTGTCGATGTCTTGAAGGATCACCTAGATAGTTTTTGTGCTTTGTGGTTGGATCCATCACCTGCATGTCTACTGTGTACCCAACTTGGAAGCGAGCCGATCTCAGTTTGGTCCATCCCACATGGGCTGTTCTAATTCACGATCGAAATGCACTGAGTATCTAAATATCATGGGGTAACACAGCGACGCATATCTCGGTACTGAAACTAGATAATTGGACATGTCGATAATTCAACATCTCAACGGTGAAATGGACTACAATGCTGAAGGTTTATGTAATTTACTACATTCATGCGTGTCTCTGTGGCTTGTTAACGCATCATTGAGCCTGCAAAACCGTCGACATTGACGCGGAAAATCTCATCACACCGGCCTCAAGTACTTTTAATAAATAGCGCCGGATGTGGTAAGTGTGAAAAAGAACTACTACGTATCTATCTGAGTTGGATGCGAGCAAATGGGCAGGAACCTTGCGCACCTGTGGGAATTAGACTTTTTCAAAGTCAAGAAATAGCAAGCTGGACTTTTACTTTTACTTATTATAGTATTTTCCGAAGCAGAGACGTTGTGTCTCATATATGAGACGACTAGTATATTAGGATACTTAGTAAAACAGATGTCATTAAAAACTATGCAGTAATTTTCTCCCAGTTTTGCAATTTTTGTAACGACATCACAGTGTCAGTAATGCTGGCAGACAAGGTTCGATACGTCAAGCCAAGCTTCTTCGTCGCTTGGGAGTTGTCAAACCCGTAAAGTCCTTCGTTGGGATACCCACCACCGCCCGTGTTTTGGTCTGGGAGTTGCGGTCTGTAGTCGGGAAAGGATCCTCGGATCACTTCACAGATTTCTTTGTTGGAGAAGTAACCAGCAGTCAATAAGAATCTCTGGTTCACGGTACCTAAAACTTCCATCGCTCTTATATGCGCCAAAGCGGCATCACGAACATCTACCCAGAGGAAGAACGATGTCCCTGTGTCTGGGATTTCAACTTTATATTCCCCTACCATAAAATTTCGGATCCGCTGGTTTGATGTGTTGAGTTTGTCGAGATTGCGCAGTGGGTGTATCACGGGGCCAAACATCAATGTTGGACATAGCGTGACCAGAGAGAAAGGTGGGTTCTCTTTCTCAACAAACTCCCAACATGCTCGCTCGGCAAAAGTCTTACTTGCTAGATCGAAGCTTTTAGTTCAAATATAGGAACGTCCGTCGAACGAGGAGGTGAATGCTAACCTCTATATCCGTTGAGAGGATTTAAATGAGCATCCGAAAGGATAATAGGGTTCCAATCTTCCTCAGAATAAATATGGTCGACCCAGCTGTTCCCCTTATAACTGTTGATGATCGATGCGAAAGAAGATGTTACGATCTGCAACTGGTTAAAATATGCCGCGGAAGCCAACTATGTTTTATGTACCGATGCAGGGAAGCGTACCACTTTCTTGGTCGATGGTGCATTCTTCCGAACTGCTTCCAGCAACGCAATAGTCCCAATGATTGCAGGATCCAAGAGCTCTCGCTGAATATCAGTTATAGAATAGCGAAAAGGCGACGCAGTATGCATGACCACATCAAATGGCGCGTCTGGATTGAAGCATTCATCAAAAGCACCGGCGCTTGTAAAGTCAGGGACGATGATAACTCCTAGCTGAGTGGTAGATGCATATGGATGGCGTTCGCGGATCTGCTCCGCCTTCTCATGACTGCGGACAGTAGTCACCACTGATTGTCTACGAACATATAATATTAACATGGGTGAGCGATTGTCGTTGGGAGGGAGGATCGCATTACCCTCGCGCCAAGAGGAGATCAAGAATATGGCTTGCAAGAAATCCATTGCCACCTATGTAGTGCTGTCAGTTGAAGCTCAGCCCTCGTGAATTTCACTCTTGAAGTAAAATACGAACCAGTGAGGAGGACTCGAGCCATGTTTCCTTCTCTTTCCCGTCTTTTTTCCGTTGCTTTTAAAGAAATTATTCTTTCAGAGAAATCGAGATCAATTTACCACATTAGGGTGATGGAGAGACTTGGATGAAAAATGAGGAAGAAGACCTATTGTTTATATCTTATTGTTTCGTCAATCCCAACACGAGCATTGCTCTGGATATGGCCAATTAAATTTGGTGTGGCGTTCGTATTGCGTGTTGGACCCCTCACACGGGGTTCCTAGTGCAGACCACAGGCTGAAGTGACCGATTATGTCCAGTTCAGGAGATACCTATTATGCAAGGGAAATCAGTGAGCGCTGGCTCAAAAGCCCTGCATAGATAGACAGTTTGGGGCGAGGAAAAGGATCAGATTGTTCTAATATGGGGCTAATGCCCAGGGACTATGAGGAAACTGGGGTGTGAAAGTAGCCCAACAAGGCGCGACAAGACCCACTCAGAAACTCAGTCTGTCATAGTTTTAGGGCAATCCAAAAGGACCCCCATGCTAGGCGTTTCGACCCTATCCCACGGGGGGTCCTGACAATATAAGTAACAATACATAGATTAAACACGAAGAACTAAATATGATATATAAATAAGTGCCCTTATATATCCTAAGTCCTTCTAAAGTAGAATAGTAGAAAGTAGAGTAGAACTATTCTATATATCGACTATTGACCGTTCTACTACTTATATAATCACGTGGTAGTCGTCTTATTGGTATTAAGAGTATATAATAAGACAGTAAGCGGAAGACTAAAAGTGGCCCTTTAGTGCGTAGACTTTGGCTATGTTGAAATTACACGATGAATGACGCTACGGAAGCATGTATGTCAAGGCCAACGAGGTGGTTTAAGCCTGATCTCTCCTCCATGAGAGAGAGATCCTATTTAATGAGAAGCATTTCTCCTGAACTATACTCTACATGGTAGGTCAATGCTGATCACGATCTTCATGCTTAGCGAAGCAGGCATTTCATGCCTGGAGATGCCTGGATAAGCCATGAATCTCAACAGTCTATTATAGATAGTTATATATATAGGATAAAGTCTACCGGGTAGGTCCGCTTAGGGTAAATTATGCTCTTACTCACTAAGTATAATCACGTTTCTCTTTTCCTTAATACTCGGGGTATCTAGAGTATAAGGTAACGTATTTCCCAAGCGAGCTGGCCACCCAACCAAAAATGCGACCCGTAATTAGACTCACCTTTTTCAACCACCTACCATACCACCAATTCGCTCTCAAAATCCTCAAAAACGCGTAGAGCAAGAGGGCAGACTCTTATTAGCTATCTAAGCTATTAAGAATCAAGAATTTAGCTCTATACGCAAAGCTGCGGAGGTTTTTGATGTCCCCCGCAGTACGCTCACGACGCGTCTACATAGCGTTACCTACCGCGCCGAAATACGCGTAAACAACCATAAATTGACTACTTGTAAAGAGAAATCGCTTTATAGATGGATTATCTCACTAGATGATCGTGGAGCAGCCCCCCGGCCTAATATAGTACGGGAAGCAGCTAATATACTGTTAAAAGCGCGTGGTTCTACCCCTCCTACTACGGTCGGCAAAAATTGGGTCGGAAACTTCGTCCGACGGTATCCTAACCTCTCTACTCGATTCTCACGATTATACGACTACCGGCGAGCATTGTGCGAGGATAAAGGCACAATTCGAACGTGGTCTAACTTCGTGAAATCTACGATTGAGAAGTATGGTATTGCGGACGAAGATATCTACAATTTCGACGAGACTAGCTTCGCTCTCGGCCTTACGGCTACTACTAAGGTTATAACGCGAAGACCTGTCGGTCGGAGAGCTATTTTATAACCTAGAAATCGCGAATAGGTGACTACAATTAAAGCAATAAATACGACCGGGTAGGCGTTGCCGCTATACGTCATTTTTAAAGGCAAGGTTTTTATGGCGGTATAGTGTAAGGATACGCATTTACCGGCCGATTAGCGATTTATAGTTAGTAATAACGGGTAGACAAATAACGCTATTGCTCTAGAATAGCTTCAAAAACTATTTATTCTATCGACTACTAGCCAAAAAAAGGGTCGGTATAAGCTTCTTGTCCTCGACGGCTATGGCAGCCACGTTTTAGCGAAATTCGATGCGATATGCTCTCAAAATGATATTATACCAATTTGTATGCCTTCGCATTCGTCTTATCTTTTATAACCTCTCGATATCAGCTACTTTAGGGTGTTAAAAAAGGTATATTCCGACCTCGTGGATTCGTAGGTAAAGCTTAGCATAAGTCGAATCGATAAAAACGACTTCCTTATAGCCTATCCTCGGGCTAGAAAGGCAGTATTTAAGACACAAACTATTGTGAATAGCTTCGTAGCTGCTAGTTTAGTGCCTTTTGACCTAATACGCGTGGTTTCGAAGCTTAATATCCGACTTTATACACCACCTATCCCTCCGAGCCATGGTGGCGATTCGAGCCTTAATTTCACGCTAAAGACGCCGCGTACGGTGAAGGAGGTTCGCCGGTAGGCTTCTTCTATTAAGTAATTACAATAAGAGAACCTACCACGCGCGGATAAAGCTTTTAAGTAGATCGTGAAAGGCGCCTATTTGGCTATACACGGCGCGGCTATTTTACGCCAGGAAAACCAGGAATTACGCGCCGCTAATACGAGAATTACCCGAACAAGGAAGCGTACGAGGAAGCAAATAGCTCATAAAGGTGGCATGTCAGTTTTAGAGGCTATGGAGGTAGTATCAGGTCTAGGAATAGCCGATGAAGTAGGCCTAGGTGGTGATAGCGGTTCATCCCCGACGCCGAATCAGGCCAATAAGAGGAGGCCACAGCGATGCAGTCTTTGTAAAACGCCTGGAAATAAGAGAAATAGGTGCCCAGGGAGGTCTGAATAGCTTCATTTTTAATTATATAGCGTTGTGGTGCAAAATTTTGCAATTTAATGGTAGCAGTTTTGATTGGGTGGCGAGCTCGCTTGGGAAATACGTTACTACACGTGATCTAATAATAGATAGATCGGTTGGCTCTCGGTGGCCTATCAGCAAGTTGCGGCCCTATAATCGATTGGTGCCTGGTAGGTCCGTAACAAAAAATACGGATCCAGTCACAATGTGGACAGTGCAGCTAGCGGAGAAAGGGTCGATTGACTTGGCCGTCTCACATTACATCACGATAGCTATAGACCTCGCCAAACGCGGGTTTGGGGCGGGTTGTCGCTTTCTCCTACCCGCCCACGGGTAACCCGCGCGGGTTTTGGCCTTCATGAACCCGCCCGTGGGTTCTTGGCGGGTACCCGTGGGTTACCCATATAACCCACCAAAATGCATAATAAGTGAACAAAAGTGTATTAGTCAGTAGTGGTAATATTGGTAATTTAATTTTGTCACAACTTTATATGGGAGATACCGTCTCATGAAATGTCTCACCACCTCAATAATATATATATTATATATGTACAGGCAATTGTCCAGCCAGAGCGCGCTCTCCGAACACTTTTGCATCCCAGCGTTGGCACTAAGAACATCCATCGACCCTTATTGATATCAAGCCTCTCGAGGACACTTTAAGCTATAATATCCAGAAAAATGATTGACCAGCCAGTGAAGAAGCATCCTCGCCATCGTTTTACTGTCGCACGAGTTTTGGGTACCCGTGGGTTTAGGGTACCCGCGGGTTGACGCGACCCACTATCTCATACAAAAAACCACCGCGACGCGTTGGGAAAAAAAATCACTCTGATCCCACGAAAATTCCAATTCTTGGAACTCCAACGAGCTTGAGCTATGAGCATCGAATCTCCAAAAGCCATGTCCTCGCGGTCAATTCATCGGTCTTTGAGCCCCTTGCTCTCCATTGAGCCATCATCAGATGTTTCCATGGACTCGGACTTCCAGTCCTCGGTACGATACTCTCAAAATCGCAGATTAATTCAACAACTCAGAGACGCAAGCACATACTAACCAGTTAGCCTTTCACTGGCTCCCGACGTAGCGTCGATAGTCCCGCTCAACAACCTCCAACGATACTTCGACGCGTCGGACCGGACCGCAGAAAGAACTGGATATTGTACGAGCCTGAACATTCCAGCAGTTTTTTGACTTGGTGGCAAAAAACAGAATATGGTCAAGTGCTGAATGGCGACGGACGGTCTAAAATAAAGTGGTCGATGGAGTCACATTACGCTGAAGTTTGGAAGCATTTCGACCAAGTTGCGGGCATTGAAACTGGCATTCCCAAAGTGATCTGTAGGGCTTGCTTGACCCTACTTGATCATCCACAGCACAAAAAGCACGGCACAAGCGCAATGGGAAAGCACCAGAGATCCAAGTCCTGTCGAAAGGGCCAGAAAAGAACATGCCATCAAGCTCTCGTGTCAAACTCAATCCAGAAAGCCTTCTTGGGAGTACCATCCGGTCCGAACAAGTTCACCACATCGCAGTTCGAGGAGCGGCTGCTGAGGACCATTGCTTGTCTTCGTCTGCCCTTCCAGACCGTTGAAAACCCTGAATTTCAAGCACTCCTCAAGTTCATCCACCTCGGACCGGGAGAGCTAGAAATGCCTTCAGCAAAAACCTTGCGACGACGCCTGCGTGACGCTGTAAGAGGACAACAGGAATCACAGTTGCGAGATCTACCCGAAGACGCCAAAGTTTCACTTGCATTAGATTGTTGGACTAGTCCCTTCCAGCAAGCATTCATGGCAATTACAGTCTACTTCATCGATAGAGATTGGAACTACCGCGAGCTGCTTCTTGGGTTTGAGCCTTTGCATGGACCTCACACAGGAGTCAATTTGAGCGACGTGCTCCTCCAGCTGCTCAGAGAAAGACAGCTATTGGGTCGTATCTTCAGCGTTACCACGGATAATGCAACAAATAATGAAACCCTCATCCGAGCGCTGCAAGAATCACTCATTTCTAGTGGCGCCATCGGCTCGAGAGAATCCATTGTCCGTGTTCCATGCATGGCCCATGTGATTCAGCTTTGCCTCAAGCAGCTGTTGGGGCATATCAGAGCTGCTCCCAAGAATAAAGAAGTGAGAAGTTTTTGGTCCAATTCACAAGCTCTTTGTCTCAGGGACTCAGTGGACCATGGTGAGGTGGCGCATACTCTAGCAAAGGCGAGTCCGTTGATTTCGGACCCGTCATATTTGGACATTGCTGACGGTGCCTCTTCCACAGATTCGGTCCTTTGCAGTTTTTGTCAACGCCAGCCCCCAGCGGCGAGATGCATTCCTGTGCCTCCAATCTGGTGGAATGCGACTTTTCCCGTTGCATGATGTTCAGACCCGCTGGAATTCCACCTTCTTGATGCTTCGACGAGCGCGCCGACTAAGGAATACCATCGACAAATACTGCCGAGACCATGACTATTCACAATTTAAAATCACTGACATTGAATGGCGGCAAATTGACTATCTTGTTCACTTGACGAAGCCGTTCTTTCAGTTCACCATGGCCCTGATGAAGACAAAAGACGTGACAATTCACAGCGTCTTCCTCGTGTACAGGAAGCTACTGGAACACATTGAACGCTCAAATCGAAAATTGAGAAAAAAGACGACCCCCTGGAAGAAGGACATGTATGGAGCGCTGCTTGTCGCGAAGCAGAAGCTGAGAGAATACTACGAAAAGACGTATCGTGATCACGGCTTCCTCTATGGCACGGGGACCCTACTTGCTCCTCAATACAAGCTTTGCGCTTTTGACGACGCAGAGTACTCGCAGTGCCACAGTGAAACTTCCAAAAATACTGTGAATACCTCAGGACATGTTTCTCGCAATATCAGCAACGGAATCCTGAGATGCTCTTCCGTACCGTGCATCGCCCTTCCTTGCAAGCCTCGGAGTTAGATCGGCTTCTTGGGCCGTCACAAGACGCACAAGTCAACGAAGGGTTCGAGCATGACGAGGTCGATCGATATCTTCGCGAGGGTAAGTATTATCGGGCCGCTGAAGCTTGATGACAGACTAATTCCTCATAGCAACTGTCTCAATTCCTCCCCGCGCATATTGGAAGGAGAACGAGCGTAAATTTCCAGTCCTGTCGCGACTGGCTCGCGATTTGCTCTCGGTCCCTGCTACGGGCGCAGGAGTTGAAAGGCTATTCAACAGCGCACGGGATATCTGCCATTACCGCCGCGGATCCCTCAACGAGACAACCATTCAAGACTTGATGATGTACATGTGCTCGGAAAGATTCACTTTGGAGAGCCGGCAATTGAGTCTTCTGGAAAGTCCAGCGGTTGAGAGGGAGGGCCAGGAAGCCCTCGAAGAAGATGAGGCGTTAAAGGAGACTGAAGACGATATTGCTCCTATCAGCGATGTCGAGGAGAACGATCCCATTGAGGATTCCGAAACAGGTCTCGCCGTCGAAGGGGTAAGTGGAGTAGAAAGCACAGCCTCAGAGGAACTTCCAGCCCATGATCAAGTGCAAGATGCGGCGATGGCTGAAGTGGCCGAAGATGAGGACGACGATGGAGATTTGCTCCCACCTCCGGTCACACGCCTCGGCGATAGGTCTCACAAGAGATCATCCGGTAGGGTAACAGTACCTTCAAGCCGGCTGCAGGGTTACGAGCTGTATTAGTCTATGAATTAAGCTTAATCTGTTTTATTCCTCAAATTTATGTACTCCAAAACTTTAGACCATACTTATACCAGAGCCATACCTTGATATAAATCAAAGATACGGCATTATTTTATGCTAGCTGACAAATCACTCTTTTTTGGCTATCGCGGGTTATATGGGTACCCATTTGGGTCGCGGGTCGGGTTCTCAAAATGAAGACCCGCCCACGGGTCTGCTGACTAAGACCCGACCCAACCCGTGGGGCGGGTTTTCGTGGGCGGGTTTGGGTTGTGGGCGGGTTTTGGCGAGGTCTAGATAGCTACTTGGAGTAGACGTCGCTAGCCCTAACAGACCACCCAACCATCCCCTTGGAGACCGCTTCAACAATCCTTGACGAGTGTTGTCGTCTTCTATTCTCCTTCGAATCGCTCCCTGGATTCAATCATCTCTTGCTAGTTGCAGCGACCTCTTCAAAGTGAAGTTTGTCAGTCCGGGATTGACCAGAAGTGCATCGACAACCAAGAAATGCCCACCCTTGTATGGTACGACTGCTGGGTATTGGTTGACGGGGTTGAAGAGTATACAACCTCTAAAGACCAGATGGATTGCTAACAAGCCTAGCTAAACGCCTCATATATCCTACCTCACAACCGCGGCATGTTGATCACACTTACTGGCTACCTGAGGTCCACCACCTCACCCTGGCTTATCCCTATCCCCAGGGCAATCCTCCCCTTTGGCCTTCTTCAATTTAACACATGCGAAAACCATAGTACGAATACAAAAAGATTTTCAAGGCCAGAAGCTTGTTTTCATATAGAAAATCATACTCAGTTCTTCGTCTATGACCGCCGGCTTCTATGTCAACAGCAGGCAAAACTGCAGCCCCGCAATCGCAACCTAAAGCTTGGAGAACATGTCCTCTTTCTGAGGCCGGACATCCAGTTCATGCGTCCAAGTACTGCGTGGCTGGGTATGCAAAAACCAATACATAAGAGCAAGGTCGGTCGGCTGCAAAAGATGTGCTTCAATATTCTCCAATTTCTGAACTGCATTCTCTCGTTGCCACTGTCGCTTTTTGGCCCCGCCAATCAGCTTTCCATCAACGGGGCTGTCGATGATGACGTGTGATGCGTGAATACCCCGATCTTGATATTCGCGAGCGACAACTTGCGCCAACGAGCGTAACCCGAATTTCCCCGGTGAGAAACTGCTCAGCCCAGGTGACCCGCGTAGAGAGCCTGTGGCACCAGTGTAGATGACAGTTCCTCGTCCTCTGTCCAGCATATCCGGCAAGACGCATTTGGTGGACCAGAACGCACCAAACAGATTGATTTTCGTGAAGCATTCAAACTCCTCCGTCGTCGTATCTAGTAATTTTCTGCCATTAACTCGACGAGCACCAGCATTGTAGACGAGGACCTGCACGGGTCCTATTTCAGCGCGAATCGCTCTGAAACTCGAGATGACAGATTCCTCGATGCGCAGATCAGTGATGTAGTACCGCGATATGCCCACGCCAAATTCAGCATCGATACCGGCAGCTATGGCCCGGAGGCTGTCTTCGGAACGAGCAAGCAGTGCGGCGACGAAGCCTTCTGAGGTGAAGCGCCGCGCAACAGCTGCGCCAATCCCAGGCCCACAGCCTACCACAGCGATCACAGGCTTGTTTTCGGGATTGTATGACATGTTGAAGGGCGATTGAGAGCAACGATAGCCACCGGTGTAGCTACACTCTCTTGAAATATGCGATTTCCCTGAGTTCACTATTTCAAAGATCAATAAGTGTATCGTGTTGCTCCGAGGAACTTGATTATATAACAAGTTGCGCTCGAAAATGATCAGTTTCCATATTTGTAAAGTGATCAGCGGCCAAGTATGAGTAATCTCGATATGCTCGGTTATCTACAAAACATGATTATTCTCTCGATCGAACGCCGAGGCTCTCGGATGACGTAAGTTCTTAACCAACTTCCTCTGCTTCTTAGATTGACAATAGATACTTTGGCGATATTCAACTGGGAGATGATATTCTGCCAATCGAGGTTTACCATCCTGATTTTCGGGCGCTGATAGTTGCGCTTGAAACACGCCAATTCCCACTGCGAGGTTATCTCACTGTGAATTGTGGTTGAATGCTCAGCGCCTCGGCCTGATCACTAATCAACCATCTTTGCCAGGGGTTTACCATCCTTTGTCAACTTTATTTAATCGCATTGCAGAGTGTCACACAAGACAGACGTCCTATAGCCTCTCCGATTTCGTTACTGCCTTACATGAAGTGTAAAGTCGTTCGACGATGACTGTCAAATCTACTTATCCAGCTATTGATATTCCAGAGCTCGATCTCTGGACCTTTTTTTTGAGCGAAAAGACCGAGCTTATCCGGACACTAAGGGTAAGGCCTCTTTAATGAATATCGAATACAGCGTTTGTGGAAGTCTGTAATAACTGTCAACAGTACTGTGGCAAGATGCCGACACCAGGAGAACGTACACCTATGCGCAGACTAAAGATGCGGCCATTGCTTTTGGACGGGGCCTCCGGATACATTTCGGCTGGAAATCTGGGGACGTCATGGCATTATTCACCGCCAATTCTATTGACACTCCGGTTGTCACATTTGGCACTCTATGGGCTGCGGGAATTGTGTCTCCTGCCAGTCCAAGATACACCGCAGAAGAACTTGCTTCCCAATTGAAAGACTGCAGTGCCGCAGCGATGATTACGCAATTCCCGACGCTCGAAGTAGCTCTACAAGCAGCAAAGGTGGCCGGCATTCCCCGGGAACGCATTATCCTCATCGGCGATGTCCGAGATCCGGAGACTCGAGTCAGGCATTTCACAGACATATACGGCGGCCCGAATTCAGGAGTACAGGAGAGACCTCTTGTAACCCCGAAGAAAGACCCGGCGTATCTCATGTACTCTTCAGGTACTACGGGGTACCCGAAGGGCGCATTGCTCTCGCACCACAACATTGTGTCGAATGTGCTTCAAACCCATGCAGTGGAGGGCCACCAAATTACGCATAATGGTGGAAAAGATGGAAGAGGGGATAGGGTCCTGATCTTTCTGCCACTTTTCCATATCTACGGTAAGAGGTTTATTCCCAAATCACTGTACCTATAGAAAGCTGACGCGTAAGTAACAGGACTGGCATGCGGTGTACATTCTCCCCTGTACAGTGGGTTTCAGGTCGTACTTATGACTACATTCGATGTTCAGAGATTCTGCGCTCACGTGCAAAACTTCCAAATCACATATGCACATATTGTGCCGCCAGTCGCCCTTGCCTTGGGCAAGCTTGATATCAAAAGAAAATATGATCTGTCAAGCCTCCGGATGCTGAACTCTAGTGCAGCACCTTTGTCTGCCGAAATGATTAAACGGACTTTCTCCCAGATCAAAGTTGGTTTAAAGCAGAGCTATGGCCTTACTGAGGCTAGCCCAGCCTCTCATGTACAACCATGGGGAGACTGGAGCAGGGCGGCAGGCTCTGTAGGGAAACTGCTACCTAACATGGAGGCAAAGTATATGACAATCCCGGAAAACGGCACCATATCCGTTGAAGTCCCCAGTGGCGAAGTTGGAGAACTATATATTCGTGGGCCCAATATTTTCATGGGATATCATTCCCATCATCAATCCACATTCTCGCCAGATGGATGGTTTAAGACCGGGGATGTTGGCTTCCAGGACATCGATGGAAACCTCTTCATCACCGATCGTGTCAAGGAACTCATAAAATATAAAGGTTTCCAGGTAGCACCGGCAGAGTTGGAAGGTATTCTCCTTCAGCATGATGTGATCAGTGATGTCGCGGTCATCGGCGTGAATAGTCCAGCGGAGGGAACAGAGTTACCACGGGCATATGTCGTCCGCAGCTCGAGGAGCAGGTCTCAAAACACAGGCCAGCAAGTGGAGGCGGAGAAGCTCAGCATCAGTAGGTGGTTTGATGGTAAGGTGGCACCGCATAAGCGTCTCCGGGGTGGTATTCGCTTTGTGGATGAAATCCCCAAAAGTCCAACCGGAAAGATCATTCGGCGACAGCTCAGAGAGCTAGCAGAGAAGGAAGAGACTCAAACATCTTCGAAGTTGTAGGAGGCCCTCTTGGCTTTGTATTACAAAGCATCCCAACATACATACTTGTTTCTCCCATCCTTGTCACTTCCATCCCATTCAGATCCAATTCTCTGTTCCATTTCAAAGAAATATGACACCCCTACATCATCAGTTAAGAAAACCACAGTCCCGTACTTATTATTTAAGAACTAAGTCAGGAGATTCCACGCGCGATCGGCTCTAATTCTCACATGCTAGATCTACCGACTAGCCCTCATAGCTTCCAATGCAGTTGGGTTGAATTTTCCGGAAGTAATGGGGTAACGGGCGTGAAAGGGACGTCAAGGTGTTGAAAAATATGATCCTATCGGTCATTACCCCAGAATTGCTCTATATCCCCGCTTGAGTTGGTCGCAACAAAACATGGAGCTCCAAAAGCAACCTCCCTGTATGAGTGAATCTGTAGTCTCGCGCATTTTTGCTTTGTTGCTGCCTGTGACGGCCCTTCAAGCACCGCTTCAAGCTGCGAAGTCTCCGGAAAAATTGATCTCAGAGAATCTTCAATGACTTATATGGATGAAATATCCAGACCAAATGTCCAGTGAGCCTCTCAGAGCCTGACAAGGCTCCGCTCCGTAAGATCGGCACCGATATTGGTGTTAATGTAAGTTGCGACCCTCAAAGGCTGTTGGCATTGTCAGTGTCGCCAAATGCAGAAGCCACAATGCGTAAACGAACATTAAGAGATGATATTGGGAACACGTCAGGCCTTCTGATCTTTAATACCAACGGTTAGCCAGTATAGGCCAGGTCTTTGGCGGACCATGCCGCTTTTACTGGTGGCGGCTCTTGGTAAGGACTGCCATTGCTATCCCTAACACCTCCAAGGAAAAAGGAACAACTTACATTGTGATTAGATGGCGGTGGAGAGTTTCATGGTAGCTACACAAGCTGATCTAAGCGAAATAATAATACGGCGACACTATTTGCCCAGTGTGGTTCCTGGAAGTCAGCCCAAGGGGCTTAGAGAAGCAGGATCGTTGGGCGTACCGCAGTCCCCGTAGAGCATCAGTTCCGCAACAGGTGTCATCATGGTTACTGGTCGCTTCGGACGAGCAACCTTTCGGATATGTAAACAGCCTTCTGGTTTTTTATTTTTTATTTTTTTTCAAAACGGGATCAGAACCAGCGTGGAACTATATAAACCGCGGGGTAGCGAGTATTTAGGGGTTTATATTTCGGAGGCCTCAGCAGCAATTCTGCGGTATAATCTCAGTCCATAAATTATTAGTAGGATGCTTGGCCCTCATCTAAGGTAATGTGAGCATCGGAGGTAAGAGCAAATATTGGAGTTGCAACAGGCATTCCTAAACATTTCACACGTCTTCAAGATATCAAACAGCAATCTCGGAAAGTTTCTAAACCGATATGGTCACACAATGTTCACTAATCTATTTTGTAAACCTCGCCCGCGAGTTTTTAAGATAGAGTTTCGGTTAGCAAATAATTAGTAGGAAGGCCGATCACTATAAGCTACGTGAAGAGTGCGAGCTACTATATGTCATCTGTTTCTGTATAAGTGTCCTTCAGTGGTCTTGCTGGTTGATTCTATGCTTTCTACACGTAGGAATTCGGAACTTACATAAGGAGTTCATATTCACCATACAATAGGTAGTCTTGTAGTTGAGGTAAATAATGTGTACTAAGTGCTGGAATAAATATATCTCTAAAGAAAACTTCTGACTTCGTCACAGTCTACTGCGTAGCTCCTCTTTCATCACACATTGTGAAAGATCAGAGAGGGCTCCCGTCGCTTCCCTTTCAATACGTTTCATAAGCTGAGCGCAGGTTGGAATGTCATGTATCAACCCCATCACCTGCCCAGCATACCAGACCTGTTCTCTCCGTCAGCTCAGCTAAATCCGAAACTTGGGGTGACCAGGGTGGTATGTATTCGTACTCCATGTTGAATATCTCCGTGCAAAAGAACTTCTTTCCCACGAACTCCACTAACGATAGGGGCAACTTCGATAAATTCTCCTCTAGCGCTTGTGGACTCGATCTCGATCGCTTTAGTCGTCATTTGGTTAGAGTACATCCGGCTCGTGTTCTTCCACCGCCTCAAGATGAGACTTGTTTGATGCTCGTCGGCTTTGACGATCGCGAGCTTCACGTTCATATGGATCGGGGCTTCTATTGTGCACATAAAGCGAGTGCCCATATTGATTCCCGCAGCTCCCAGACTTAGAGCTGCCATCAACCCATACCCATCTGCGTAGCCGCCTGAGGCGATAAACGGAGTGTCACCGAGTTCTTGCCGGGCGCGACCGTTCAGGATTAACGAAGCAATGTCAGACTCGCCGACATGGCCAGCGCACTCGAACCCATCGATTGAGAGGATATCGGCCCCCAGTTTGATAGCGGCTTTGGCGTGTCTGATCGTTGTTGCCTTATGGATGATAATTACGCCTGCAGCTTTCAGCTGCTGTATGACGGGGCCCGGGCTGTTTCCTGCAGTCTCGACGATTTTGACCCCTTCATCGACAATTGCCTGTACAAATGCAGGGTAGTCGGGGGGATTAAGAGCGGGGAGAAGGGTAACATTGACACCAAAGGGGTTCTTCGTTAAAGCCCTAGTTTTTCTGATCTCTTGACGGAGGTGCTCAGGATCCGATTGTGTCAAGGCATTTATAATGCCCAGCCCTCCGGCATTACTCACCGCTGCAGCAAGTTCAGCGTAGGCGACCCATTGAAGCCCACCTTGCACGACGGGTACCCGGATCCCCAAAGCCCTAGTCAAAGAAGTGTCGAACGGCATTCTGGGGGCCAGAAAGAAATAGGGCGGCAGATTCAATGGCAGCTGTTGCCTGGAGGAAGAGTAAGTAAAGAAATTTTGATGCACATAGAAGAATATAGAATTCCTTTGTGTATTAAAATAGATTCCTCTCCTGAAAGGGATATGAACCAAGGCCGAGGCGAACAAGGTTCCTCGGCTCGCGTCTATCACTAATCAAACTATAGTCGGCTGCACCCTCGGGGTCTTGGAGGAAGAAACAAGATCTTAGTTACCACCCCTACCTTATGAGGTTGTATTCCATGCATTGCTTTACTCACAACCATTGGATGGCTTCGCCCTAAGTTAGAGCAATCCAGAGAAGTGGGCGATATTTTTTAATCGTTTGGCTATGGCATTTATGGCAGACATGTTATATGCTTTCACTAACGACCCGGAAACTCAGTAGGAAATGACTCAATCACGCCAGCGGGTCAATAAAAAGCGACAACTTCTTCAAGATGAACCGCGGCCAATAGCAGACGCTAAGGAACAACCAAAGCGCGGTCATTACTCAACCATTGCAATCACGCAGCCAGAAACAAGCAACAGCTGCACTCCACTCCACCAGTACGTGCAGCTTGTCTGGAAAAAGAGTTCAGAGCCTTCAAGAATTGTGCTTGTTAATGCTCCGCTGTAAATTATTCGTCCCGCAACTCGGGAACCAGAACGATATGGCACAAGAGCATCTTCATACATTGGACATCTCTAATGATTTTGTTTCAGTGATGACTTCCCAACTCTCTGAAGCAAGCTATTTGACGAGGACAAGCAAAAGGAGGGTTCATTTGGGAGGTTGACCCCATCATTGAATTCCACTTGGCAATCTCAACAAACAAATGGAAGTTCAATCAGCTCTTGAAATTGTTATGGTCAAGGAACCATTCACATGTACCTTCCTCTCGAGCTTCCCACATGATCCTTATACCACTCGTATGTAGCACCTTTGGTGCTAGAGGTAAGGACGAAATAACTGAAGGCATTCTTTTTCCTTATCGGACAACTTCTGCTTGACTGCGTTTTCCTGTATCTTAAGTTGCTTCTGGGCAGTCCTTCTATGGTCGTCTACAGAGTCTTGGAGATCTATAATCTTTATATCAATATCATTCACAGTATCATTGTCAATTTGCGCTAGACTAACCAGATTAGACTTTGCCAATTCTCTTCTCGCTCTCGACCTTATTCGGGGGGATTCTGCTTGATAGGTCTTTGTTATATGCAGCGGCCACCATCGATGCGTACCCTTGCCACTCTTTGTTCGTATGCGAGTCTGAATTTCTTTTAAGACTCCACTCTCTGCATTGGTTGCTGGACTTGGCCTTACGATTAAGGATCTCTCATTCCTAAATGTACAATACATTTGTCAGTATCTGTCTTAGTATTTGATGCTTCAAATACTTCTAATATGCTTTAGATCTGCCTCTTAAAGAGTATGCAACACAAGATTCACAATCCACCTCGATAATAGTATCTAGTGTCGTAAACCCCGTTCCCCGGCCCCCCTTGCGACTTATCGGAGTTGAAGCGGATTCCTAGCGGTCATCTAGTTTCAATGCCTTGTTTATGGACTGTCACGGAAAGTCAGTCACTGGCGAATATCTACCTTGAACTTGACATTGACCTTAAAAAGAAGTTGACAGTTTGGCGTCGCCGCTTGTCATGATCGAGTGCTTCCATCCACTAAATTAACTATGTGCGGTTATATTTGTTTTCCAACACATCTGGCTGCCACCCCAATCTTCCGGCACTGGTTCTGAATTTTCCCCTCCTGGCATCTACCAGAGGACTGATCCATTTATCTTCCACAGTTCCGCCGATCATTTTGTCACCCTTCTTCAGGTAGGTGGTTGCACCAAGGAGAGATGGCTGAAAATTACCATAGATCGCCTCCCACTGCCCAGGCTCGGAAGAGAAGATTTCGTGATTAATACCAAGAAAATCCGACCGCTCCTTTGATAGGGAGTTAAACCAGTCCCAAGCTTTCCGATGCTTCTCGCCGTACGCGAACCTGTGCACATCCCCGATGGAACGCCAGTAGGCGATAAAGTTGTTCTCCAGTGCGCCTCGCTCGTCGTAGGATTGCCAGTGACTCCCCCCTAGGAAGCCATTACTGCCCATGTTATCGTCAAGCTCGGATATCATCTTTGACAAGTGGTTCCCCATCGCCCGAGAATCAGTGGCAAAAATCCCAGCTGGGTGGTGGAATTTCGATCCAAGGTGGAAACAGACAACTCGCTCCGACGCAGGTACATCTGAAAATTCCCCATCTGCGTTAGGTATCTGGGCAGCGTATTTCTGCGGGACGACTCCTTCACGGTATGGATTCTTTATACTACCATAGGTGATGAGGACTGCCTTGATCAAGCGAACTCCAAGAATGGCGAATGCACCCACCATGGGGATTTGTGCATATGCTGATGGTGTCAAGGCGAGAATGAGTGACTGAAAGAGGCAGCCGATGAGCAACCACGAGCTTAAGGAAAGATGGTTCAAGATGAGCCTCTCCAATGCAAGGCCTCGAGTTTTTTGAGGCCTGTCCCGAGGGGGTAAGATACTGTTGAACGGCATGATGACTTTGTAAAATAGAAAAGATGAAATTGTTTCGCTCGATCCCTTGGGAAGGGCACAGCCTATTTAGAATGTTTTTGGCTCAACCTGGAGCTGCACAGAGCGTTTTCCGGCTGGACCGAGGCCTATATATTGAGATTAGTGATCAACGTCATTCTATAGTTTGCCAGTAATTTAGTTATCCCGCGGTTAAGTCCCCTCGGTAGCTTTGTTGACTCATCATGCATCTCCTTATACTTGCGCTTGTATCGAAATCCGAAGGGATCTACAGCGGCTTCCACAAACACCTAAACATCTCTTGCCTATAAGATCGAAGAAGCCAAATGTAAAATGACCTCTAGCTGTGCTTTCGAAGACCTACACCGACCCGGCAACCATAGTTGGTAAAGTAGTACAGAAGAGACAACTATTTCGATACGGTCGGAATCCAGGAGATTTCGTGATTTGAGCGGATGCAGCGTTAAGTGGCTCCATGGATTGACCCAAGCATAGTTACGGGCGAGGTGAATGATGCCGTGCTCGTCCTACTTAGGATGCGTCTAATAGCTCACAAGGCATGCCGAAGCGACAGACATTGTAGTTTGATCTTTGCGAGCTGTATTTAAACAAGTTGCCGTGTGCCGCTTGGAATGAGCATGCGACAAGAGGGAGCAGCAGTTGGATTTTGTGCTATAGCTCTTTTCGCGTTAGGCTTTTAACCCTATCCCACGGGGGTTGCTGGAGTCTACTAGACTCCAGGGTAGGGCTTTCCGTTAACTATGGGACATAAAAAGTGGGGCCCGTTAGACTCTAGGTTCTTTTCCTCGTTAGACTACTGAGGTCTAATGAACTCCGATCGATCTAAAATCTTTATGAGTTATAATAGACTATATGAAATATCTCCTATCCCACTGGGGTGGGTGAACTCTACTAGAGTTCAGGTCTTGGCAGTCCCTTCACTATGGGAGATAATGGTACATAAAAAGTGGGTCCCGCAAGGGTTCAGGTAAATTTCCTCGCTAGGGTTCAGAGTTCAAATGACCTCTGATAGCTCTCAAATTTTGGTCAGTTATAATAGACCATTTGAAATATCCCCTATCCCACGGGGGTGGGTGAACTCTGCCAGAGTTCAGGTTAGGGCTTTGTCTTAACTATGGGACATAAAAAGTGGGCCCCGCTGTTACGGACCTACCAGGCACCAATCGATTATAGGGCCGCAACTTACTGATAGGCCACTTTCGGCCTTCCACTCGCCGTCTTATTGAATACCGTAATAACTAATAAGACCACCACCACGTGATTATATAAGTTGTAGAAGGGTTAATAGTCGATAAGTAGATCTTACTAAGCTATATCTACTATTCTACTTTCTACTATTCTACTTAGGAAGGACTTAGGATATATAAGGACACTTATTTATATATCTAGTCTAGTTCTTCGTGTTTAATTATATATTGTTACTTATGTCTACTATTTAGAACCTTTAGTGACTCGTATAACTTGATTATAACTTAATAACACTACGAATAGACCTATACTTCGGTATAGGTTAGTTCGGCGCTCTATTTAGTATCGCTCCTTAATACCCTTAAAAGGACTTAGCCTATATAAGGCCTATTAGGCAACGGTACAGTTAAGAGATAGATCGTTAACGTTAGAAGTAGAGAAGTATTAGGTAAGTATAACCTAGGAATCTTCTAACTTTCCTAGGTTAAAACGGCCCTAGGGAATCTATGTCGTGTACGTAGGTAGGTAGTTACTAGACATAGTCACCCGACATAGGATTAGTGAAATAGCCATTAGCTTCCGTATAACCCTATTGCCTAGTATAGAGCCTCTACCGTATTCCGCGACGGCTATTTATGCCCTTCTTACTATAAATACGTGCTAAATATAGAATGCTTCTATACGGTAATTCTCTTTTAATCGCGGCTCTATCGTATTATCTCTAAGTTATTAAAGTAAGACATAGGATAGATATAAACATCAATGCTTCACTCTTCTCTTACGTTATCTAAAAGCCCTAGTAGATTGAGTCTACAAGGGTGATCCTAGTTATCGAGGATCCTAGTCAATCGACCCCGAGATAATTCTAGTGCCTACTTAAAGAAGCGCAGCCGAGACAGCTGCTTGTCGTGGCGAAGCTAAAGTCCGTCCCTCTCTTTAGTTAGGTATCTGCTAGCCTCCTTTAAGATCTAATTGCTCTGCTCTAGCTTCTAGCTATTAATATGTTTAGACACGCACGACTCCTATAGGCGTCGATAGAGTCCGACAATTCGACCTACTAGAAAGGCTAACTTAGGATCCTCGCGTTCGAGGTCTACTAGCATCGTTAAAATAGGTTAAAAGGGCTCGGTCGCTAAGGTATGTCTTATTTCTGCTTCCTATTGCGAGGGAGAGAGCTACGATAGTTAGCAAGAGCATTAGAGGCTAAGCCGCCTTACTTACCAGTGGAGGGATATGATTAGAAGCCTCCTACGAATTCTCTTTTTCAGAAACGATTAGCAATGCACTAGGCTATTATTCTCCTTCTTTTTCCTAGTCTAGCGTTCTGTTAGGGGCATCTATCTTGATTGCAGGGGAAAGTCGAGTATCTAGGCAATAGCATGTCCACTAATTCTTAGAGGCTTTTATAGACTAGAAGACATCGGTGGCTAGGTACTCAGTCTCATTTTCACCATAAAAGTCAATCACGTAGTCAGCTTTTCAATCTTAGCACTCTGTTAGCACTCCGTTTAATAATGGTGCTAGTGATTAGTCTCGTGGTGTTGATGGTTGGTGATTGTGCCTCATATTAGTGGCTTACTAGAGATATATATTCAATCACAACGCATTTTCCACATTCGTGTGAGAGCTCAGAAATCCCAAAAGTAAATAGAGTAAAATCTAGAGGACTGAAAAAGGAAATCGTAAAAACAAGGTATCTATCTCAACCATGATCACAGGATCAAAAGCTGACTCCTCGTCAACAAGGACGGCCAAGCTTCAACGGGTTGACGGGTTAAGTACCCGCGCCCGCGCGACCGCAGCATGACGCTTCTTGCAGCCTCGACGGACAGAACCACACACAACTCAGACAATCAACATTCGAGCGAGGCCAGCAAATTTCCATGTTCCTTAGATGAAGATGTAAGCGCTCTTGGTAAAATCAAAGAATAAACAGCTTCATTGCCTCAATATTAAGACCGTAGATTCAACAGTGACCCAACGTTTCTTAACCGACTCACTTTGACTCATTTTCAACATGACTTTAGCATGTTTTCTCGATAAGCATCTAAGATCGCACCACGAATTTCGCTGCTAATAGTTGCGGTAGAATAAAGGCATGGGTTGCAACAGGCCTCACTTAGGATAGACATCGTGTTCAACGTTTGCTCTCTAGTAGAGCCCGCGTGCTACAGGAGCCGATAAACCTATAAATAGGTCCTCTTCCCCCTGCAATTTGTTCTCCATTACCATCACTTGGCTATGCAGAGTCGAGTTCCGCGGCCAGCCGTCGTTTGATGGACGCCCACTCAGGCTTTCAGCATCTACTAGCTTCCTATCTGAACCTACGCCTCAGCAACCATGAATTTGTGCAAGATTTAAAATAAATGTTACATACATACAGATAACAAGCGAACGAAAGAAAGTAGCCTGAGTAGATATGCGTCATCTCGGCTGGTCTTCTTCCGATATAAGTTAGCGAAGGCCAGTTTTACAGTACAACGACAGACGGTTTCATTCAGACAAGGAGAAATTTAGGCTTTATGATTGATGTATTCTGCTAGGATAGAGTGACTACTGTACCTCAATCTTCCTCGGGGTAAATACAGTGTTGAAATTATATTGCCGCACAAACCAGGCATTCCACAGTCTCCATTCCTGGTCGGTGTAGGCTAATCGCACCTGTGCATTCAGATATTAGCATGGTTCTTTGTCACCGTCACATTGTAGGAGTAATACATACATAAAATCTTCTTAGAAAACTTGGAACTAGTTTATAAATTTCCATCAAGGAAATGTTTTTTCCAATGCATGTCCTGGAACCAGCACCAAACTGGAGCATCATTCCGTTCATGACTTTTAACTTCTCCTCTGAGGCATTTAGCCATCTATCAGGGTTGTACGTGTCGACATCTGACCCGAAAATGTCCTCACGACGATGGATCACCCATGGACTACAGCCGACGATTGTGCCGCCTGGGATAAACTGGCCGGCGATGTCCGCACCGGATGGAGGAGTAACACGCTCCAGGGGGAGACCAGCAGCGGGGAAGATACGAAACGCCTCTTTTATGCAGGCGTCGAGGAATGGAAGCTTCTGAGATTCTGTCCATGAGACGAGCCCGCTTGCACGGTTCTCGATTGTACCATTCCGGATCGCCTCGTCTAGCTCCTCCCGCACTCGTCGCATGTGCTCGGGCGTCTTCAGGAGATAGTAGAATACGGCTGCAAGACTGATGGCGGTTGTTTCGGACCCGGCAAAGGCCATGGAGACGGCCATGGTGAGGACTCGTTTCTCTGTCATGAAGTTGGGGCGCAACTCGCCTGCTTTCATGAATTTGGTAAGAAGATCGCTGCGTGAACTTGGGTCGAGCGCAGCCTTGGATGACATGCGCTCCATCATCCGTTGCCGTGCAAAGATGGCAACTGGGTGGGAATTGTCCAACAACCCCCACTTTTGCATTACGTCGAAGATTGGGTTCTTCCAGAAGACTTTATCCAACCATGGCATCTGGCCGATAGGCCCGGCATAGTTGAAAATGCGAGCGAGGGATTTTACAATACCATCAATGTCCTCATTTTTCTCGATAAAGCCATGGCGCTTGCTGTAGGTAATGCTGCCGATAACATCGAATGCGAAAAATTGTAGCCAGCGTGCAAAGTCACAGACCTTACTACCACTAGCGAAGAGGCGATCGGTCTGGTCAAGGAAGAGCAGTGTGGTCTCGTCCACCATGGGCTCGTACTGCACCAGGGAGCTCATCGAGAACGCATGGTTAACCGAGCGTCGGAGCTCCGCATGGAACTTGTCATCC